GGGGGGGGGGGGGGGCTGTAGTGAAATGGCGGATTTCATTCCTCTGATATTTTTTTTGAAAGGGGAAGTTTTTATTTTGATTGTTAAAAAGTGTTTGGAAAAAGAGACTCGCTAAGTAAACGGGCATCCAGATATGGGACTTAGTACTGTATTAGCAAAAATTTTTAAATTTGCTTAAAAAGTTTTTCTGCTATGGCAAAAAATAAAATAAATCTAAGGGGTCCAACTTCGGACTGCTCTTCTAGCCAAACTATTGGGACTATATTTCACAGATTGCGACTACCCCCCATATTTTAGGGGTCAGTAATCGGAATCCGTAAAAGATATGTTTATACAGAGAAAGTAAGTTTTGTGTCTGATTTTGGAACTTAAGATATGATTCTTACTAATTAATTAGCATATTTGCAGTCATCCCCTTGAACCTTTAAGATAAGAGCTCTACAACAAGAATATCTGAGCATTAGATCAAAAGTTATTCAGAGTGGTCTATCTTTTTACGCTCAGTACATTAAATTATAAATAGCACATAAATAGTATAAAGTACAAAATTTTAAATTACAGATTTCAATAAAATAAAATTTTCTAAGAAAAAGCATAATAAATACTTACAGGTTGAGAAAGCTCCCAGCGAGTTCTGATATGAATAATAGCTTGAACAATACTATCACAATCATTATGAATGAAAGACAAAGGTCCACTCTCATTAGCAATTGTAAGAGTAAACTGATTATCATCAACTAAACAAACCTGCAAAAACAGTAGTTCGATTTAGATGTTTAGGAATTAATTTCAAAAGTTCATAAAAAGCCATGCACAACACATTTTTAAAATACATTGTTTTCAAACAAATTAGACAAAAAACATGGTATTTTCAATTTATATTTATGACGAATGCATAAGAATTTTTTAAAAAAAAAATAAAATACCTCTTCAATTTCTGAAGCATAGTATACATCATTCAGTAGCACAGAATGACCTATTACTTTCGTCTTTTCAGCAGAAGTTACTTGTATAGCAGTTGGACCAACCTGAAATCGATAAACATATGATTCAGTGAGTCACAGTCACTTAAGAATCACTTAGAAACATTACATATTAAGGATGGATAGGGAATATTAAATATAAAAGTTATATGGTTAAGTTGAATTCCGCACATTGGAGAAAAATTGCAGTTTGAAAAAGTAAAATATTACTTGTACGAATTGTAAAAATTTTGCAGAAGTTGAAGTTAAATCTGGGGTTACTAGTCCATTTTCATGCCTCTATTTAGATTTTTGTTTTAAAAAAATTCAATGAAATGACTTTAATTGAAAAATTAAAATACAAAGAATTTGTAATAAGAAATGTAGTTAAGATGAAATATTATAGTTTGAGTCGAAAACACAGATTTTGATAATTATTTTATGATCATGAGATTGGACATTAGTTTATTTGTAAAAGTACATGATATTTAAATATTTACAACAAGCAACATATTCAAGAATATTTTCTTAATTATAACCTGATTAAAAGGTCTCTCTCTTTGAGCTAGTTCAGTGACATGCGGACAGAGAAGCATGTTTCAACTTTTAAAATGTAAACAATCTACTGACTGCTGAATTTTCGAACAATGCAGTTCACAGTTTTTAAGTGAAGTCATAATTTTTTTTTATCGAATAATAAATCTTTTATCAATGTCTTTAATCTCAACTATAGCAGAACTAAGTAAAATATGAACAAAAAATAATATTCAATTAATCGTTTTTTTGACATCCAGGAAATATTTTTACTAAACATACTTCTACCAGTTGATCTGTATTGCATCAATCAGATTTTCAATCCTAATGCACATTTCAAATGAATCTTCATTTCAATAAATAAGCCATAGTCGAAAATACTACAAATTGATGTTTTAAATTTACAAATAAAAGTTTGTGAAAAATATATTTTATGCAACACTAATTCGTTTGTTTACAATCAAAAAAGGAAGGAAAGAATATAGCTAGTTTCTCATTTAAGGGTAATGAATAATAATATTTTTTAAATATAGCAATGATTTCAACAATTTGAAACGTACTCTGCTGGAGTAGTGTTATGAAACAATGTAGTTCAGTGTCATTTGGAAATTTCAAAAATGTATTTTTAATTTAAAAATTTAAATTTCGTAAAAATTTCCTCATGCTCTACTTTTTCCTATGTTTATAACTGTGAAATATTATTGAATAAAATAAAGCTTATACACAAAAAAATTTAGTAATAAGCATATTTATCAATGTTAATACTTGAATTTAAAACTGCATTTAAAATGCAAAAAAATATTTATTTAAAATTTTTTATTCGCTTTAAATTTATAATTCAAACTTTAATGCCAACTTCAGAAAGTAACGAGTACAACTTCATAAAGATAGAATATAGAATAGTAGTCTTCTTTCTCACATTAATAGCTACTTCAGTATCATTTGGAGGATGTTTAGCATTATTTATAGAACACTTTTGAATTCAATATTTCAAATATTTTTTTTTTACTTTCACTTATTGTTTGTTTTTATGATAACAGGAAAAGCAAAGTATAATTAAAGAAAGAGCACATTATAGAACAACTCTAGTTCTTACTTTTATAGCTACTTTGGTATCTTTATGAGAAAGTTTCAGGGCATTATTAAAGACTTTTAAATCTTCATCCAAAGACAAAGTTGCCCCAGGTAATCGCTGGTGATCGGTTTCAATATAGTCGTTAAGTCTTTGAGGAGTGTCCAAGAATATAAGTTTTCGGCAACTCTATAAGAACAAAAAGAATTAATCGTGTAACTTGAAAAAAGTTAAAGTTAAAATTCAATGCTTCAATGAAGAGGTAAAGAAATCTTACCTTTAAAGGAACGAGTATTCGATCGTGATATTTTGTGTATTCTCGAACCCAAGAATTGCAATTGTAAACATAAGCTGCTTGAATTTTTTCATAAGCAATTTCAGGCAAAACAACAAACCATTTCTGAAGGAACTCACTCTGAAAAAAAGGGTAAACTAGTTTTTAGCAAGAGAGTTACAGTGAAACAAGATTTATTTCATCATTTTTTAACTACATACAAATAATATGATTGGGATGAACATAATTAAAAAGGAAACAATTAATAGATTAGACTCATTTCTAAACTTGTATACATTTAAAATTATTTAAATTTTAGATTAAACACAATATTCTGAAAATATAAAATTGAGCTATTAAAGTTATTTTTGTATTTTCAAGTACTTCAGGAGAATCCCTATTAAAAATATTTTTTAATTCAAACAGCTATAATTGTTGGGTAATTATTGTAATTGTAAAAAAATACAATTATTTTATTGAGACGATAAAGAGACAGATTATAAAAAATCAGTGTATGTATGAGGGGAAAAAACAATAAACAAAAAGAATATAAAGCTGTGAAAAATTTTATAAAATAAATTAATTTTAAAATATATGTTAAATAACAAACACGATAAATAAAATCCAAGTATTAAATACATACTCTAAACCTATTTTCACTGCTAGTATGAGTGAAATCCACTACTAATTCAAAAGGCTTATGGCAAAAAGGCTTCAAAGTTAAAATAACGTGATAAATAAGAAGATCACCATTTGTTTCACCAATTCTGTAAAAAAAAAAAAAAAAAAAAAAAAAAAAAAAAAAAAAAAATAAATGAGAATGGAATAGATTTTTTTAAACTTTTTATTCCATGTATAGCATTAAACAGCAATAAAAAATTCATTCATGTTTTGTTACAAATGATAATAGTATTAACAATAGAAATCAAATTTCAAAACATACAATTTAAAAAAATATATATATTTCAGTGTTTTAAGCAAAGTATAGCAATTAGAAAAAAAAATGAAGCTACTTCTCTTAATCAGGGGTGATTGTGAACCCAAGTCAAAATTCCGGAAAATTTCTTCAGTTTAAAAAAAAAAAAAAAAACAGTTTAAATTGAAAAATTAGAAAAACAATTAAACAAGGTTTTTTTTTCTCAATATTTCTTAGTTTACTTAAAATATATATTTAAAATTTTACACCATTTTAAAAATTTTACACCACCTATACCATTTATACATACCTATGATGACCTGGAGAAGTAATTAAAATTTACAAATATGTCTTTCTTTCTTGAGTTTATGATTATAACAACTATTTACTGATAAAAAATTAATATTAATCATGAATATAAGTTTATAAAGTATCTCTCTGGCTCTCCCTTACAAACAAATAAAATAAACTGTGTTTTTAAGTTGTACCCTTGAAAATTTGATTTCCCGAAACTTCTGTGATCAATGAATTTTTGAAATGTCTGGACCTTCAATTTCTGGAAACTTCCGGATCACTGTTAGCAAAAATTCCGGAAATCCGGATTTTTTCCGGAGCACAATCAGCCCTGCTTAATAATATAAAATGACTTTTAAGTTGAAAATTAAGAACAGACAAGTAAACCCAAAACATCATCATCAATGGCTTGACAGCCCAGGGTGAGCCTTGGCCTTCTGAAGAAGCTTTTTTCAGGCTAAGTTTTTAAGACCAAATAGTCTTTTTCTAGGCCATCTACCCATCTCAAATTCGGCCTGCCTCTTTTTCATGTGCCAACTGGTCTGGCAGTGAAAACTCTTTTTGTTCATTCTGCTTCGTCCAAAACTCCTAAGAAATTTATTCCTATACAGTACCTTAGGGGTGTACAACCTTTTTGAGTGAAGGGCCACTTGTACAACAGGTAGATTACCAATGGGCCGCATGTGGCCTGCAAGTCACAGGTTTTTTACTCTACCTTGTTACATAATTAAAACTCAAATTTTTAAAAATATGCATTGCAATAGTATAAAAATAAAATAGTATATATAGAGATATAAAAATAAAAAAGATAAAGAATATTTAAAATTATTTCATTTTGCAGAAGCAATAATAAGCGCAGGAGAGTAACTTACTTGTATCTTCTGGCAATAAAATAGAAGACGGGGTGGCCACTCCTTGAAGTTCCCGCTTGGTAAAAAATATTTAATGACTTGATAGATTTAAATTCATCTTTTTCATGCATATTGTGTTTTGACATGATTTCCTCAAACTTTGTGCTTGTCATGTCCATGCTGTTCCATCTAGAAAAAGTAAATATCCTGCAATATCAGAATAACAGAGATGCTCAACAATAACAGCAATTCATTAAAAAATTACTTCAGTTGGTTATTGGAAAACTAAGAAAAGATTGAAAGAAAACTAAGGTTATTTATGGACTATTCGAAAACAATTTAGAATATTTTTAGAAAATATGTGTTTCATGATATGGCAACATCTAGAAGAGAAGCTATTCAATATATGCCTTTACTTTATAAATTGTATTGCACAAGATTGATTGTCTTATAATCAAGGCAAAGCAGATGGGAGAATTTTACTAAGGATATCACATGGCACTGAATGTTAACACATCACAGGAAACTGAATGTTCTAAACTTCAGTGCTATGTGATGTGCTAACATGCTGAACATTGAAAGCCATAAGAACATTTTAAAGTTTAAGCTAAATAATTGACTTCGGCTACATCATTGATTTTTTTAATTACACGCACACATTCTAAACAATATATTTAAAAAGTGGTAAAAAAAGAAAGAGAGAAAAAAAGGCAGAGCTTTATTAAAGCAAGACAACTAATTATTGCACCAAATTTCAGAGAAGTTTTAGTTTTTTTTCCCTCATAAATTTTAATACAGTAAAAATACATAATTAATACTTTTGGATAACTAATTTCATAGATTTTGACTTTTAAAAATACATTTATATCTTTGAAATGAATGGAACATATTTTAGAATGTTTACAAATTCTTTTCTTATGAGCCACGTGAGACTAAATTAAAAATAATAATAATAAAGTTATAATAGTAAGATTTACATAAAAATGACAATCTAGGACTATATCTTTCAGTTTGAATAGAAATAAACTTACTCTTCCATTTATTTTAAAATCATTGCTAAGTCAAGTTAATAAATAAATAAGATTAAAATCACATAAATTTACTCTTCATTCAACATCATTGACAGTCAAGGATTACCTTGAAGAAATATTTAGCAAAGCAAATTTTTATGTTTTCTTCCGAGATTGTTATATAAAAAGGCATAAAGCTAAAAATGCATTAAATTTAGTTCCAAACATTCAAAGGATTTAAATAAATTAAATAAAAATGATAAAGCTTTTTTAAACAAATATTTGAATAAGCAAATCACATTTTACATTTAGAATGAAACAGGACATGAATGGTTAAGAACATGAATGCTGCAAATGCAATTTAAAAAATATATAAATTTTATTTTTCAATTGACAAATTACATACTGAGAATCAACAGGTTTATTCTCTGGTGGACCTAAATAGGCTAATAAAGTAGCCATTTTATCAAATGGTCGACGCCCCACAGCTTTATGATCCCTGGAGCTAGAAAGATAGTCCCCTATCTTTTCTTGGTGATTCCATAGAAGTCTGTGAAGAGCGTGAACATTAGCATCACTAATGAATGACATACTATGACTAGCCTGATCCATTGATTCCAAGTCAGAAGTTATTTGAACTACCCACCTAACATATATACAGATAATTTAGAGCAAAGAATGGAATAAATACTCACATAATATGGAATATTGGATAAATTTAAACAAAAATTAAAACATATACAATTGGGTGCAGTATATAATAAATGCATAAACCTAGCTGATAAGCTTTTAATTATGACAAACCAAATAATTATTTCAAAGCTTAAATACAAGTAATGACTACTTTGTTATTTTTACATGGCAACTAGATAGATCTGAAAATTTAAATTTTCAATTAGTAGCAAGTGGCCGGAGGACCCTAAAGGTTTAGTAGCCACTTTTCCTCAAACCTAATGAGTTCGTGACTAATATCGATAGGTCCTTTTCATTTAATAAACACTTCTTGCAAACTTTTTTTTTTGCTTGGTTAAAATTTTATTTAAAAAAAAAAGAATATTTATATTAGAAATTATCTATGGATATCAAAAAATTAATTCAACAGTAAAAATAAAAATGTGTGGCAAAATTTAGTTAAAAATACTGAATTCAAAGAGCTTTATTTAATAATATTTGGGGAGGTAAAATATATTTAATTTATACATTACAACTTTGTACATGAATATTTCCCCCACAAATTTTTAAATTTTACAAAATAATTTTAAATTTTAATGAAAAATCAGTTTTCCAGAGTATTTTTCTACATTAATGTACTTTTATCACTCAACGATTTTCTTAAAAAAGTGGCCAATTGTTTATTTAATTTCAGTCATCACTTTTTTGTTGATTCGCCACAGGGCAAATTGTTATTTTCAAATCTACAGCCAGTTATGATGCACCCAGATTTGAAAGCCAGTGTTCATATAATGATTGCTACATTTTTGTATAAGTTGTCTAAGTATTGAACGAAGATAAAAAAAAAAAGAAATATTGGTTAAAATATAGTTTAAACTTTAAAAAAAACACACACATTAAAATAATCCGGTTTTGGCCTTGGGCTACTCGCATATGAAGCTATCCTATGCTTTTTCAAATATTCAAACATGAGTAAATTAAGTTTTAAAAATAATACTTCAGAAAGTATTAAGTTGAAGAAGTTTAATTATTATTTAATATATTCATGAGCTGTGTCTTTATATAAAGGTAATATCTCTCTTTAGTGCAAATATAACTAATAATTAATTTATGGAATTCATTAATTTCTCTTTATCATAAATTTAATTATCTAAAAAAAAATATATATATATATTACACAATTTAAGAGAAGTAAAAGAAAAAAAATTTTTTTTTTTTCTCATAGAGTTGGAACTAACCTTTTCTTGTTTTAAATAATTATTTGTATCAGATGAGCATTTCTCAAAGGGTCATATAAGAGTTGGATTTTTAATTTTATTTTTTAAATTCTAAGTAGAAATAAAAATTTTTGAATCTTGGAGAAAGATTAGAAACTAAGCAGCCATGAATTTAATCAAAACTTTTTTCTTTTTTAATTCTTAGTTTCTCATTTAACTTTTTGATCATTTCTCTAACCTCTGATAAATGATTATTTTAAAATTAAAAAAAAAAAAAATCTTTAACATATTTACTCCCTTTTTAGATTCTTGATTTTTACTGTACTTTCAGAATTTATCTATCACATTTTAAAAGAGTTCTAGCTTAAGAGGTACATAAAAAATTGTAAGGTTTGTAAATGGAATGTGAAGATGTAAATTTTGGGATTGGCAACTGTTGCATTATATTAAGCCATAATAACTTGTAAAATGCACACTTTACAAAATTTTTGGTAAAAAAATTTAGTTCCAGTAACTATGCAGCTATTTATATCTAAAAAATAAATTATGCCACTAAAAATTAAGAAAATTTTTTATCACAGAAAATTTAAATATAAATCTACAACAAAAAAGAATAATATAATTAGACAAACTCATAACAAAGTAGTAATAAAAAATAAAGTACCTTCGCCCATGTTCAAAATTTGCCCTGAGAAAGTCATTGAAAGAAAGCATATGTTGTTCTTTCATAAATTCAACATGATTGGCAATATTTTGCAGAATTTTGGACATTAACATTAGTCCTCGTTTAGTTCGTACAGATGGCTGTTTGTCTACAATTCCCATCTCAAAGGGTGATACTAAAAGCAAAAATCTCAATAAGAAGAAACAAACAAGTCATATTTGAGGATAATGAAAATAAAGGAAATCGAATAATTGATCCAAGAGATAGGACTTTGCAATTTCTAACACAAGAAAGCGTTTCAGGTCTCAGAGTCCAAGTTATATTTTCCTCATAAAATTTGATGAGAATTTTTTTAGAATTAAAAAAAAAAAAAAAAAAAAACATTTCTAGAATTAAGAAAAACATTAAGGATACAAAAAATATCATGGTTAAAATTTGATGTTTTTAAATATATAAAAAATGACTCATTCCATTTAAAATGGACCAAAACGAAAAGAACTCATTGGTACCACATCACAGATCTTAATAAAAATTTTTAGTAAAAAAAAGTACTTGATTAAAATTTTTTTTAACATTTTATAGACGAAAACTGCGACTAGTTTTCCATTGTAAAATTTGATTCAACTTAACAGGCATAACTACAAACGGTGGTTCATAGGTTAATAGTGTCTACATATTTTTTTTTAAAGCTGATTTCCTTATTTTCGGTTTTATTAGAAGGAAAAATATGAGAACTATGTAATTGAACAATTAAAACACTGGAAATATATATAAATAATTATTAAAAAAATTTTATTGAAACAATTTTTGAAGAAAACTTTTTGTAAAATTTCAAGAATTTTTTACAGGTAAATAAATTTTTACCACATCAAATTTTTTTCTATATAATATATCATCTTTATCAACATACAATATAAAAAAAAGTGAAATGTGGATTTTATCACAATACTTAATAAAAAAATATACCAATATATATATAATTATTAAAAATTTGTATTGAAACAATTTTTGAAGAAAAATTTTCATAAAATTTCAAGAATTTTTCACAGGTAAATCAATTTTAACCACCTCAATTTTTTCTCCACACAATATATCAGCAAGAAATTAAAATGTGGTTTTTAGCAAAATATCTAAAAAAAAAAAAAAAATTCTAATCTCTCTCTCTATATATATTTAAAAGACTTTATTAAAAATTTTTGAAAAATTTCAAGAATTTTTTACTGATAAAAATATTTTCACCACCTAAACTTTTTTTCACACCATCTCTTCAACATAAAAAATTAAAACGTGGTTCAAAATTTATTTATGTCAGAAATATGTTTTTTGAGCTAGATTGTTTTTTCTCATAATTTTAAATAACATATTTTTTAATATGAAGAAAAATCAAGAGGGTGTATTAAATTATTGCAATATATATTAATAAGATCAATATAAATTTATAGTAATAATTATCAACAGCTAAATATTAAAAACTGTTGGACATAACAATTACGTGAAGACTTACCCACAGCTGGATTAATAAAACGTAGAAATATTACAGTACCCACAGCACTAATATTGTGGGGAAAATTTGGAAATCTTTTGTTTAGAACTTGGTACAAGCAATGACACATGCTTCGAAGTTGAAGAGGAAATCTAAGAAAATATCGATAAACAAAATTTAGTGTCTCCTACGAATGTAGAAATGAACAAATGCAATATACATTATTAGAAATGAACAAATGCAATATACATTATTAGAAATGATTATACCTATCAGCAGAAGAAACAATCGCATTGAAGACTTTTTGAGTGATTGATAGCAAATTCCGTCTATTTTCTTCAACATCTTCACCGTCCTCAAGTCTTTAATAGAAATAAACAATATCATTTAAAAAAAATTATACTTTTGAAATGAATAAGTTTAAGATAAAAGATCAATAGATATTTTCAGTGTAAGCAATTTATTCGTAATGATAAATCAACAAATGAGCGTTAACAAAAGATAAATTTAGGTAGGTTTTAAGATAGAGGTATGGATAACAAATTATATTTCAAAGGCCTTATACTACAGTTTAAAAATATCTAAGTTTATATGCTAATTTTAATTAGTGAATATCATAGAAATTTAAATTTTTATGTAATTTAGCTTGTTTCATTCATTCAGGAAACAATAATAGTTTAGAAATAAATAAGCTTCAGATAAAATTCCTACAAACATTTCCTGTTTTAGATTAATGAGCCATATATTTGTAATTCATAAATAAAAATGAATGTCGGTCTGTGTGTGCATCCTTCATAGAATTCTAAATCATCCGACTGAAAGCGATGAAATTCACCATGCTGATAGTTTGAAGCCTGAGGGAGGTCACAGTTGATGCTAGAACATTTTACGTTGAACCGTTCGAGTAGGATGAGAGAAAAATGAAATGAAATATTCTGATTGGTTAAGCATATGACATTGTTTTAAAATTAGCTATAGATAATTCACATATAGATTTTACACATATTTTAAAGATTACATCAGTGATATTTGCTAGCTAAGATTTCAAGAGATTCGTAGAAAATTACCATACGCAGATGAAGCAGAATTAATTTTGGTAATACATACTACTGGTATTATGATAACTGGCGCAGTTTTAATGAGAATTACAATGGATTTCAGAAAATATTTTAGTAGTGGTAGCAAATGTAGTGAATTAATATTTTAATGAATTAGAGTTAACAGAACTTTTTTTAACTACCACTTATAAGTATTTTTAACAGTAAATCAATGAAATGGTCATGCTCAAGATCCTTATCAAGGTTTTATAAGAATTCTGTCAGTTTTTAAGATTTAGGCTTTACTTTTCTCCCACTGATAAATGTATATTGCATAAAACTCAAATGTTGAAGGGTTATGCAACAAATAGTTAATATTCTCATATAGTTTTAAAGTAATATGTAGATATATCATAGATTATTAAAACTGCACCAATACTAATCAGTTTTAATGCCGATACGGTGGAAATAAGTGTTTATGGACCCTTGAAGGGGATATATACTGGACATAATTACTTGAAAATGGTAAATTTTGACAATCATAAGTTGGCCGCTAATAATATCATCACGACAAGTGATGCTAAACACAGTTAATCTTTATTCTGATGGAATGAACTATAAAAACGTGTTTAATACAATAACATAAAGCCACCTAGAAAGGCTGCAAATAATAATAAATAAATAAAAATGAAATTATTGTAAGGTTAAAAATTGAAGAGCTTTGTAGAAAAACCAGGTTATTGACATTTTCACAGAGGCTATAATCAGGGTAAGCAGGAAAAAAAAATGGTTTCCGAACAATTTTATTGCCCATTTATTAGAAGGTAGGACTAATAATTCATTATCTTATTTTATTTATTACTACCTAATTTAAAAATAAAAATCATGCAAGTATACTAAAAACTAATGTGGATGGGTTACATCAAGATTAAAGTGAAACCAAAAACAATTGTGTTACATTAAACATACCCATATAATGCAACCCTTCATGTTATTTCCAACGATTCTTAAATCCCCTAACAATTTCACTTACATGGTTCTTCCACTAAACACTTTAATTATGTTAGTATGTGCCTTTCAGTTTTGTGCATGATTTCATAGTGTTATTCAGTACTGATTGATTTTATTTTTATTCACCATGTACGAAGAACAGGTATTCAGCTAGTGATTAATAAACATATGTGCTTAAACACTAGATAAATTTGGGTAAGTTAGATGTAGGTATGAAAAAAAATTATACTTCAAAGACCTTGTACTGCAGTTTAAAAAGATCCATATTATATGCTAATTCCAATTAGTGACTATCCCGGAAAAATAAATATTTATGTAATTTTGCATGTTTGTTGACATTTTTTTAACTAAGAAAAAGAATATATTAAATGTAATAAGCAAGGGGGTAAAAGAACTATGTAATGTTGCTAAATAGATGCATTAAGGGACAATTTTAGAAAAATAAATCATTAAATACAAGTCTAATCTTGCAAGATTTAATCACAATTAATTTCAACATTCATAATGCTGAACTTAAAGAGATCAATAAGGATTTTATGGGGGGGGGGGAACTCAGCAGCACTAGACAAAGAAAAATGCAAATGAGAGAGTTAAGTTATTGTAATTGTAACTTTTGGCATTAAAAAGATATGAAAATGAGCTTATATGCATACACAATAATTTATACTTAATTTTAAACTTTCTCGTTTAATCAGACCTCATACGCATGACCCAATTAAAAAAAAAAAAAAGGTACTGAAATAGCATGATGAGTAAAATTTGTTATTATATTTTATGATGTTAATGAGCTTGCACACAAATTTTTATTTCCTTAAAAGAAATTTTTTATAGAAAGTTAAACCATTTTCTACTTAAAAACCAAATGCTTCAAAACTTTTACATAATTTTTTCAAAAAGGAAAAGTATTGAAGCAAGTAACTTTTTAAACATAGTTAAAAAAAATTATAATGTTTTTACCTAGCTGGATCAACTTCGTAGCTAACGTTAGCCAGATCTAAAAGTGGACTTAACAATGGATCAAGCAAACTTAACAAATAACTTGCACCATATATCTTAAAGCAGAATGCCATAATTTTGCTACCAAGACTATTTCCTCGAAATAATGTTTGCATACAATCTGTTACTTCTACCTAAAAACAGTAAACAATGAAAGAATGAATATTATCGACAATAGAATAATAAATACAGTCGAACCTCGCTAACTCGAACCTCGATTTCACGAACTTTTCGATATCTTGAAGAAAAAAAAATTCCCTTCAAATTTCCTATACACTCAAAGTTAAAAAAAAACTTGATTTCACGATTTTTTTTCCTAATCCCTCGATAACTTGAATTTTTTTTTCCAGATTTCTTTCCTTAAAATAAAAAAATATTCCCCCCCAAAAAATGAAGAATTTTAAGAATAGAAAACCAATTCTCATAATGATAAACTTTTTAAAAAAAATGGACATAAAGACGTCAGTGGCATGGAATGATGTATCTTTCGATACGATAATGAATGGCTTCAAGAATGCTGGATTCATTAAAGATCACGAAAGTAGTCAAACAATCAATATCGTTAATTCTGCTGAAAACTACACTGAAAATGATTGGGACAGATTGACCGGACTCATGAAACTAGATGACATGGAATTTCATGACTTTGTAAACGTAGATGATGCAGTAACAGTGTGTGATCAGTGGGATGACAATGATATCATTGCTCAAAGGAAAGCCTCTTGTGAACTATCAGAAGAAGAGGATGAGGAAATCTAAGATTTACTGCTCAATGTTACTAAAAAACATGCACTTTCTGCAGTGGACACTGTAAGGAGATTTATTGAGATGCAGCCAAATATGTCTGAGGAGACATTTAAAGCTATAGTTCACTTAGAAAGTTTTATAGAGAAACTTTCTTACACATTTTTAAAGCAAACAACAATTGAATCTTTTTTTAAATGAAAGTGTAAAAAGGTGCTTTTAGAATAAATATGGAATGGTAAATAAGGTATGTAAGGAGCATTTTTCTTTATTCTACCATCGATAACATGCTATTTTCGATAATTCGAATTTTCGGTATCTCGAAATTTTTTTCCTCTCCCTTCAAGTTCGAGATATCAAGGTCTGACTGTACAATAAAATAACAATAAATTCAATGGTGAAAGTTCCTAATATGAAAAATTTTGGAACTAGTAGTTGATAAATTAACAATATAACATACAGAATTTATATTGGTACATTAATGGTTTTCAGTCTAACTTTGTGTTTTTATATTCCATCGGTAATTGAAATAAATACTGATAATTCATATTTTTAAAAAAGTGAATTACATATTTAATAAATATTTAAATTTAAGAGCTCTGTACTACTTTGCAAAAGAATGTTATGACTCTAGTACTAATTTTACCAGCTATAATTTTATTACTACTAATTCAATGAAAAAGTGCTTTTTTAAATTTGAATATAAAAGAGTTGTAACTTAAAAAAATAAATGTTATTTTCACTAAAAGAGTTTGCTGATAGTTCTTTGAAAGCACATAAAGCCATTAGTTTATTAAAATAAATCATTTCACATAATTTTTTTTAATAAAATCAATTGAATGAGCAATTAATAAAATTATCAAACATTTCATTTATTTTATTAAATTAGTGACTGTTAATACGCATTAAAAAATTGTTAGAATTTGTTAATTTGGATGAACAATAATTTTGGATTTACAACCAACACCAAACCAACACAAATTTTGCAAAAAACAAACTTTTTTTAATTGAGCATTTCAGTTGAGGGAAATTTTTTTATTACTCTAAAATAGTCATACACACATCATATAGTAAATTTGCAACTTCATATAATGTAAATAAAATATAGTTACTTCTTTGTAGAACATGTTCCACAGTAGGGGGGCTAACAAGTGCTTAGCATCAAACAGAGTTACAAATACTCTAGCCAATTCATCCTAAAACATATAAATAGCAAAAATTCTAATTTAAAAAAAAAATCTTAAAAATATTGTAAGCAAATTTTTCAACAAACTTTATCACAGGTTTATACAGGGTATCTGCTTCATTTTAGATTTTCAAATTCATGATTTTTCATGACTAATTCCAAGAATTTTTCATGACTTAACAAAGTTACCTATTTTCTCTGACAAAAACACAACAATAAATTTAAAAAATCATTATAATAACATTCATTGAAATGATAGGTATAACCAAAATAGTTATACTCTGAATCTTCATATTTATAGATTTTAAATTTAAAAAACAGAGTAAAGAAAAAGAGTTGAAGCAATAAAATAGCTGAAAAAAATACAAAAGCAAATAATTTTTTTTTCCTCTGCAGAGAATTTTCTTGTTCATCGGTAAGGAAAGAAATACTCCTGATTTTTCTGTTCTAATTTTGGAATAAAAAAATTTGCCAATGACTGGCTACTTGCTTCAGATAGAATTTTAAATTGATAAAATAAAAAAAATAAATAATAACAAAAATTCTGAAATCACAAAAGTTTAAAAAATAATTCGCTCCAGAAATGTTTTTTCTTTCATTTTCTGAAAGAACACAATTACAACATTTAATATTTTAATAAAATATGACTGTGAGTGGGGATTTTGTTACAAATCCAGATATTCAGAACACCATGAAATTGGGGGGAGGAAGTTAAATTCCATTTTAAAAGTTAGATTTTTCAGCGACCTAAATCCATGACTTTTCATGATTTTTAAAAAAAAAATAGTTAAAATCATGACATTTCATGACAAATTTTGTTCAATACTGAAATTCATGACTTTCCATGATTTTTTAGGTGCGCGGATACCCTGTTTATAGAATTTTAAATAAGTAGCCAAAGAACATGATACCTCATGCAGAAAAATAAGTTTGAAATACACTCTAACTTATGTACCAACAAATGACTAAAAATACTTTTGATTATTTCATTAAAATAAGCAAATGTTCTTACATATTTGATTTCTTATGCATGGGAAGTGATAACATATTTTTATCTCATTAAAATAAAAATAATGAAAACATTAACAAAACCTTATGTTACATACTATCAGATAATTCAATATATTTTCACTTATACAAAATACATATGTTTTGTTATTGCTTTGAAATTTTATTCATGTGAAATAATAACATATTTTTATCTCATCAGAATTAATATAATAAAATCATTAAACAAACCTCAAGTTATATATTAGCAGATAATTTAATGAATTCTCAATTATTTATACAAAACACATATGTTTCGTCATAGCTTTGAATTTTTATGCAAATGAAGTAACTTATTTCTTATCTCATCAAAATTAATAAAGGAAACCATAAAGAAAGTTTAAGTTATATACTAACAGATAATTTAATGTATTCTTATTTTTTTATACAAAATATATATGTTTTGTTTTAGCAATTAATTTTTAAGCATGGGAAGAGACAATTTGTTTATCTTGTCAGAACTAAAATAATAAAGCCAATATACAAACCTTAACATATGTAACAATGTACTATTACCAATTATTTACACAAATATACATGTTTGGTAATATCTTTAAGTTAGTAAGCAGGAAAAGTGCTAACTTACTTTCATCTTTTAGAATTAAAATAATGAAAAACTATAAAAAAAACTAATACAGTCGGACTTCTATGTAACGAACTTCCATTTTGTAAATTTTTTCAAGGAACCAAGAACATTTTGGAAATTTCACCGTAAAATAAGTTCCACATAGTGAACTTTCTATTTAACAAACTTTTCTTTGAGATCCACTTTTCCGATTTCCCAAAATATTTCAGAACATTTTAAACTTGTCAATACATTTTATGGGGGAAATAATCTTGAATTGAATTTTGAACCCATTTAACTTTTAGAGAAAGCAGTAAAATCACTCATTCTTTTTTTTCGCATTTCAAACGAAAAACTCTAACATAAACGACAAAATTAAAGGATTTTATCAGTAGCAATTAAACTTTCGAACGCATGTGGTAATGTATGTTAAAAATTCTTCTTATAATAAATGCAGCTATAATTTTATGCATAAATTTAGCTTTTTTTTTAGTTGAAAATGTATCTAGCATGATTGTGCAACACTGGATAATGTTTCGCTCTATTCTTGCTTTCCACGCAGATTTCTTTTATGATTAAGATTTATAAAATAAATAGTAAATACTACTTTACAATATAAAGGTGCATCCATTGCTATTTTAATTATGTCTAGTGTTTATGAATTTGAAGCCTGTTTTGTGCCGTTTAAGTATTTCAAAAGATGATTTTCTATTTAACGAATATTTATATAATGAACTTATTATCGGGATTCAGCGAGTTCGTTAAATAGAGGTCAGACTGTAATTTAAGTTTTAATTCAATGTTTTCAAATTATCCTTTTAAGCCTGATAGTTAACAATTAAAGTCAATTATTTACTAAAATAAATGCTTGAAACTATAAGTTTAGCAATGAAACAAATTTAAGTTGCTCACCATTTGAGGATTCATGACAACACTAGCTAAAGCCATTGCAATAGGCAGTTCTCCTTTATCACCAATCATCGTAACAAGCTGAACTAACTGTTCATATCTATCCGCTAACACAGTTTCTGCAAGCATATCAAATTCTGTTCCTTGCTGTAAAATTTTGGTGAGAACTTCCATGAAAGCTGCTCTGGTTTGAAGATCCTTATGGTACCCTAAGCCTAAAAATATAAATCAATTTAATAAAATTGAAAGTAAAACAATTATTCTTTGATAAAACATTAACTAGGATTAAGTTCATTAGCATAAAAATTACTAATTTTCAGATAAGCACTGGGATTAATAACTCATCTAAAACTATCCCTCTGGTCCACCATGAAAATTTATTGCCATACAAAGTACATAGCGGCCAACTTGGATATGAAAAAATCCAGTAGATTTTATGGAATAACATAAATTTCATAATCGCTGCTTAATGTACTAAATATTTTACACATAGGGAATTTCAGGAATTTTCATAGTCATCAAAATAAATACTACAATACTTTCCAGTCATGATTGACATTAAATGAACTTGAAATGTTATGTATTATGTTTACTTGTAAGTTTGAATATTAATAGGCATTTAATTCATCAAAGATAGTTGAAAGATTTTTATAAATGAGGCTCACTTTAACAAGTACAGTACAGAACTCGTTATCCGGAACTCAGAAAACCGGAAAACCAAAAAACCGGAACGAAATTCGATAAATTTCCCCCCCATTTTTAAATTTTTTTTTCATCATAAGATTTTAGGATTTTTCTTTCTTTTTTGAAAGATGTTTACCTTTCCATTATTTTGGAAATAATCATTAGTGTATTACTTCATCGTTTTTTCTTCTTTTTAAGATTATTTCCATTTTTTTTTAAAAGTTGGGTTTAACAATAAAAAAACGGCTTTTTGCAGCGATTCAGAAAACCGGAAAAATCAGTTATCCGGAATAGCGACGGTCCCGATCGTTCCGGATAATCGGTTCCCTACTGTATTAGTAAAACTTATTTAAGTATTCAAGCAAAGTGCAAAAATTTTATTTTAATAGGGATTTTTCAGGAAACTTACTCAAGTTTAGGTAATTTTCTGAAATGTACAAAAACCAGGAGAATTTTTAATAAACCAAAAGACCAGGAAAAAGTGGCAAAATCTAGTAGCCCACTGGAAATTCCAGTAGTGTTAGCAGCTATGAAAGTATTATGTTTTGCAAAGCATTTGTGTAAAGATTTTCTTAAAACAAGATGGCATCATTTTAAAAAAAGAATAGAGTTGGAAATGTTCAAATGCTAAAAATTCAACAGGTTACAGAGCGAAGAACATTATATGATATGCTTGAAATTCATCACAATTCAACGAAATATATAAAAAAAAGTTAGGGATTACACACAGTTAAGGAGACATTAAGTAGCAACAATAAAGAGTTGGAAAAAAAGTGAAGAACTAGTCTCCATCTTAGGTGACAGCTTGAAGCCAATTTAACTTTATATGAATAGTAGATTATCTGGGAAGTAAAGGCGGTCAGGGCACAATGTTAGCTTTTTGCCCATTGAGCAAACAGGTTGTTGCAAGAAAGCTTTGCTTTCTCCGATTAATTATGATTCTTCCATTTTCACTTCACTATATTAATTTAATGTAAATTTTTTTTGTATTAACTTAATAAAAAATACTAAAACATACAAATATGGGTTAAATTTTAAGAGATAAGAAAGACAAACATACTAATAGAATGCATGAGTCCACTATCAACATTAGCACTTAAAAGATTTGACATGGCTTGAATAGTGCATGTTCTCAGCTCACTAAGTCTGGATACATTAACTCTATGCCGAACTTCTTTATCTTCTGTTGAATCACCACACTCGTTTAGTAAATTCATGAATAAGGAGAAATATCTGAAAGAACATAGAGATTAAATATGGAGATTTTTTCAGAATTTTTTCATTAGACCTATATTTATTACTTTAAAAATATAAAATTGAGTAGAGAGTAATTGTTATAAAAAATCGTGCAAGAAGCAACAAGGTTCAGGAAAACAGAATGACTATGAAAAGCATCGTAATTAGATTAAGTAAAATTATACAAAAACAACTTAAGATTTCTACATTACATCATTAAAGTGTAAAAAAATTTCAACTTTTTCAAAAGTCAAATTCATATAGTTATTACAACATTTCAGCAGAACTAGTGAAATAATCGCTGCCAATCAATTTAAATAATCATAAACAAATTTAGCAATTAGTTCTAAAGACACAATTCATTTCAGAAACACAAGTTATTCTGGATAGAACTGCATTGCATTAATTTTGCTTCTAACAGCAGGAACTGAACTCTCGTTTCCGGAACGGAAGATGCCGAAGCTGTTGCTCATTTAACATTACTCGGCGGGCACCTGTGAACCTAAGTCACAGAGGCGAGCAATATTGCCTACATCACACTGCCATGGATACCTATTCATAGGGTGGGCCATATTCTGACAACAGGGGACAACACACATAGAGTAACATCCAAGCCCTGAGGGCAACTCAAACTCACAACAATTGGTTTTGCAGTCAGGCATCCTGACAGTTCAGCCACCTGGATGGCCATTGCATTAATAAAAAAGGTACCAAGAAAATTGAAAAGAAATTTCACTTTTAGGTACCTCAAATTTAAATTAATTCATTTACTGAGATTTTTTAGATATTTTACTAAAATTCCCTAGTCTGTGATTACTCTGCAAGATAAATAAAAAGTGAATATGACTTACTTTAAGAATAGCTGTGATTTAGCTTCCATCAAATCACCTCGATCACTCTCTTCTGGCTGTAGTGGTAAACCCCTTAGAAGTGCGGCTACTGCTTGCATGCACGCTTGGTCAAGATCCCTTGTTAAAGTTGTGACATCTCCAGAATTAGGGGGAGCCAGTTGATGACTGTTGCCCATCACCCAATCAGTAAGGTATTCTACGAGTTTATTGCGAAACTTCATTTCTTGACGAAATGCCAAATCATCTCGCCTAACCATCATGGCTTCAACCAGCTGGCAAAGCTTTGTCTTAATTTGAATAGCATGTACAGTGGTATCTAAGTGGCGGACGTACCTGGAATAATAAATTAAGACAGGAGAAAACTAATTAAAAAGATATAACATACATCTCGATGTATAAATCGACCCCCTATTTTTTATTACAAAATAACAAATTTTTGATACATCAGGTATATAAGTTGACTATTGAAAATACAAATATAAAAATTTAAAAAAAAAATTAAGCCTACAAAATTCGTTTAAAGTTAAAAATAATTCACATTGTTATCTCTGGATATGACATATTTGCCAACAAATAAAGATGCATATCATTATTGAATTCGACACAGAAGATGTTCTCGAATTTTTAAATTTGTAACTTTATGGTATAATTGTAAAGTTTTCATTGTGTTGTACATTTCGAAATTCTCCAGTATAAATTATGTTAACTTTTCTTAATCTAAATTTTTTTAAATATAATTCAGTGTTTCTAGAAAAACCTTCAGATATAAAGAAATATAATTTTAAAAAATGCAAAATTAATTGTATATATTAAAAAATAGTTTTTGAAAGTGGTAAATTGATACAGAGTTATTCAGATTTATCTCATTGCTCATAAGGTACTGATATTTCCTGATCAACAAATGTCTGACTTTATTACGGGTGTATAAGTCAACCCTCTGATTTATTTAAATTTAAAATCCTAACATCTTCAATTCATGTTTCAAACTATATTTTATGAAAATTGAATAATATAGAACAGGGGTGATTGTGAGCCCAAGCCAAAATTCCGGAAAATTTCTTGAGTTAAAAAAGAAGTTTAAATTGAAAAAAATTCAAAAAAGTTTATTTTTCCTTTTTCTCAATATTTCTTAGTTTACTTAAAATATATTTACAATTTTACACATACCTATACCATTTACACATACCTATGATGACCTGGAGAAGTAATTAAAATTTTACAAATATGTCTTTTTTTCTTGAGTTTATTATTATAACAACTATTTACTGATAAAAAATGAATATTAATCATGATTATAAGCTTATAAAGTATCTCTCTGGCTCTCCCTTACAAACAAATAAAATAAACTGTGTTTTTAACTTCCACCTTTGAAAATTTGATTTCTGGAAACTTCTGTGATCAATGATTTTTTTAAACCTCTGGACCTTCAATCTCCAGAAACTTCCGGTTAGCGAAAAATCCGGATTTTTTCCGGAGCACAATCAGCCCTGATAGAAGTAATCTGCCTATTTAAGTGAAACTAAGGTTCTTAATTCTTTGATGCAGATGGGACACTGGTGTCCTTTTGTATTTCTTTCTCCTGATGCAAGTCTAATTGCAAGTAAAAATGTATTTTTTAATTAAAAAAAAAAAAAACAGTCTAATAGTTACTAAAAAATCTGTAAGAAACATCTGTTAAGATTATCAGAATTATATTTGTACTAAAATATAAAATCCAAAAAAAAAAAAAANAAAAAAAAAAAAAAAAAAAAAAAAAAAAAAAAAAAAAAAAAATAAGTAGTCAGGAAATTTTTTTCTTCTTCCATTTATATTTAAAAATTTATCAATATTTAATATTGTAAATTAAAGAAATTTCAATGATGAATAACTGTTTTGATTAAATCTAAATAACTGCAAAGGTGAAAACTTTTTGTTTGGAAGTGAGTCATGTTTTGAAGATTTTACCTTTAATGCAGAAAAAGACAAAGATGTTTTATGCTATATTTCCTAACCATTATTATATTAAAATGCTAAATATAATAATTTTCAATTGTATTGAACTAAGTTAATACAAAATAAAGAAAAAAAAGTGTGACAAAAATGTTTGACAAAAATGTTTAATAAAAATTATGCATCAAAGGGTTAAGGCAATTAATAAGAAGCACCATAAAACTTGCTCCAAAATAGGAAATGCCATTTTTCAAAAAATATATTGATTTGAAGAGTAATCCTTGCAAAAATTAAAAAAAAAAAGTTACCTTACAATAGCTAACATCATGCCTTCTATGCTACTAACTCCCAAATGTTCTGCAGTATGATCAACTTTATTTTCTAACACACTTTTTAAGATGAAGATAATATGTTCAATAAATTGAGTATTAGGTTCAGTGACAATTACCTACAAAAAATACAGTAAAACAGAGTGAATACAGTAACATAAAATAACTATTATTAACTTCAAACAAATACTAAAATATAAACTTGGTTACGTATACCGTCGTTTTCTTTAAAAAGCTGTGCGAACTAAATAAACCTAAAAAATCGTAATTTAGCAAAAGACATCTTAACATGTGAATTAGTTATTAAAATATAATAAAATAAAATTATTATTTTCCAACCTAAAACAAATATATAATATAAGTCAGAAGAGTAGTCAGAAAGTAAAAAAGAGGAAATTCAAGAATGAATATTATATATATATATATATAAAAATTTGACAAAAAAAGTGCGATTTTTAAACTTGTAAACCATGTGATTATAAATCCTGATGATTAGTTTTAAAATTGTATGAATATGAATCCCGATATGAGGCTTTTAAATCACGTGAATATGAAACTCTATATCGAATTTAAAAAATGCAAAAATTTAAACCATGATGTGTAATTTTTAGATCACGTAAATATGAATCATGATGCATAATTTTTCAATCGCGCGAATACGAATCCCATCCTCTAATTTTTAATTACGAAAATCGATGTTTGATATTACAACCGCAAAAACGAATCATGACATTGGATTTTAAGCTCACGTGAATACGAATAGCTAAATAGGGCTTTAAAAGCACGCAAATACAAATCGCGATATTGGATTTTTAAATCTCGTAAATAAGAATCGCAATGAACGATATTTAAAACGCCTGAATAAGAATCGCAACGCAAATTTTAAATCAGGTAAATACGAAAATCGATGTTTGATAATAAAATCGCGATTTTAAAAATGCATAAAAACAGAACGCGATATTGGATTTTTAAATCTCGTAAATAAGAATCATAATGTACGATATTTAAACAGCGTAACAAAGTCTGGACTTGGGATTTCTAAAAGGCTTGTTTGTATTGTTTTTGTTTAGACATAATAAATAAAAATTTACAAGATTAATTGAATGAGCAAATAAATCTTTTCACCACAAATCCACCTCTATTTTTTTTCGTTCGCTTTCATGCCAGAGAAAGGAATTAGTGACGTCTGAATTACGAAAATATGAGCTATCTAGCGGACGGATAAAAATACGGAAAATCTTATTTTCTGTGCGTAAAAGTGAAGAAAACGGCTAAAATAAGTAAAAATGCAGAAGAGTTAGCTTCAACGACTGAATTTTAAAAAAAAAGCGGGATATTTAAAAAAAAACTTTTATAGAATCGGAGTTTTTGATAAAAAGGGTAGAGACAAAAGAGAAAAAATCTCATCCCTGATTATAAAGGTCAACCAATTTTATCCGAAGGAAATGATTTTCAGAGAAACTTCAAAGGGAGGAATGAGGACTTCAATACTTTCGCTCTGTGGAAAATTAAATTCCTCATAAAATATTTTGAATTGTGCAGAAAAAATTTCCACGGAAATTAGCAGAAAAAATGGGAAAATCTGAAAAAAAAGCAGAAATTCGCGAAAGAATCACATCCCTGTAATTAGTTTTAGAAGTAAAATTTAAATAGCAGGGAGCATAGAAGTAAAATGTTAATATTTGTCCTCCTTTGTAAGGGTCATTTACTGCATAACTAGTATTTAATGAGCATCGCTCTCCGATGTTAAGCACTTTTGCTCTTACTAGAATACTATTTTGTGCTTCAGTAGTGGCAGGGAAATTTACTATGAAATAGATGAGCTGTACTTTGATTTTTTATGAGGCCTTCTTAAAAAGCAAAGGTACAATGCTGCTTACTCACTTGATAAAATTTTAATTGATTAAAAATACATTACAAATAACTTATTAGTACATGCCTTATTTTATGACATAGTTGCTGTCATTGTCAAAGCATTTGTTAAGTCTGGGTACAATCGTTTGTATTCCACAATCTTAGAACTTTGCTGCCTGTTGTTGGAACCCTATTTCAACTTAAGTTATAATTTCATCATCGTTGTGAAAAATTTGCTCTGCAAAATATTTTTTTTAAGTAAAGGAATAATTGAGAGAAGCTGGGTACAAGATACAGGCTGTATGATGGATGATCTGAAATTTTCCATTTAAAACTCTGCATGAGGACGAACGTTGCCATGCAACAAGCAAACTTCTCCTGTCATCAAGCCCTGTGCTTGTTTTGAATAATATGCCTTTTGTATATCGAACGTAACCTTTTGCATGAAGAAAACTTATTACGGAATACTCTTTACACCTGGTGGTATTCTGAATTGATGCAGACATTAAGAAGACACGCTGCTGAAACGAAGCTAAACATAAAAAATAACGAATAATCTCAAGGAAAAAGTGAAACCTCTAAGGTTATATTCCGTATTGCCCATGGACTCACGTAGACTTCTCCTTTGTTGTTAATGGTGAAGTATATTTACTTCCCGAAAATACCCCATAATTAACGATTTTAGCTTTATGTAACTTTTCTGAGGTATCTTAAATATATACAATTTTTATAAGTCTTCAGCATTTGCCTAACAAAAGCTACGAGAACTAATTTGCATACTTCAATCTCTTTTATCAGAATACTTCTCATTAAAATAACTTCTTTTGTAAAAAATAATTACTTCCTATAGTAAAATTTTTTATGATTTTATTGAAAATATTGGCTAACAGTCAAATTGTACTCAGTCCCATGAAATGGAGTTGTTATATAATTAAACTCTATTGTTTCATTCTGTTCTATAACCAAGTTATTATAGAAAAACATAAAAAGGAAAGAAAAACATATCAGGGAGTTAATATGACAAGAAAAGAATATTCTTATTTTTTGGAGAAAGAAAATATATAAATTATAAAATTTTTAGCAAGGAATATAAATTTAAAAAAAAAAAATGTTTTTGATATACATTTATTTTTAATACTTTTTCCTACAAACTAATTAAAGCACAACTTCATTTCCTTCTTTACAGCTTTTCATGCTTAAAAAGCTATAACCATGAGAAGCAAGACTTATGTTTTTCTTCTTTGTAACCAAAAAATTCTGACTAATTCATTGCTTAAATATATTTTAACTGTAATATTTTGCTTATTAAGTGATTACTTTGTTAAGAACATAACAAGTTTCAAAACTTTCTACAATGAATCTGATATTATCACAAATAATTGACTTTTAAAGACTGCTTTTATTTATTAATTATATATAGAAATAAAAGTAAACAACTTACTTGACCCTGCAAATCAAAAAACTTTTCTACAATAGCTTTTATTTGATCAAAAAGAATTGGATACAATGTGGGACTCATTTCATGAGCAACAAGTTCCTTAACATGCTTTTGAATTTGAGTACCAAATTTTTCATTGTGGCACACTAACAAACGTAACAACTGTCCAACAAACCTGTAAATTAAAATTTCATTACATAGCTAGTACAAGTTCATTGGTTGTAATTTAATTTTTACAATAATTACAATATTTGTTTTTCAATTCAATAAATGTATTTCAATTACACAAAACAAGTTCTTAGTTGATTTAATTATTCTAATTTTATTTTCATATGAGAAATTCATAGTTGTGTACTAAAAATTACAAAATTTGATCAACAGATTTGTAAATTTAATTTCACATTTGAACTAATGTATAGAGTGATTTATAAAAGATGGATAAAACGTGGAAGGAAGTTGGGCCAAATCATAAGGATTAGCAATTTCCCAGCAACTCATGACCAGAAATGTCACCCTATATAGTAGGGTCCATTTATAATAGGGTATGTTGTATTGTCACCTCCCTAATAAGAACTGACTGTTTTTGCACATTTAAAATACTTTTTTATTTATCTAAATTTATATTATTTTTTCATTTTCAATAAAAATACACCAAAAATAGCTGTTTTATCATAATTTAATGATCAAAACCAACTTGGCAAGCTCGGCATGATAATTTCCGAATCATTTACTTATTGATTATTTATCTTGCAAGCATTTAATGGTTTGGTAACCAAAATATACTTGGTGAGCTTGACAAGATAGACACCAAATCATTAATTCAAGACAAAATATCAATTCAAGACCGATTTGGATGTATTTTTTAATAATAATAACTAAAAATAAGCAAAAAATTTACATAAAATTAAGATAATTTAGAAGAATAAAAGTCCCATTTTAAATGCTCATGAGCAGCCATTTGTAAAGTGGAGGCACTCAAATGTATAGGATGCCATTTTTCATTTCAATTCACAATTTTTATAATGTGTTTTAACTTCCCTCCATGTTTTCCCCATATTTCATGAATTTCCACATAGATTTAAAATTTGTGTTATTGCTGATATTACATATATTAAAAAATAATTTTATTGAAGAAATGTATTTTAAATGCATGCATTTTAAAAATTAATATTTAAAATATATAAAATAAGTTTATTGCTACACACTAAAAAACCCTAAATTTGAGCGAATGTTTGGTTTAGTAACACGAAAACCATATGCAAATGCCAAATTGAAGATTAAAAAAACTCAAAACATTTGCAGCTTTTTTAAGAAATGTAAACAATGCTAAAAATATAAACTATGCCTGACCAAAAACAGGAAAAATAAAATAGATGAAAGATCATGAGAGCAATTCAGGTCACAGAGCTTATGCATCTAAAGACCGAGGAACTTGCAAACCCAAAAGTTGACGAATATACCTGTAATTTGAACTTCACTATGCAGCTAGTATAAGTTATACATTTTACTGAGATTTACAATACTGGTTTATATTGTTATTTGCAATATTTCAATTAAATACAAAATTATTTGATCCAAGAAATATATAAACTTGAATAAGTGTGCAGCTTACTGTGTCACAGGACAATATTGCAAATCTTGTCCAGGAGTCAACATACTTCCTTTTCTTGCATCCATTGGTAAAGATGAAGTGCATCCTGGCATATTTGATAAACTGCTATAAAATTAATTTTTTTAATTAAAATACATTTTCAAAATAAAAAATATTCAATGTAATAAATTTAAATAAAAGAAATGATAATTTACACAAACTTAAAGCATATATAGTTACCCAGCCCGAGATGGTGATTTTCTGAGCAAGCAAACACCTCCCATAGCACAACAAAAGCCAGTCATATTAGCCCATTCATTAAGTTGATCCTAAAATATTAAAAAAATTAATTTATAGCCAAAATAAATGTCTTAACATTTAAGTCATCAGCAAAATATCCATTATAAAATATTTTTGAAATAAATTATTTACACCAAAATACAATCATAAGTGATTTTATTTATATAATGCATTATTAAAAATATAAAATGCTAATTTACTTTATTTTGACGTTTAAAAAAAAAGAAGAGAAAAATGGGGGAACAGTTAAATCGAATAATTAAGATTTCATTCCAAACAAATTAGACTTCTTAACATCGTAAGATTTTAAAATTTGTAGTTGGTATTCATAAAACATAATTATTTTTTTAATTATAGTAAAAAAAAATATTTATTTACTTTATCTCATTCACTAAATAAACAAATACAATTAATAAATATTTCAAAAACAAATTTTTTTAATCTCATTTGTTAATTTCTTAAAAAAATATATAGAATTAAAAAAAATGAATATTTACAGTTAGTTTATTTTGTCGAGTAATAAATCCAACTTGCATGGAGTGATTTTTAATTTTCTGCATCAAACAATTTACAGAAAACAGACATTCAAAATCAAAATTTTCTGACATTTACAGTAACTATATCTACAGAGCATAAATATAATTTAAAATAGAATTTCATTAATTAGAAAATATTATCCAAAGAGACTCAGTTAGAAGTTGAAACTATTAGAAATATTACAATTAGATATTAAAGGCATAAAGTTTCAAATGTTTAAAGGCAAAAAGTTTCAAATGTCAATTAGAAGTTGAAACTAATAGAAATATTACAATTAGATATTAAAGACATAAAGTTTCAAATGTTTAGGGAACTTTTCTTGATTTTATTTAACAGAAGTAACCCTACAATGCGAAAAAAAAATGAGGAAAATGAAAAACTAAGATTGCCATAAATATTTTTAAACAGCCATTTAAAATGAAATGTCAAAAGAAAGAAGGAAACAAATATTGATCTCCACCCTTAAAAAAACATGGTCAGGTTAAAAAATCATAACATACATAAAAAGCAAGTAGTAAATCTTACTTCTAGTTCATGCTCCGTGCTTTGATGAGAAGCACGTCGTTTCCCAATAGTTCTATGAAAACCTTCACAAATCTGAGGATCCTCAAGTTTAGTTTTGGGATAACTAACTAATAGCTTAGTAGATACTTCCCAGTTCATGAATGTATCTTCCCATGCCTATAAAACAAAGCATTCACCAAATAAGTCAAAGTATGAGCAAAAAATTATAAAAAATGAAAAGTTGGTATGTCATTAAAAATTTTTTTAAATTTTATTCCTGTTACTATGAAGCATTAGATATTTTTTTTTATTAGACTGTCAATTTTGGCACAAATTGGTAAATGCCTAAAAGTATTAACATTAGTATTAATTGTTAACAAAAGTATTAACAATAAATGTAGATAACTTTCTTAGTATTTCTCTAAGAAGTAACCTACTGAAAACTAAGCAAACTATTTAAGCATTTTCTAGTTTAATGTTTTAAAGAAAGAGTTCAACTATAAGAGTAAAGAAGTTAAATTTCCTCACTAAAATCAACGTATTAAAAAAAACAAAATAGCTCTCTAATCACAATTAGCTCGATTAAAATATTTTTTAAAAGTAACATAAATATTTAAAAATTTTTGATTTCAAAAGTCCTGCCACAGGTCCTGCGTTCGATCCTCGGGCCGGGCAAGGTTGACTCAGCCTTTCATCCCTTCAGTGGGTCGATAAATGAGTACCAAGCATGATTGGGAACTAAACAATGGGGGTTCCGCGTTCGGCTGATCACCTGACCGGAACATCTGCTCCTGCACCCCAGAGCCCAAAGTCAAGATAACTGAGATGGGCACAGTAGGCATTGGCCCTCTATGGGCTGTCGTGCCACTGAGTTTTTTTTTTTTAGATTATAAAAGTTATCGTGAATAAAAAATGAACTTAGGCTTTTTCTGTAATTTTGGTAAAATTTTCAGATTTTAGATTTTGTAAACAGCCTCATTGATATTTTTCTACTGACATACAATAAACATACATAAATATGTAAAATATACCATTCTTAGATTATATCTTAGAAACTAGGAAAATAATTTTTTCCAATATTTGTTTTATAAAAAACAGGAGTACTATTATTATACACATGAACAAATTTGTAAAATGTTTAGTTAGAGCAATTCAAAAGCGAAAAAAATACTAAAAAATTTTTGAAATAAAAAAAAATTAAGAGAGAGAAGTCAAAGCCAAAATTCCTATTGAAAATAATATTTTAAATTATTGTACAAATGATCATAATATCTATAAATCAATGTTAAATATACCTGAGAGCACCCTTGAGTACAGTGCTCAATTTTTCTCAATAAACCCATGATTCTTTTTTGAAGGGCTGCTCTACCTATAAAAACAAATTAAGGACGTAAGTTTTTTTTGCATAAAAATCAATAAAATCTGAAAGTTACACAAAGTTTTTAAGTAATAAAAAAGAAATTATCACAAAAGCAAAAGATAATATAAAATCACACTACTTTCTATTATAGCACTTTTCATTGCAAATGTTTTGAAATAAAGGGGGGAAAATCCGGTAGATTTTACGAAATATAAATTTCTTAATAACAATTGGATAATATTGCATGGCACAAGGAATTTTATGAGTTTTTATAGCTAGAAGAATTGTATTATCAGAAAGATTTTGAATTTAAATTAACGACAATATTTTCCATTTATATTTGGCATTCAATGATCTTGAATATAAAATGATTTTATTACATATTTTATGCTTTTGAGCTCTTAATTTTGAATAGTAATAGGTATACTTTGTTATAAAAAGTTGTAAGTTTTTTTAAAATTTAATTTAAGGTATGCAGAAAAAAAAATTCTAACAGATTTTAGATCAGTGGGAGAATTTTTTTAAAATTTATAATTTTTTTTTTTTGAAAATTAAAAAAAAAACCTTTAAATTTATTATTATAATCGAGGTTTGCTTGCTAATTTAGTAGTAACATTGTTAAACTACAGAAGCAAGTAATAAATCTGTTTAAATAATAAAAAAAATTCAGAAAATTTCCCAATTCTACGGAATTTTCTGAAACATATAAAAGCCAGAAGATCCGATTAAATCAGAAGATCAGCAGAAACTGGATAAATCATGTAGTTTAAAGGAAACATTCAGAAAAGTTTCCACCAATGTATTTTGAATCATTAAAATTCCAATGCAATTTTAACAAAAATGCACAACATAAAGAAAAATTTTTGTAACAAAGTAATTATCTGCAGCAATGTAATGAAGTTAATTAACCAGCACTAAACTTATATTTGAAACTACACAAATATTTAAATTGGGTGCTTATTAATTTATGTTCAAATTGGAAAAAAAATATAATGTTTCACGCACATAAGCATAAAGGTCTAACATAAAACTAATTTCTTATTTAAGCAAATTTGTTAATTTAAAAGTACTTTTATTCATTATTTGAAGCAAAATAAGTTAACTGTTATCTTGTTAATATTTTGTAAATAAATATTTTTTTTAAAAAAAAAACACATTTTTTTAAAAATAAAATTTCTTTATTGTGGAACAATTACAATGGTGAGTTGGAGTTGATCATAACATTACTATCTGGAATATTTAAACTTTTCTTTATTTTTTCGGAGTTATAAAACTAATTTAGAAGGAAATGTACTGATTAAAATAAATAAATTTTTCATACCAGTAGTTAATATTGTGCTAGCAGCGGATAATTCTTGATAAACATGATAATTAGGAAGCATATAGGTTACAGTCAAATCGTCTTGCCCACATCTGATATCAGCTTCTTCACATAAGAGAGAAAAACATGACATTGATACTAATACTGCATCAATGTCTACACTCCATAAATACATGAAGAAAACAACCTATAAAAATGTAACAACAATAAGAATAGTGATTTCAAAAACAAACTTTTCCAATCTATATTCAAAAATAATATACAGTAATGTCAAATTTTTGCTAGAACAAAATTGTTTATCTAATTAATATATTTTTTAAATAGTATTGATCACTTACAATTATTCAGACTTTTTGTATTTGCAAATAGTTTTTCAAATACCCATGATTGCTTCTAATAAACCAATTCAAACAGCAGATTTTATTTGAACAGCAGATATAATTAAATGCAACTAACAGCTATTTTTGCAATTGCTTATTGAAGTGAGCTTATTTTACTAGTTTCATTTTTTTAATACATAATTTCTGCTTTCTGTAAAGAAAAAAAGCTAAGTTTATTTTTCTAACACTCTAACAACAGTCAGTTGAGATATAATTAATGATGGAAAAATGATAAAAAAGTTTTTTGTAAATAAGTATTGTATACATTGTTTTGTATACTACGTCTCAGTAATATACTAGGCAATTCAGCACAACAGTTGTATACTTGGGGGAGGGGGGAGTTAATGCATATCATAACAATTAAGAACTACTCAGTCACCTGAGTCCGAAAATATCATTGAATGCCTCTAGGAGAGTTTCTCCTTAAAAGACTAGCTGTTCATATGCAAGTAAATGGTATCTTTATTTATAATTCTAAATTATCTTAATTTTATATTTAATTTTCTTAGCAGTTATTGCGGAAAACTACATCTAAATGGGCATAGGAATGCTGATTTATCATAATTTGATTGCTGCAAAATTTGAATGCTGACTTATCATAATTACCATAAGTTTGGCAACTAACTCGTCAAGGTCTCGATGGGATAAATTTTTTGAAAGTGTTAATAAAGTCATTGACTGATCTGTAAAAGCAACAATTTAAAAAAATAGTTCATTTCTTACTTAAAATCTGGATTATGCTTTTTATTTTTTATAAATATTCAATTATTTTTCCATTTTTATTTTTTATATAAACTGCAAGCAAATAAAGAAAAGTTATTGAATGCACATAATCATTTAATGTTAATGAACATTCATCACTTATTAACTTTTCTAGTTAAACCAGAGCAGAAAAAAGTAGCAAGAAAAGAAAGTGTCAAGAAAAAAAAATGCAGCAGTAAAGGAATGTAAATGTGAATAAACTAAAGAATGAAGAATAAAATGAAAAAAATCTTGAAAAGTGTAAGCATTCCAGCTTATGAAATCAACTGCTTTCTAAACTTAAATGAACTCAGAAAAAAAAAATTTGATTCTAAAAAGTCGCCATAATTGTATTTCTAAACATTGTACTCCTTTAAATTCAGAATTGGCCTCGTAGAAAAAACTAAAACAATAGATTAGTTAGGAAAGATAATTTATATTAAAAAATTAAACTCACCTCTAATTTAATGTGAGCCTGTTTGCATATGGCAATGTGACTTCCCAGATTTGCATATTCTTTATGCTTTTGAAGGAAAGCATTGCGGCATTTTAAAATTTCTCTAACCCACTTTAGAATTTCTGTATAATTCATAATTTGATGCTGTATAAGTTTTTGAGATATTGAGAACAGCACCTGGGAGCTGTAATGATAAACATAATGTTTTGTTAAAAAAAGAAACATTCATAAATTCAGAATAAAAATTTAATATTTATTGTCAAATTAAAAAGACAAAAGCAAAAATTAAAATAAAAAAACACTATCTAAATCTGAATTTCAAATACAAATTTATAATTTGCGTTATCAAAAAATTTCATCTTTTTTGCATAATCATAAATAGTGATTTAAGTTTCAATGTTAAGAAAATGTGTGCATTAAAAGAGTTGAAATGTCTCAAAATATAAACTGATACATAGAGAGTTAAGGCTGAATTTGAAACAGCCATAAATTTACAATTATTGTAACTGATATTTAAATTTCCAACCAATTCAAATAAATATAAATAATTTAAATCGACAAATGGAGGTCAGTTTAAAATATTCCCTTTATGATTGTCAGCAAAATTTCACAAAACTAATTAAATAGTGCATTAAAAATGCTTAATCGTTTGGTACACTTGGATATTTGAACCAGCTTCAGGAACTATATGAATAACCTGGCTGACATATGTTAAAGGAATAAAATTGACTGAATGAAAATTTGAATGACAAAATAACTAGACACAGTTTTACAGTAACAAATATAAATGTTATCCTGTATTCGTGATAATAAAATTAAATATTGTTAGAAACTAAGTCTGATGCAGATAAAATGTTTGAAGTATTTAAACAAGTTAGACTGCCAAGTTATGTTGCTCGAATGTATCATGTCGACTAAATTTTATCTAATTTAATTTTAACACTATTTAATGCTATTATTCGATTGATGAATTCAACCTGTATATTTCAGGATAATGTTTGTGACTTCATTCAAAAATCTTAGTAATTACTTTCTATATTTCAGTTTCAATGTTTCAAATAATATGCAAAAGAAATTATCTCAGAAATTTTACTTAGTTATGTATAAGCATAGAATATGATAGGGATTAGACAATATAGTGATAAACAACATTTTTTTAAAAAAAAGGTGAAATTTTTACATTAAACTGTTGCATAATATTGTTTCTAGATATTTTCTTCAGTTAATAACACAATAGAAAAACTTTTTATTGCCTACTTAAAAATCATGCCATTTTCCATCGAAAACATTATTGAAAAATGTTTAAAAAAATGAATGAAAATGTTGCTCATCACTACAATGTACCAAGCCTTTCTTCTTATTCAAATACATGACAGTCTATTATAAGCCAAGACCCCCTCTATGAGCTTTCTCTAACGGATCCAAATGGATGCTATGGTCTCCCAACAATGGGATACCTGCAATTGACGTAGTGTGGGTACATCGATCCTGATTGGTTGTGGAAAAGTGGCATTTATTCAAGTTTAGCAACTGTTCTTTCCATTCAATTTCGAGTAAGCCAAGCCCATCAAGTATCAATTCTCATTCTTACACGATGATTTTCTCACAAAGATTTCAATTCTCTCACTATATATTTCTTACTTATCACAAAGACAGGCATAAAGCGATGTAGAACATAAACTAATTATGCATCAAAGTTGCCAGGTACATGAAACAAAAATATATCATGGTTACCATAAAATAATAAATATAAGTTAAGTAAAAGAAGCAGAGAAGAAAGAATTATATTTCAATAAATTTGATGTGCCATACAGATTGGTATTTAATTAACTTCACATTAATTAACATTCTAACTTACTTGGAGAAATTTAACTCAACTTTAAAACACCATTTTGCTTATAAACAATCAGCTGGCACTGATGTTATAGGTCACACGTGTGGGTATCTGGATCTTCTTCTTGAAGTGCAAGTACACAATTGACCTTTACATACAAAAACTTAACTCATTGACCTTCATATATCTTACGATTATATAAAGGTGGTAATATCTCACCGAATCTTAAATTGAGATTCAAACATAATACTTCAAATAAATTACTTTTTTTGTAGATAGATAAATATTAATAAGTTATTACCTGACATCCCAAAAGGTATTTATAGGAGATTCTGGATTCCACATCTCTATATTTGTGGGATCATGTAAGACCAACAAAGCCTCCATCGCTTCTTGTGCTACGTCTGGCATAGAAGGTTGATGAATCAATGAAACAAGACCATTTATCAGCTCTAAAGTGCTGCTCTGAATTTCATGTCCTGCCTTCCCTTGATTCTAAATAAATACAAATGGTGAAATATTAAAGCAAAGAATGCGAAAGATTATTTCATGTGACAACATGGTCATATGACAAATATATTCTGAAGGAAGATTTAGCATAGTGTTTACTTTCCTAATTGAAAGGTGAATTAAATTTACTTTCCTAAGGTGAACCATCTGAACAAAACATTGTTATCTTTGTTGATTCTCAGGCTGCTATTCAGACCATTTCTGAATATAATTTATACTCCTCTGAACTTGAATTTAAGTGTAAACAACGCATCGACTCTCTTCTTTGTTCTGGAAGAGAGGTGGTCCTCCAGTGGATTCCTGGCCATTGTGATATTTACGGAAATGAACGGGCTGACATGTTGGCTAGAAAGGCTTCAGCATTGCATCCTTCTTCTCATCCAGTTCCCCTGAGAAATGCAAGACGGCTTCTTAAGAGCAAATTCAGGCACAGAACAATATCTGCTCTTAGGGACTTAGCTGATGGAAAGTTCTGGGATAGCCTTCTTGATGACCAGCAGCGCTCTCACCTTTCCCTCCTTCCCAGAGCTGAGGGAGTTGCTTGCCTTAGAATAATTACTGGACATGACTACTTGCAGGCCCACCTATTTAAAATTAACCTGGTCAATTTACCTCTTTGTGTGCTCTGTAACACTTTGCCTATGACTGGGGAGCATCTATTTGATTGCCCCTCTCTTCTTGATATTCATTCCTGTGATGACTTTTGTGCCCTCTAACCTTCTGGAGCTACTTCCGTGTTGTATTGGACTGCAAGACGCCTTATGTTTGAGAAGACGATGGCGGGCGTAATTTTTAAAAAAAAAAAACTTTCCTAATTTGACGTCATTAGTCAAATATTTTTGGGTTTCAAAATTTGTTACCTCTGTTGATGGTTGGGTAGAACAATTAAAGAAAAACAGCTATCAAATAAATTTTTCCTTTTGAGAAAAATTTTCCTTTAGTAAATAACAGAATAATAAATAATAGAAAAAAAATTTAAATAGATAATTCATAAGAAATGATTCATTAAGAATGAATTTTCATAAAAACATACCACACAACTGAATGACATTTGATCAAATGATCTGATTTTTAAGTACAACCGAAATTAAGTTTCTGAGTAACAATATTTCATAAAAGAATTGTGGATTTTACTATCAAAAATTAAGATATTTAAAATTAAAAAGCAAGTGGGCTTCTTTAGAAATAAATGCGATAATTAAAAAATATGCTTCAAAAAATGAAAAATTAATAATAATAAATAGTAACAAATAAATAAAGTAGTTAGAAAAGGAAATGTCTCCATTGCATCACCTCAGATCATTAGTCAAACCAGATGTTAAAAATTTATTTCAATTAAAAAAGTCAGTTTAACTTCCTACATTTAGAAGCAACTAATCTTGTCTAAATAAAACATTATGAGCACAAACATCTGTTTTTAAACTACAAACACTAATGATCCTCTAACAAAGGGTTGTAAATTTGATTTGTATACCATTAGAGTTAGATCGTTTGTTCATAGTATTAAAACAGATAGCATATTTCATAATTTGATTTCATTTATTCTAGCTCAAATTCTTTCAATGTAAAATTTGCAAGGGTCCTGTAATGTATAAAACTCAAATTTTATAAAAAGGGACATTTACGAAAATTAGAGTTCAAAGTTTTTCAAAAGTAATAGAATGATTAGAAACAATTGGTACAAGTTTTCATTGCTATTCAAAGTTCTAAGAAGCAGAGAAAAAAATTTCAAATTTCCAAAAACGCAGAATTTCATTTATTATGCATATTTTTATGCAAAGAGAAGTGTAGATATTTGTACACATTTGCTTTTGTTACATTTGCTTGTTATTTACATTGCTCTTTAACTCAGTAGTATATGCACCTACTTTTAAGATAATAGTTCAAAACATAGTAGATAGCAATCTAAATAAAATCCTCAAAGGATTTTTTGCATTAGGCTATAGAAATGTTTTTACAGTCTTCAGCGTAAATGCAAAAAAATTTCTTATTTATACATAAAAAGAACCATTCATAAGAGAAAATAATAATAAAAACACATTTTTTGTTAGTTTTATAAGTTTTTGTACATAATAAAACATATGGATTAGTTTTTAAAAAATTTATATAAATATTTTAAAAAAACAGTTGTTGAAACTAGTCGGATACCTTAAAGCACAAAAACTCAAAATGTTGCAACTGGATAAAATCACAGTAAGCTGCATGTGAACATATTAAATCATTCACAAAAACACGTGACTTATCAAAAGAACAGATGCATTTCCGGAGTAAATTCCTTAATAGTTCTATATATAATATATTCTTCTGGCAAAGGGGAGGGTCCAAGTCTTTTCTCAAGGATGACAGGCTTTGGATGATTTATAGTAAATGCTGTAGGAAGGAAAACTTGCTTTTTTTTCTTCCTTTTTCTCAGACCATCTCAGGAATGATTTTTACCATAACGACAATTATACAAAAAATTTAAATAATCTAACTTAAACTCATCTATAAATTTTTAATATTAAATACAATAAAAAAATTTAATTATTTAGCAATTTCATTTAAACAAGTTTGAAATATCCAATTTTGACTCTATTTGAAATATAAAACTATAATGAGGCTAGATAAACTCACATTTAACATAAGAACTGGATCAGCATGAATAAGTCTAACCATCCAAAGTAAAAGATTTTTGTAGCTTAGAGATTCCTCTCCTTTCTCTTTAAATTTCAGAGTACTAACTTTTTCTTTCAATGTCAAGCTCTGAAAAACATAATTAAAAAAAAGTAAGAATTTTTGTTTTGTTTTTCAATGACAGTTAAAAAAAAGAAATGTTACATTTATTCCTACAAAAATTTAAGCTCATGAAAAAATAATGCTTACAAATAAAATGAATAAGAACATTTAGAAATCATAACTCATAATCTATCAAAACTGTGCTGATATTAATTATAATTATAAATTAATACAGTAGGGAACTGATTATCCGGAACAATCGGGACCATCGCTATTCCGGATAACTGATTTTTCCGGTTTTCTGAATCGCTACAAAAAGTCGTTTTTTTATTGTTAAACCCAACTTAAATCAAATATTTGGAAATAATCTTAAAAAGAAAAAATGATGAAGTAATACACTAATGATTATTTCCAAAAGGATGGTAAGGTAAACATCTTTCAAAAAAGAAAAAAAAATCCTAAAAAAATCTTATGAGGAAAAAAAACGTTTTTAAAAAAAAAAAAAAAAAAATGGTGGGAAAATTTATTGAATTTCGTTCCGTTTTTTTTTTTTTTTTTGGTTTTCAGGTTTTCTGATTTCCGGATAATGGGTTCTGTACTGTATTAGCATTATTGTTCACAGATAAAGATTTTCAGATTGAGATTGCACAGTTGTCAATTTTATGAATTTGACATTAAACAATGGGATTTTAGACTGCATTGCTTAATAATAAATATTTTTAAAAAATTATAAGATGCAATTTAGCACATTTAATATATAGATCAACAGTACATATAATATATATACATAATATATAATACAGATCTTCTAAAAGACTTAATATTTTGTTAAAAAAGATGAAAAAAGGAAAGTTTTCGTTTTCTGTTTCTAAAAAAGATTTCCTTAGTAAAAAGAACTTCGAATAAAAACACAGGTTTAAAAATAAGTTAATGCCCATAAAGTATTCAAATGGGATCAAGAGGTTGCAGAAATATGAATCCCATAGATCTTAAGCTCTGGCATCTTTATATATACATATTTATTAAAACAAAATTGTTAATAAAAATTATTTAAAATATCAGTTAATAGTTAAAAATTTTAGTGTTTTCAGAAGAATCCAGGAAAATGGTATTTGGCATAGAAGATGCAACACTGAATTATACAAAATGTTCAAACTGACCAATTCTGTTTTTTTACATAAATTAAGTCACCTCCATTAAGTTTGGCATGTTATCTGTATGAACTATGGTAACATATTTGAAGAAATTTTCTCAGCTAGATCAATTAGCACAAGAAGAGGAAGATATGATGAAAAGATGCAATAAAATTATTAATGAACCTCTAAATTAGTAGCCCTTGGCCTACCCTGGAATGATGATGAAAATATCAGTTATGTTATCTTAAAAGGAAACTGTTGATTAGATGCAGCTGATAAAAAAATACTGACTCTTCAAAACTCTCTAGACTTCACAAATAATTCTTAAAAGTTTTACCAACATCTATAACAATAAATATTACAAATTATTTGCAGAATGCAGTTAAACTAGGCGAGCTTTGAAATTGATAATGGCTTGGCTTGTATTTAATGATAAAAAATCTATTAAAGTTTTTTTCATTTTTATTCAAATCATTTTTAATATCTTCATCTAAGTTCCCCCCCCCTTTATTTGCATTTTTAATCCAAAAACCATTTCAAAATTTTTTTAAAAACTTCGTGGGATTGTTAAAAGAAAATTGATTCGCAAAACTATTTATGTAAATTTATTACAAAGAAAACAGTTTATGTTGTAAAGAAGAACAAAAATTATAGGTGAAGCAATTGGAAGTTTTGAAAAAGTATCAGCAAGCATCTTTAATACAAACAAGAAAGGAAAAAAATAAAAAAGTACTTTTTAAGTCTAAATAAGTACATAAGTACAGTTTTAAACTTCTACAGAAACTAATCAAGGCAAAATATATCAAGGTAGCATATATTTTTTTCTTATAAACCGTACAGATTCCAGCTCTTGTATGATTGGGATCAGTGAAAAATGAAGGAAAAGTTTCACAAATTTTATTTTAGCGATTCTTTCAACTCTATAATATTTATTCCTCAACAAAAGTAATTAATTCTAATGATCGATACAGAAAAAATAAAAATAAATATGTTGAAGAAATATATATGATAGAAATCGTTTTCTTGACAGTTTTAATTTTTTTTAAATTTACTAAAAATGAAAATTAGATACGATTATGTTACTCTACAGGTAATAAAGTAGTAGATGCATAAAAAATTACTGTTTTGAATGAAAACAATTCATCAATGTTTAAAGTCAAAACATATTCACATATTTTTAAGCAATGAATGGCAATAGGCAATGATGACATTATAATTTTTTTTCAAAGCTGCGTCACCAAGAGAAAAAAATAAATTCACAGTTTAAGTGCCTTACACTTGAAGCGATGATTTTAAACTATATATATATATTATCTTGCCGTGAAAAATTATCTGAGCTTAAGAACAGACAAATAACTTAAATATTTTTTAAGTTATTAAATTTTTTTAAAAATAGCCAATTTGGCGACCTATAACAATATCTGATAGTCAAATTTATAAAAATACTCAGGGATACAAATTTTTAAAACTCAATATAATTTAATAATGACAAACCTCCTGACAAAGAAATCTCATATTTTCAATTTTTTCAATAACATTTCATGTACCACTATAAAAACTCAGCTATGCCACACTGTGGTGGCATTCTTTGTAGCTTGACCTTCCATGCTCAACACATTCAAACATTTTATAGTAGGAATAAAAATGGACTTTCATTAAGATTGTAAGGGATCAATATCATCTAGATCAGTGGTTCTCAAAAAGTGTTCCACAGAATCATAAAGTTCCGTGGAAAGATCACATGGGTTCTGTCAGTTAGGACTTTTTATTAACCATTGGTGATTTTTTAAACCTGTAATATGTTTGTATTTAACCAATAATTAAGTAAGTAAAATGATAATAAAAATTTAAAATTTTTATAAATAAAAAAATATTTTTTCCAATAACAATATCTATACATAATAATAAAAGCGGCTGTGTGTGTGTGTGTGTGTGTGTGTCTGTAATCACAATATATCGCCCCAGAAGCCTCGCCCAGGCACGAAACTCGGCACATAATTGTGTTTTGACATAATGAAGAAGTATTTTTTTTCTTTTTCAAAAATTTTGATTAGTTATTTAGTTATCAGTCATTTTGTAAGTCTATGCTTTTCGTCTGCTTTTTCGTCTTCAAAGAGCCATATTCAAAAAACTATTAAAAAATGCATATACTTTTCCCCACTCTTATAAATGTATGCTAATGCGAACCTTACAATTGAAATATTAATTTTCGACAACTTAAACCAATAATATACGAAGGAATTAATAATTTAATTGTAAAGTTCGCATTAGTTTACATTTATTAAAGTGGAGAAAAGTTTAACTTTTGTATTAAAAATGTGGCAACATATTCGATACGTAAATAGAACGCTTCGCTTTGATATATTTGTCGCTGTTCATAATTGTTATAATAAGTTTTTCTTCTTCTTTCCACGCTCTTTTTTTTTTTTCTTAAGCGAAGACGATAATTTTTATAGCGATATTGTAGTACTTTGTACAACTAAAAATTCTTTTCACAACACTTTAAAAATATTTACTTTATTTTCTTTATATATACAGAGAACAGTCGGCAAAGAATTCGATTAGGTTGAAAAACATTTCGCTAAAAAGGAACGAATTCCAAAAGAAAAAATAAACAACTTAAAGAATAAAAATGCTGATGCCAGCCAATTTTTTGAAAGTTAACTTAGAAATAACAAACCAAACGATGTTAAATAACAAACCAAACGATGTTAACAAAATGACGTAGAAAGCGCAACTAGATCAAAATTATACAAGCACAACTAGATCAAATTATAATACCTGAGTGCTTGACGTAACAGATATAGAAATAGAATTTGATACCATAAAAAATTATATAGAAATAGAAATTGATACCATAAAAAATTTATTCGTTTTCGTGTTCTTTTCATGTATTTAGCATTTTAGTTTTTTTTTTCTTAAGCGTTGTAGCTATATAATTTCAAACATCCTCAAGAGCTATAACACATCTGCAGCAGAACTGGATATGAAGACAAAATTGCAGGACAGGAACACTTTAATTGTCCACTAATTTTCAGATTTCCTGCTACGTTTAAAAAAACTTTATTTGTGAAAACCTTCAGCGTGGCGGACAGCTGGCCGCCTTAGGCGGCTAGTATTAAATAATTTACTAAAAGGAACAATACATTTACAAATGTTTGCAATAGTCTTTCTCATCAAATGTTATAATTCTAAATAAAACAACCAAATTTAAGAAGATTTTTCTCTGATAACCATTGTCACAGTTTATTCTTTTCTACACAGTTCTTTTTCAAAAACCATAATTCATATTTTTTGATTAATTGAGTTTGATTAATGCATTTGTTTAAAAGTCACTGCAGACTTGCAAAATTCAACTGCCTAATATAAAACCTTATTTTTAGACTGTTGTAGAAGAAACAAAGAAAATTTTTTATTCTTTACAAATAATAATAATAATAATAATTGGGACCAGCTGATCTACATTATCATTATAGTCTTTTGAGACATTACAACCAGCGATCTGAAGAAACAAAATTTACCCCACTCATTTTTTTTCTTGCTATATTGTTTGCAGTGTTACATTATCAACTAAAAATTTTTATTGCACTTATAATTTTTCTACGTTTGAGAGGCTTATGATCTACAACCTCTTCGTAAATCTTTTGACGGTTTCTACTTAAGAGTCTACTAATTTGAATACCTTGTTTTAGTTATTAATTAGGAAAATTAGAAAAAATAATGTAGAACAACCACGCCAGTAAAATAAAATGTTTAAAAAAATAGAGAGAGATACATAATTAAATTTGTATGCATAAAATAAAAAATTATACAAATGTTTACACACTGACCTGACATAACTGAAATCACAAATGAGTGCATGAAAATAAAATTTGGTGCATTTGTTTAAAAAAATAAACAAATAAAGAAAAAAAGACATCAGAATGGAAGAAATATTATTTTGCATGTGATTTATTTAAAAAAAAAGAAGAAAGAAATATTATTAAAGCTTTACATTTTTTAAGTTGTTAACACTCAAATTAAAAACATTTTTACCCAACAAGTTGAAGAAAATTTATTTTTACAGGGTTGCCACAGAAAAAAATGAACAAAATAGTTGGTTCTAGTAGCCTAAAGCATGAAAATAGTAGCCGAAAACTAGGAAAATAGTTGTCTAAATAAGAACAAAAATTCAACAAAAATATAACAAAAATTTTGTTAATAACTTAATTGTCATATACCATGATCCATTTAGTCAAGTTGGTGGCAAATATGATAATTTTCATTTTTATATAAACGTTATGCTCTAGTACTATTCTCAATTTTTCTTTATTTTTTAAAAAAGCATGCAGAATTTTGTAGCCATTGAAAAGACGATAGAGAAATGAAATAGACTTACAATGGAATCTGTGCAGATTGAACGAATTAAAAAGTGAAGACTCAAATTTGCAATTCAACATTTTCAACTTTTTTATTTTTTAAGGAAAAAAAAAAGCTCAGTGAGTTCAGAAACTATCGCGGGACGCAGGTTTTCCACCCAAGTCATGCTAAAAAAACATCGCTAGGAGTACAGAAAAGTCTCCCAATAGTCTCCTTTTCCTGAAAATAGTTGCTTTTTTAGCCTTTTCAGGCAAAAAAAATGCTGCTATAGTAAAGTGACCACATTGTCATTGAGACAAAGCGGGACAAATGGGATGAAATGAGAATTACAATGAATTCGCGATAACTCGAATCTGATAGGACTGACGAAAAACTTCGACACATCGGAAGTTCGACTTACCGTTAGTTTCGGTTTTGGACTTTCAAAATATTGTCGGATTATTTAATTAATGCTTATTAATTACAAATCTTCTAAATGCTTACAATATTTAAGATCATTTTTCTGACAAGCCATTTACGATAAGACTGTTTGAAGCACTTTATGATACCCTGGTCCATCGGCTGCAACTTTGCTGTTGTGTTTGGCGGGAGAAACTGCAAGTTTACTGCTTTCAAATTAGGTAGATCACTATGCGCTGTGCATTTATCCATAAAGAGTATCACTTTTCTTTTTTTAGCGAAGAATTTCCGATCCAATTTTCTTACATAGTCTTCAAATAAAACTGATGTCATCCAAAACTTTTTGTTAGACTTGTAATCCAAAGGATACGTTTTTACATTCTTGAAACATCGGGGATTTCGGTATTTTCCGATAACAAGTAAGGGCAATTTCTCTGTCCCAGACGCATTTCCTCCAACTAGGACAGTCAAACGTTCCTTGCTCATTTTACCCCCTGAGCAGTTTTCATCCTTAAACATCATAGTCTTATTTGGAAGACATTTAAAAAATAAACCCATTTCATCAATATTGAAAACATCATTTTAACTGTATCCTTGAAGTAAATTTGGTAACGTTTCATTTAACCACTGTTCACATACTTCAAGAGGGACAGCTTTAGCTTCTCCATGAAGAGTGCGAAAGACATTGTGTGTGTGTTGCAAAGGAAGGGGCAAGATATCAGCTCCTAGGTTTTTTTTCTTGCTTTAAAAGATCCAAAAAAAATCGAGTTAAAGGGAGTAAAATTCGAGTAATCGAGAATAATTAACATGAAATTGAAGATAAAAGGGTCGGGACTTCATAAAAAAATCGAGTTATAGTAATATTCGAGTTATCGTACTTCGAGTTATAGCGAATTGACTGTATATTGTATACATTCATCAAAAATGCATTTATTATTGCCAACTATAAATATATTTGTAAATAATAATAATTTGAGCATCATGATTTTTAATAAAATAAAACTTTTTATTTAAAAGAAACTATGATTTTCTTTCGCGGTCATATTTTTGATCTGAGTGAATACTTTGCAATAGATTCGGATCATTTATTAAAATGTCGTGAAATATTTCACATGAATTGGTCAAATTACATTTTACACTTAATATAGATTTTAAAGTTTTAAGGTTCAACTGTGTTTTTTCAGTTGTCCATATTTTATTGATACTAGAAAAAACACGTTCTGTTGCTGCATTTGTTTCTGGAAGGGAGAGCGCAAATTCTACAATTTTCAAAATATTTTGATGTGGAATATTATTCTGTTTAAAATGAAGGAATAACTCCGTCCATTTTTTGTCTGTTCCCACAATTGCAGACAACCTACATTTAATTTTTTCATCTGTAAAATATCTTTTTACCAATGACACCTCATCAGAAAGATCATTTTCGTAAATATTATTTTTCGGAAACTGGTTACTAATATATTCAAAAGATTTTTCCTCATATTCCCATAAAATCTCCTTTCTCCGCACTTTTACAATTTTCATTGGGTGTCACCCAATGAAAATTTTTAATATCTTTGAATTGAACTGTCTATTCTTCAAGATATTCCAAGCAGTTATTATAAAATTTTTTGACATGTTTCAGAAAATCAAGTCGTATAATGACACCATGTTCTGACAACCTAGTGATGTCTTTTCGAACAATTAAAAGAATGTAATTGTTATCAATTCCTTCTCGTAGTTTTGTTTTTAAATTATTGATTTAATTTGACACTTCCGTAATTGAAATTTTGTCCCCTTCAATAATTTTCACAGCTTTGTAAAATAATGTAGATTGGTTGTGGATGAACTGAAGCCAAATTTGTGATGTGTCATTTTCAAAAAAGAGCTGCATAATTCTTGGGAATTTAGCTTGTGATAAAAAGTATCATTTTAATGGTTCGCATATTTTTAAAATATTTTCTACACCTGGTAAAAGAGCTAGCCATCGTGTTTTGCTGTAACCAAGAATTCTTTTATATTCAATTTCTGCGCTTTCACACAAATCCTTCAAACTTTCAACACGCACAGTATATATATAAAAATATGAATAAATTTTTGCAAACAGTATTTTCAACATCAACCGGAAGTAAGTCAGATGCTGTTTGAATAGTATTACGTAGAATGTGTGCTGCACAACCTACTCCAATAATTTTTTGGTTCATACGTTCGTTAAGTTTCGTAAAAACGTTATTGATGACTTTTCTTGCTTTTTCACCAAAATTTGCGTTTGTGTTATCCGCTCGATAGCAATAATTTTATTCTTCAAATTATTATTTTTTTTAAATAGTGCTTATTGAATCGAAAATTGTTCGTGAAGTTTCACCCGGCAATGAAACAAAATCTAATATTCTAATTCTAATTCCTGTTTCTGGATCAAAAAATCTAACAACTGTGGGAAATAATTTTTAATCTTTGTGGTTGGAAGCATCGGAATATATGGATATAAATGCTAATTTTTCTAATTCTTTCTGTAATTGCTAACACGAATATGGTGAAAAAACATTTGAAATAATTACTTCTGTTTTTGTCCTTGCACATGCAAATTTTTTGTCGTATTATGTTTTGATGACCATTATCCATTAATCTGATCCATTAATCTGAAACTTTGGTTTATGGTGTGTAAAGCAAATAGCCCTTTTGCTAATGCTAGCTGTTTTTCTGTGTTGCACTGCGAAAAAACTGTTCCATTTTAGACGAGGAAGCGGCATTATTTAAAAATCTTTTGTGCCTCTTTGTAGCTCGATGTTAAGTAATATCGTTTTTTCCACCATCTTATGAGACCGAAAATTCAGCATTCCATTTCTGAAAATTCACCTCTACCTTCGTTAATCAAATTAAGAGTCAAACCGAACATCAAATTGAAAACAACAAACCACACTGTCTAACGGCAGTCCGCACTAACTGCACTTATCTGAATTAAGCCGAGACGTAACGACAGTGATGAAACACCACCGAGTAAATCTAACTCGGTACATTGCCTAATTTAGTTTACTCTGCATGCATTTTATTTGTTTTTTTTAATGCATTTTTTAGTTCTTTATATTCACCATAATGCTTAATAAATAACAGGCAATATATTTTTACAGTACATTTAAAATAAGAAATACAGATATTTTCTGAAAAGCGGGACATTTTTAAAAATCGGTGGGACGCGGGACAGTCCCCCAAAAAGCGGGACTGTCCCGCCAAAATCGGGACATATGGTCACTTTATGCTATAGTCATCTCATGCCAAAAATAGTTGCATTTTAGTCGCCTGCGGCAACCCTGTTTTTATCATTTAACATGAAATTGAGAGATTCTGTGAAGATATTACTATTCATTAAATGCTCACAAAAGGCAAGTGTGGATACGGATCTAATGTGGACAGCTAGAATAATTTTGGTGTTTATCACAGTTACAGTTTCAATAGAACTATAATGTATGATAGTTAAATTTGGATGAAAGTTAAAATGGATAATTAAATAAAGTATGATAGTTATCCACAAGCAGAGTAATTAATGCATGAAGATTTTTCTAAATATATATTAAAAAATTTTGAAGTCAAATGCTTCTATGGAGTAAAAAATTGAAGTAAACAAGCTAACATAAAATATTTTGACCATAAAGGAACTTTTAAAGAATAGAAAATGCCTTATTATTATTATTATTGAGAGCTTTACTATGTATTTTAATATTATCTTGGGTTTAGTGTCATCGCCAGAGTACATTAAAAATTTATAATGGTTGGCTAATAGTTAAATCTCTACGAATAATGGTAATCCATAACAGCGGTTTGTAAGAAACATCAAATCTTAACTATTTCACTAGATATTATCAAATAACATTAAACTTAACTAAAATAAAATTCACATTGCTTTTAAGAATAAAAAATATAAAATAAAATAGTAAAAACATAAACAAATAGAAAATTATAATTTAATAAAATAAAGAAAACCACAACAATACCTGAATCATGCGCAAAGGAGCATGACTGATACATCCTTGAGTCACTTTAGTCAATGTATCAGTAAACATATTACGCAGCTCATGAGCTTTGCTGTACACAATATCGATTTGCGGCCACCAGGGAAGCCTAGGTTGAGTAATTATTCGATATAAAGAACATACCAGGACAAAGTGGTATGTGGAAGGAGAGTTTAAGTTGAGACAAACTTTTAAGGCTTCATTATTATGTGGATTAATACGAAAGCACGAAACAAAACAATCTATCATTAGATCAACATCTTGACTAATTGTAGCTTGACTGCGACAAAAAGGTTTGCCGGGATTAAAAAGCAAAAGCTGAAAAAGAAAAGAATTTTTTTATTTATTTATAAATGTAGCTTAAAATGGAAGTCAGCACTTTTTATTAAGAAAATGATAGATGATAATTCAGTAATATATATTACACAACACAATTTATAAAATACACAACTATGACTTTTATTTTATTGTTGAAACTTCTTACACTCTATTTTACAGAAGAACTCACAATAGAACTTGATTTATGCTAATAAAAAAACCAGATAATTTAAATCATTGTTTAAGATTATTGTTGAGAAAGTAAAAAAAGTAGCATTTAGTGAGAGATTCCTAAATAATGCGATTATGAATCACAACACATTGTCTTAAAAACTGCAATAAATAATTTAATAAGAATTTTTCTCCACAAATCAGCCTAACTCCATTACTTCATAGAATTTATGCCTGCTAATACTTTAATTTTACTTTTTTGATTCTTTTAATTCCTGTTACATTTATAAACACAGTTTTTCACAATGATGGATACCTTAAACTCCATTTCTGCCAAATATATTAATTCATCAATGATGATTTATTAATTTTATTTACTAAAAAGATTTTTCCAAATTGGTGAAATATTATTACAAGTACTGCTGAATGCTTAGTTACAGATACACTTCTGCCTAAAATATCAAAAACAATCAGAAGTTAATTTCGATTGCATGATACATATGCTAAAAACTAACAATTATCTAGATCAGTGATTCCCAACCTTTCGTGGACCATCGCCCCCCTCTTGGGGTTGGCTGACACATATCGCCCCTTTCTCTTTTAGCTCAAAAAACCATTCATTATTGCTTGTGAGCAACCAAACACTGAAAATATGCTAAGTTATTTGATTTTAATTTAAATTGTAATGCAAATAAGGAGGCACATTTATCCTGTCATTTTTATTAATTAAAAAAAATTTTGCATCCTTTTTTTTCAAACAAAAATTATATTTAAAACGGAATAATCAAAACAAAAGTACATTTTTTTAAATCCATATTTTAATGTAATCAAGAAAAAGTTAAAACGTTAACAACTAAAATTTGAGAAAAAAAATGAAGAGTGAAAAAGTACATTTTTACCACTTCAATGACTGCCCTGTGCTTGGTGTATTTCAAGTTAAAGCTTGAATGTCAGGTTTTATGCTCGTCAGATTTAAACGCGGGTCTCCTTTGAAGCAAATGTCCAACCTATCTCTTTGCTTTGTGAGCAGCTGGATGACAGAACTAAATCCTCTCTCCACTAAATATGTTGACGGGAATGAGATGAAAAGCGGCTCAGTTTATTTCCACAATTGTGGATAAGTGTCCATAAGCTTTACCTAAGCTAACTTGTAACCGTATTTTTTAAAGACGACTTTAGTCTTTCTTCAAATCTAAAAACTCAGTCTACAAGAAAGAAGTGAGCTTATCCACAACTTCAAAAGAGAAAGGATCGAAAATCCAATCCGGAATTTCTAATTTCATCAAATCTTTAAATCTTGATTCCATAACTGATCAAGGTGATCAGTAAAAATTAAGATTTTATTTTCGAGAATCTCGAAATCTGCCATTGAACACTTTTCAAGAGTTGGAAATTGCATTAGCTCTTTGCTACCAATGTTTGACTTGTAGATATCAAACTTGGCGATGAATGAAGATATGATTCCCTTAGCCTTGATAATGTTCATTTTATTTCCTTGAAGTTTTACGTTGATTTCCTTCATTTTTTTTCAGAACTATCAATGAGGTACGCAGTTTCCAACTTGCGTTGCTTCAAATTCTCACTTAAAACAGGATCAGTGGTGTCGAGAAACTCAGTAACCGAATCCAGCAATTCGAAGAAACGACTCAGTTTCCTTTTGAAAGCTATTTCATAGCTGTATGTAGGAGCAGGAATTTGAAATCTTCATCATTTTCATGGCTAAGTTCTCGGAACAAAAGGTTATCAAGAAAATTAGCTTTTATTTTATTGATGCCAGAAATAACCAATTTTTCGCAGCCTAAAGTTGACAATGAATGACATAATGAATGGTGAGATAACTTCCGGTACTTCTTTTTTAAGGTGACCCAGAAACCCAGTATGACAACCAGACATGGTTGGAGCACCATCTGTTGCACAAGCACTTACATTTGTAAGGGGAATTTCTTTTTCCTCAAAATAATCTTTGACCAATTTAAAAATCGACCACCCTTTTGTATCTGTGTTCAAAGTTCTTGTAAACAACATTTCCTCGTTAATCTCTTTACCCTCATTTATGAATCTCACGTAAGCTAAAACAGCTTTGTTATCTATCACAGTCATCATCTATCACTGGCATCACAGTATTCATCAATCTGCAACGCAAATGTACCTTCTTTCAAAAATTTGATGAGTTTTGATTCAACGTCGGCGGCCATTTCATTAATACGCCTGGAAACAGCATTATTGCTCAGAGGAACAGAGTGACCGCCTGCGATACCAAAATTTTATGACGAAAACGATCCTGGATTTTTTTTAAATTTTCAACTATCATAATTCTTTGCCTACACCAGAACCACAAGTTTCATATATATTTTCAATTTCAATCTCAAATAGCTTTTATTATTAATACTATTAGCAATTTTTATCTTTTGAATACTCGTCGCCCCCCTAAGGAATATCGCCCCCCCTTGAGAAGCTCTATCGACCCCTTTAGGGCGATCGCCCCCCCGGTTGGGAACCACTGATCTAGATGTTGTTAAATAGCACATGATATGATATTCATTGGCTAAATATAGCACTAAACCTGAATTATAAATGATAGTATACAGAATAAGGAAGTGGATAAAGCAATGCTATAAAATAAGAAAAATAATAAAAATTTGAAGAAAAAAAAAAAAAAAACGACGTAAGATGATCTGAACAACTCAATGTCTATATTTACCTAAAATAGGCAAACATCCAGAGAGGAATGGTTTTGAAGGATAATGAATTCAATGCAAATGATTTATGAAGAGTTATAAACTTACTTTTAAATCAGTGATCACATTTTGCACTAGGGAAAACACCACATTGTTGCTATCCAAAATATTTATATAAGTTGATATTTTACACAATCGGACAGATGTTACAGCTGCAGCTTCACTTAACTGTTTGCTTGAAGAATGGGGGACTAAAGCTTTTTTAACGCTATCCACAAATTGGCGCTGAAAATAACACAAAGGAACTTGAGAGCATTTTACAAAACGAAAATTATATACATACAATTCAATTTAGATCAGTAATTATGAAAATTCAATTATCCTAAAATATTTAATCATAAATAGTATTAACTAAATTATTTAAATTTTATAAAAATATAAAAAGTTATAACAAATTTTACAACTGTTTCATTATTATAAAAATATCTCATTCATTCATTAATGTAAGATGAACAATTAACAGTAAGATGTTTAGTTTAAAATACTAATTGCAATAAATTTGCACTCAAAACTGTATCTTAAAAAATACAAAGTAGTAAATATATGAAAAAATAAGTTAGCAATTTAAGCATTCATACAATCTTTTTTTAAATATTAGAATAGAAATAAAAAAAACAACAACAAATAACTAAATTACTTTTCTGTAATGTTTAGGAGAAAATGGAGCACCAGCATCAGCATTTACAATTTCTTCAAGAATTTTCTATAAAAATATTCAAAGATTATGGAAAGATAAAAATTAACAAATATACCAAAATAAAGCTTGTAAAAAAATAAATAACTTACGGCACATAATACAAGCAACATCATTTGTAAAGGCCAAGTGGCCATTCTCTTTTTATTATTATTTTCAGCAAAATTGTCTAACAGGTCAAATAAGCGATCACAGCAATCTGTAAAATGAACACTGAAGAATCACATAACGTTATTAAATTTTTAGAGGAAAGGTCACATATTTGGATAGACCTATTCAGAGCGTGATTTTGTAGACTAACAAGTATGATATTGTTAGTTAAAAAAAAAAAACAAATTGATAGTTAAAGAAAAGAGCAATAGCAAAAATTGCTAGTATTTACTGATGATTTGGATTTTCTATCGTTTTCCCGTCTTTTTTTCACATGATTTCTCAAAATTCTAATATTTTTGATATGATGTTAGTAGGATACTCCAATTACTTAGAGTAATCACTCCTAATTAACAACAATTCCACCAATCATCCTCATCGCTTTCTTATAATTGTTTCGATACTTAATAAACTTTTTTTGGTCACGTGATTTTTCGAGCTTCAGTATTTTTAATATTGCAACACCCGAAGTTCAAATTTGAGTTATCACTTTAAGTTGTGCATGATTCACAGGTATTCCGTCTTTAATTTACATCCATTTCTAATTGCTTTTTTTTGGAAGTTATTTTAGCTATTTTTTGCTTTTACAGAATTTTGATATGGTCATTCAAATTCTGATATTCTAAATACAATTTTATTTTAATACTTGAATTTCGAATGTGAATAATCACTTTTAAAGGTGCTTTACTCGCGACTATTGTAGCATTAATTGACACAATTTTCTGAATTTTTTTTTGTCAGATATTTCTCGTTTTTAAGGCCTTTTTCAAAAGTTTTCTTAAATGACGAATGTCATGACACATGAATTACAAATTTGACTAATCACTTTTTGGCACGCTCAATTTGTGACTATGCCATCATAAATCAATGTCATATTATCCTTTTCTCAGCAGTTGTTATAGTCGGATGTCTTACTTACGGCCTAGCAATCTCCACATTTTTTGTAAAATCTCCTTATTTCAAATGCGATATTTTAAATACAATATTATTTGTAACAATGTATTCGGAATCATACGTTTGAGTATTTAAACTTTCATACAAGTATAAATATTTACCATTTGTACATTTGTTATTTAAAAAATGCTTCTCGGTAAGTTTTATGACATAAACAAACACTTAAAAACAACGCATAATACAATTTCAAAAATGAAAGTAAATTTGAACATTTTATGACCTAAAACTTAATTTTTCGTCTATCATTGAATAAAATTTCAAAAACTAATGAATCAGTATTAAAACAAAAATATTTTCTTACACATATTTCAGTCAAACTATTTTTACCTTCAGAATTGTTTGGAAAGTAATCAGTAAACTTATAAAAAAATGTTGGAATTTGTATTTTAGTTTTCAATGGTTCTATAATTAATATTCTGAAAAAATTCAGATAGAGAGCAGTAATGAGATATAATGCATGCACTTTATTTCATTTTATGCAGCTGCTTTTTATAATGGATCAAAATTAATTGTAAGAGTAACCCGTTACCCTTCAAACTTTGGCAAGGCTGTGATTCATTAATTGAATTTTGGTAACGGTTACCCAGGTTCAAAAATAGACACTTGAATAATGAAGTACATGAAACTTTTAACAATCAAAAGTAAATTTTATTATAACTATAACACAATCCCGATCATTTCCAGATGCCTTCATGTGCACTCAAAATTTCAATTTATACACTTTTAAATTTCCAAATGGTTATACTCAAGATAAAACTTTTCGATAAAAGCACTTTTAAATTTCATATGCATAACATTAAATTAATTCACACTAAACGAGGCATTTACGAAATAAAATTACTAGCTCATTCCAAATTTACAAAAACATTTAACTTTAGGTCATTATATTCCTACAACAGATAATTAAAAATAAATATCCAATGCTCATCTTAAAATATGTATCTTAACACCTGATAGAAACAATTTAAAATACGGAATAAAATTCTGTTCTAAAAAGTTACTAAAAAAGGCAAGAAATTAGAGTTTATAAATACAAAGGAACTTGCAGATCACCTTCTGGAACGCCCACCGGGCCTGCAGGTAGACTTGTGGACTAGGAGAACCTCGACCTTCCGACCACCATTCAGCTCTTTAGAAACACTCGATTTCTGCCGAGGAACGCTCACTTCTTGTCAACCGTCTTGAATTTAGCGACACTCCGGCTATCATTTCCAGTCAACTATATGAGGCTTCAGATCAACTTTCTTCCAGGCAACAGCTCATCCGATCAATGTGGCGTACTTAGTCGCGGTATCCAGGGACTCTTTCCAAATATCAACCTTTCAGCATTTCCGCCTGGATCAACTCATTCCGAGATTCCAGCTAAATCTACACTCATTCTCGATGATACCGGCTCAGAACATACTTCTAACAGCCATGATAGATCCTGTCAGCGGTGATGTTTCAACTCAACATTCCATCGGGCACGATCCGCACTCCCGTCGTACTACTTTTTCAGGCACTCCCGTCTTACTACTTTTTCAGGCACTCCCGTCGTACTACCTTTTTCAGGCACTCCCGTCGTACTACTTTTTCAGCCACTCTTCACGCCTCTTATACTTTTCTCAGCAAGGCGGAATAATTCACACTGACCTGTTTACTCGCTCAAAAGTCATCCCGCATCCAGTGGACGTCAGAACAAAAAAAAAAGATCCATAAGAAAAACCAGCTACAAACCCACTAATACACCATAAAAGTGATAATCTAAACCTCCTTAAATGTTAATACAATTTATATCCACAATTTACCCCAAAAATCCCATTTTAAAAGAATAAATAAAAATTTCTCATGAAATATCATCATTTTGATTGCTTTTAAATTTTATCATAGTGGTGCCATCTATTGAAAAATAACCCTTCTTTAAAAAGTATTGATACAAAAAAAAAACTCCAATAAATTCCTATTTATTACACTTTTAGAAATAATTAGTAAGTGTAATAAATGCTTCATTGTAGAAAACATTTGTGAGAATAAAAATAATTATGAAATATGGTTTCCTTAATATTATTGATACAAAGTTTGACTTTCATAGAACAATATTTTCTAATTAATGTTAAATCAATCTTCTCCAAAATTTTTTTTTAATTGATAAAAATTTTTATAAATATAATAAATGAAAATGCATTACAAGGTGAAAAAAAAACCCTTATAGATGATATAAACCCCCATTAATATTAAATCATCAAAAAAAAAAAAAAAAAAAAAAAAAAAAAAAAAAAGAGTACAAGATAATAGCTTTCAGTATTGGTACCAACTTTTTGAAAAAAATATTGGATATCTCAAACTTATAATGACTGCAATATTTTTCATTTATGAGTGATAGCAAAATTTAAAAATAGAGAATTCTGAATAAATAAAAAAGAAAACTAAAAATTTTAGAAAATTAAAAAAGAAAGAAAAGAGGCTTCAGTTTTGTTACTATAAATGAGGTTTGGTTCATAATTCAACGATACTTATTTAAATACTGATCCAAACAATAAATTGTGTAAAATATCTATTTTAAAAGATTATTTTTCTTCAGAAACTTTTCTAATTTTAGAGAATTGCGTAAAATATACAATAATTAGCATAAATTTTTATTAAACTGGAAGACTAGAAGAAACTGGCAAAATCCAGTAGAATTGGCAGCTATGCATGATGTTAACATACATAGAGTGATTAAAAAATACATTAGGTTTGAAAAAAATAAAAATTTCTTAGAAAAAAATTACCAGCTAATTCTTCATTAGTCTTTCTTTGAAGTTCCATGAATTCTTTAGGGTACGTATCCATCCAATTCCAAATTGCCTTTACAACGAATAAGTTTAAACAAATATTAAATACAGGAAATTTTTTTTAAAGAAACAAAAAGTAACAAAAAATACATACTTTTTCTAGACAATTCATCAGAACGACATAAACATTTTTCTTTAAACTCTTAAACTTCTGATTAACCTCTAAAATAAATGGAAAAAAAAAAATTACAATTAAAAATATTAGTTACATAAACCTCAGCAATTAGTTCTTAGATATTAGAAAGGCAAATCTAATTGTATCCTAACATTCAATAATAAAAATTTTAAGTTATTTATATTGCGATTATTTAAATTCTATTTCAATAATATCTGCAAATTCATCCTTTTTAAAAAATGTTTTTTCCCCCTTCTGAATTTAAACATACGTAAACATACATATTTGAACATATGTAATATAAACTGATTTCTAAAAAGAATAATTTTTGACAAATTACCTAGGAATTGCTGACAAACTCGGGATTAAGAAGACAATACTCCAGATCGACACAGTAAATTTTGATACTGGGCATAAAATTAATGATATTAAATAAATAAATATGAAAAAGAAAGAAAACTTATTGCTAATCTAAATATATCAGAATTTCTTAACTTATCAAAATATCTTTTAAAATTTAATTTATGAAAAAAAAATTCAAAAACAGTTTACTCTTTTTAATGCTTTGGTTACAATTTTTTTCTAATATTGAAATAACAATATTAAAAGTAATAACATTCGACTAGAAAATCCTATCTGTTTGAAATATTTATTTGAAATATTACTTATATTTTGTTGGAAAATTAATAAAATTTTAAGACAAAATATGATCCATGTCTAAAATTATGAGAGATAGCAAAGAAAAAAGTGTTGTCCTTTCGTTCTTTAACATATTTTCAGAATATAAATAATTAATGAAACAAAATGGAGTATATTGAGCAAAACTACATTTGAGTTCAGCTTAACAATAAAAAATACTATATTATAGATTAGGAATGAAACATTTGACAAAGAAAGATATGTATATTTATTATATGACAATTTTCTAACAAAATTATTCAAAAATTCTTTTAATGAAATTTTTTATGTTCTTTATAAGATGGCATTGTATAAAATGAAACATTGTAGTAGATAGCAGTTCACAAATAAATAAAAAATAATAGTAATTATTCAATTAAGTATTTATGAAAAAAAGAGACTTTAGAGAAAGCGGCTCTCAGGATGGGCCCGAGAATAAACGAGAACAAAACTAAATATTTGCCCTGTACTAAAACAAGCTGCAATAACACACACTTAGAAATTGAAGAATATAAATTTAAGGTTGTTGACAATTTCGTTTAATTAGGTTCTGTAATCAACAACAGAAACAACATTAAAACAGAAATACAAAAGAGAATCACTAAAGTCAATAAATATTTTAATGAATAATACCATAAAAATACCATTTAAAAAATACCATAAAATCTAATGTAATTTATAGAAAAACAAAAGTTTTACAGTATAAACTTCTTTTAAGATCAATTTTAACATAAGCTTGAGAAAACTGGACCATGTCTGGTAGAGGTGAGGTTATGTTGGGTATTGTGGAGTGAAAAGTGATGAGAAGTATTTTTGGAGGAATTCAAAAAAGTGGTAAGTGGCTTAGAAGAACAAATTTAAAGCTTTATCATATAATGAACTTGACATTATTAACTTCATTAAACGACAAAGAATTAAATGAGCAGGCCATGTTGTCAGAAGACTGTACCACAAAAAGAGTTTTTAATGCCAGACCAGTTGGCACACGAAAAAAAGGCAGGCGAAATTTGACATGGATAGATGGCTTAGAAAAAGACCTTTTGGTCTTAAAAACTAAAAACTAGAAAATGCTAGCAGGAAACAGGTTGACCATGAAAAAACTTCTCGAGAGGACCAAGGCCCATCCTGGGCTGTCGAGTCATTGTTGATGATGACTGGTGAAAGTGTTTTTCACAAATGAATGAAAACTACACTATTCGAGAATAAATAAATATTTTAGTAACAGAAGAAATATCACATAAGTGAAATCTCGAAATTGATAATCATTGGTTTCAATATGAAATAAATTAACACTAAGGATTTACAGGTCTTTTAACATACATATAAAAATTCAATACTGCTATAAGGAAAAAAAAAATAGTAACATGGAAAAAAATTTACAATTATGCAATTGTTATATCAATAAAATAATTATTATAGCCATTTATAAATGACATACCATTTAAAAGTTTTATTAAACGAGTCACATCTAAATTGATATGCTGGATAAGCTCTATGTCAATGAAATCAGGGTTTTCTTCATTGGTAATCGATAGTTCTTGCAGTCTGAAGAATAAATAAATTAACACAAGTCATAACAAGTCAACATTAATAAATCCATATAAAAATAATGAGTAATGAAAGTAGTGGTAGCATTGATAAATTGAATTTATATAACACTGCCAAACTCTACTGTTATTATTGTATTTTGAATGATATTTTAGCTGCTTCCTTGACAATATGTGAGGTAAGTACTTCATTTACGTCACACTAGAGCTGCACAATAGGTTATTGGAAATGGTCTGGGAAACAATTTTTGAAACTTAAGTCTTTAAACTCATATTTGTCTACTTACTTTTTGTCTAAAAATGAATTCAATTTTTTTTATATACGACTAGAAAGGCATTTTAGCTTTTTCTTTTTTTTCGCAATACAAAATTATGATCTTTTCTTAATAATCTTCAAGCTAATTTTCATGTTTTTACCTTTTATCAGATGTGTCCTACGTAACATAATATCGTTACAATTATTAAAAAAAATAGTTGGAAATAATAAAAACCTTTAATAGCAGTGCTCACCCGAAGTTGTTTAAGAAGAACATTTACAAACTGCACTTTTCTGAATAGTTATTCAATGTATATTATTTTAATATATAGAACAAATATTATTAATAATTTTTACACTCAGTTTATTTTTTAGTAGCAACTTTATTATAATTAAGTAAAGGAGTCCTTCATTAATGAACACAAAATTGTATAAATTTAAAACATTAAATGAAAATATAATCAGTTGCCAAAAAAAAAAAAAATCTTAAACAAAGTCTTTTAGAAAATGTGAACATTATGATTTTAATTCAGATATTTTATAAGCACATTAATCATGAATAATACTAATTTAAAAAAAGAGATTAACTATATATCAGAAAACAAAGTTATTTTTTATTATCTTACCTTGCAGATATGCGACTAAAAACAGCATTGAAATTGTTTAAACTCAGAGAAAAAAGAACTTTGGAAGCAAGATTCTTTAATTGGACTATCATATGGTTTTCACTTGGCACATCAATAAACTGAAATAGTTAAAAATTAAATAAATGTTTACTTCAAAAATTAACTATTAGGAAAAATAGCAAGGCACTATAATTGTAAACTACTGAAATAAAATTTCAGGTAATTTCTGTACACTTTGTTAAAAAATATGTTTGAATAGCGAAAATATAATAGTATATAAAATTTTTCTAGAATTTACATACATTTTAAAGATGTTTTATTTTACCACAAACAATATATACATGTTTCTCGCCTTTTTGATTACAAAAGTACATAATTTAGATTAAAAATATATTTTACAAAACTAAAACTTCTTGTACAAAAAATTTTATATGTTTGAGATACATTAGATCAATAGCATTCTAATATTTTTACAAAGCTAATTGCATAATTTCTTTATTTATTAAGCAATATAACATAAATTTTAATGATTCACTTATTGAAAACATTCTTAGATAAAACATTAGTCATTTGTGTAATCAAAGCGTCAATTTGTTATATTATCTTTTCTGCAAAAGCTATGAAAGATAGTTTTGGTCTAATCAGTGAATGCTATAAAAAAATTCATTACATTGCTTTTGTTTTTATACTTTTATTCGTTGCTCCTAGACATCGACAGTAAGCTATCTTTAAAATATTTATTCAGAGCAAATTAAGGAAAACTAATCACAACTTTTGGTCCCCTTTATCTCTTTCAGTAATATAATTTATTCATAAAAATTTTAAATTATGTAAATTTAGATCAAAATTCATCTAATGTTAGATAATTTTTTAAATAATTTACAGTAAACAAAATCAATTATGTCTTTGTCTATATGAAGATTACATAAAACATTAAAGTTAAACAAAAATCATTACAATTTGATCAGGATGAGAAAAAATTAGGAATTCTCCCCCCTTCCAAATGAATCAAACAATTGATTTGATTTAAAACAGTTTTTTCTTTCTTTTTGTAGCAACTAGATAAACAGAATGTAGAGTTTAATGAACCTATTGCTGGAATTCGCTACATTACATTATGTAATTGGTATTATGAAATCTGAGTAAGCTGAACAAGCAGTGTCATTAATTATGTTTGATGCTACAAAGAAACATCACTGAGACATCTCAAGGTTGTGATACATGTGTTTATTTAAGGAAATTATACCTATGATGTAATTTTATTAATAATAAAATTGGTCCTCTTCTTTTTGAATGCCTTGATATAAAGAGAGTTATGTAACTAATTATTCTTACAAATGACTCACCACAATATTAATTTAAAATTACACATTAATTCTTTTTAAATTTATATAACTTTAATTAGATTTTTAACTGTGATTATATTATTAAAATAATAATGATAAATAAATGTTCAAATGATATAAAACACATAGTTAAATTAAGGCAAACGAAATTTTAATTCATCAGTTAAATAATATTAGGTGTAGAGCAAAATGATTAATATCTGAACACATTAAATAAAATAAACCGAAATATTCAAAATTACTTTGAGCAGAACAGTTATTTATTATTTAATAGACTGATTACACATTTAGCAAGTTTTGTAAACAGTAGTATTTGCAAAAACAAAATTATATAAATAAAAACCCAGTTGATAGTATTTAAGAAATGAAATATCAGCAAAATGCTCTTTCTTCACCATTAAACATATATAATTTTTTTATTCAAACTTTTTCAATAATTTTTTGTAAAATTTAAAGAAAGATTTGATGTTTGCTGCTCCGGAATGTTAAATTTGAGTTTTCATATAGACATTCTTTTAGTGAGGTCTTGACAAATAATCAGATACACTATTCTATTGCAGGCCTTGAAATAGAATTATCCTTTCCAGAAATTATTATTATTTTTTTTTTTCAATTTAAAACACACAAAATAATTGTTCCTAAAGTATTGCCCAACATGAACTATCCTTTTGCTACTTTTTGAATATTGATAATATTAGCAAAAATTTTTTATAATATATGCAGAGCATCATTTTCTAGTCCAGTACATATACTTTTGACACTCCAATATCATTTACTATACTTTAAAAAAATATAATTACATTCCTCTAACTTTTGAATGTTATTTAGATAAAACATTTAAACTTAATATAAGTCTAACAAAAAATTATAACTTTAAAATCATTTAATCATGTATCTATATTAAAATATTTTTGATTCTACTCAAAATGATATTTTTCACAAAATTTGAAGTGGCCAATAATATCATTTTAACCATTTTGTTTCAAACTAATGATCAAACTATTTGAATTCAAAATCTAATAATAATAAAAACCACATACCTGGCATAGTTCTCTAAGCAGAGATTTAACATTCATAGCTTCATCATATCTAGAAGTTTCTTTAGGTTGCTATAATAAATAAATTAAATCATGATTTATATACATTAAATCATCAGTACAGTATTAAGCATGATAAAATTTTTGTTTTTAGAGGAAACAGATTAAAGTCAGTAGAAAGCAACAAATTTTAAGGTTCATAATAAAATTCATCAATTATTTGATATTAACTACTTTCCTTAAAAGTCAAATGAAAAGTCACTTTAAAATTTGAAATACATTTTTCTGACTTCTGAATCCAATCAGTTGTCGTTTTGCATGTTTTTTTTGATCGTCATGTCTTTTTGACGCCTTCTCTGGTTTGACAGCTTTGAATTTCAGTTAGTCAATTCCCCCCCCCCCCATATAAGACGTGTTTTTCATTAGTTGCAGCTACAAGTAAATGATGCCGGGTATCGTTCTAAAGATAAATAGTTTTCTTAACTTTTTTTTATTACTAATTTAAAATCTGACGTAACATAAATTTAAAAACTAATTACGATAGAAATTTCAATGTTAATCTAAATGTAACTAATTTTTTTATTCCACGTGGCATTCAAGTTAACACGTTTTCTTGTAATTATTTTTTTTATTTCGCATCTCTGCTCCTAGTATGTTGTATATTGTTTTTTCAATGTATCAATTAATGGTATATAAAAATATTTTATAATTCTACGTGAATGGTTAAGCTAAAAGAGATGCATACACACTTTTGTATTCTTGGCCATGTGGCACACAGATTTGTTTTTCACTAGTAGTAACATAAATAAATAACCATTAGTTTATTAATTGTTCCTATTTCCACCCATGTGCTTGTAAATTACTTATTTTAATTAATATTTTACAAATTGTTTCATGAATAATGTTGCAACAAATTCATATACTTAAATATATGCTTCAAAACCTAACAGGACATGAGTTTGGTTCATTACTAATTCAGTAAAAATATTTTAAATGTTAAATAATTTAAATTCCAAATGAATGAAATTATTTTTCGTTAATTTAACATAATAGATGTTAGTAGATTAAAGTTATAGCCGAGTGCCTTTATCTGATACACATAATTTTGATTGACAGGATAACTTTCAAGTTTTTTTAAATTGTAATTCTCATTAGTTTAAGTAAATACAACACAATATCAAGTTGTGTTTTATCTATTAATTTTCTGTTCATTTAATTTGGTTCGGATAGGAGGCAACTTAACATAACACAGAGAAAAAAGACTTATAGAGGATTACTTCAAGAAGAAATATATTTTGGAGCTAAGTCTGTACTACATTTAATTACATATATTATCATAATAGTTTTGTCTATTCTTAAAGTAAATAAACATAAAATCAATCACAGCTTTGAAAAATAATTGCGTCAATTAGGAAATTAGTTAGAAACTATGAAATATTTAAATAGATATATAAGTTTTGTATACTTACCCCACTTAAGCACCTTTCTAAAGTATCTAATACAATCAATTGAGATTCATAAAAATTTTTCTCAAATTCTGGCTGAAATTGTGCATGTTGCCTCTGAAAGAATAAAAAAATCTTTTGTTAGAAGATATTTTTCTTTATCCTTTTTTATTTTGCCACAGCAGATGATATTGAGCGCAAATACGAACTTATTGAGTGATAGTAAATTCAACAGTTTTATTTTTTATTTTTATGTGACTTTTTTTTTCTTTTAAAAAAAGTAGATAAACAGATAAAATAACAGAAATTGCTTGTGGCAGTGAAATGAAAAAGTATCAATTTTTTTATACCTAAATTTTAAAGGGAGAAAAAATCATAAATATAATGAAGTGGAATTTCTTTGTGATGAATTATATTGACATTGTATTGAACTTCAATAGAATATGAGAAAAAAAAGTTAAAGTGAAAACTTCAACAGAAAAATAAAAGGTAATTATTTCTTAATAAAAATTTTTTTCCAAGGATATATTAGAAGTTTAACTATAAGGAACTTGAAATTCATAAGTTCAACTAACATAAAACATTTGTGAAAGTAGATACACAAATATTGGATGATGCCAATCAGAAGTGATTATTGAAGTTTTGTATAATTATGAAAAATTTACAAGTTGAAAAGGATCACAAATAAAATTTTAATAAACAAAGGTGAGCTTATGAAGAAGATTTATTAAAGTGCATTACATTTCGAAACTTGTTTACAATACGTTTGTCAATGTGATTGTAATTACATTTTGGCAAATACTATAATACTAATATATTCCAGAAAAATATGAAAAGAATGTGATTACGGTTCATTTACATTGCACTAGAGCTACAATATAATTACGGAGATCATTGTAGAGTTTTCTGGTATAATTAACGTTTTTCCCCTAATTTTAACCAGCAAAAGTATTTTTAAAAAAAACTTCCTTCTATAAAACAGATTTTACAAACAATGTATGATGATTTTAAGTACAGTACAGAACCCGTTAGCCGGAAATCAGAAAACCGGAAAACCAAAAAACCGGAACAAAATTCGATAAAATTTTCTCGCCATTCTTAAAAAAAAATTTTTTTTTACTCATAAGATTTTACGATTTTTCTTTCTTTTTTTAAAGATGTTTACTTTACCATCATTTTGGAAATACTCATTAGTGCATTGCTTCATCGTTTTTTCTTACTTTTAAGATTATTTTAAATTTTTTTTTTCTTAGTTGGGTTTAACAATAAAAAAACACCTTTTTGTAGCGATTCAGAAAACTGGAAAAATCGGTTATCTGGAATAGCGATGGTCCCGACCGTTCCGGATAATCGGTTCTCTACTGTAGTTACAAAACATTATAATCTTTTCCTATTTCTACAAACAATATTTAACACTCAATATATAAAGCAACAATCTTTAATGCTCGTTGAAGTAGAAAATTTGAATTACTAAGAAAACATTTTCAGTTAAAAATAAGAAAACACTATTAAAATTTCAGAATTAAGTTTCACCAATAAATAGTTAGCTCACAAAGAAAATTTGCTAGAGTGTCAACATTCAGATTTCACCTCTCGAACACATATTTTTCCAATGAATAACATGAGAAGTTAATTTTTTGTTGAAACCAAATCAATTGGTTGAAAAAATTGATTAAATTTTGGTTGCAATGCCATGAAGATTAATTACTTTTACATTTTCTTATTAGGTAATATAGATACATTCGATTTAAATTTTTCAGGGAATAAAACTTTTGTGTTAGAAATTTTACTTTACATTGCAAGATAATAATTACATTAAAAATTTTTAAAACTTACCATTTCATTTACACTGTGAAGAATTTTCGTTAAACCAGTAATCACTAATGAAAATCTATATTTACTGATGTTTATGAGGCTTTCTTTGTTCTGTTCTACATTAATACGTGAATGTGTTGTTTGAGGGCCACTTCTGCATGGGAGCTAGAAAAATATACACCAGTTCAACTTGTAAATAAAAATATTATTACAACATAAACCTAAATATTTTATTATCTTCTTAGCAATGCTTTTGTATTCAGATGTTCCACATAGTTCAAATGTATTTTATTATAATTAAAAAAAAAAAAAATTATCAGTCAACAAGGCGCACTGCCAAAATATTTTAAAGATAAGCTAACTTCAATCAGACCTAGGTTGCAAATAATTCAAGTTTTTTGTTTTAAAAAAAAACCCAAGTTGTTTTTTCTTTTTCGTTCAGGGTTCTTTTATACATTTTCTGGGTTTGACAAATTATTCAGATTTCTTTTGTTACATAATTAATTTGAAGATTAAAACAAAATTTAAACAGTAATCAGTAAACAAAATTAAAGGAAAAATATTTAAAATTTGCAATAGAACTTATTGATTAGTTTAACAAAATTTTCAAATATTAAATTAAATTATCTCTTTAAAATTCTATAATTTTGTTCACAAAATAAGTAATTGTTAACAGGTTTTGTAAGTGGAGAATTAAACATAATGCAGAGTTCTCCATAATCCTTTTTTGAAGGCTGCTTGCTCTTTGATCCCCAAAAATGCACCCCCCTTTATAAAAATAAGCCAACATCCCTTATTCATACTCTGCATTGTAAAATTTGCATGCATTTTGAAAAAAAAAAAAAAAAAAAAAAATTACTTTTTAAATAATAATCATACATTGGTAAAATTATATGAGTTTATAGGTTTAATTCTGATTATTATTACAAGCATTCACTTTGTAGGATTATTCTCAACTGGTTAAATTTGTATAAGTACCTTTTTCCGGGGGTGGGTAGGGGTAGTAATAAATTTTTAAGTGATTTTAAATTTAAAAACTACTTTTTAAATGAATAACTTTTTTTCTTCAAAAAAATGCACCTTTAACTATTTAATTTTTCATAACAATAAGTTTAAATTATAGAAAAAAGTTTTGAAGTTGTTTATCAACCAAACTTTTTACGTAAGTTTACTTATTCGAAAAGTAAAAAATATATATATATAACGTCGTTGCCGAGTGGAAGGATTAAAACAGGTCATAGGTCGGGAAGGAGGGTACAAAATTTATTTATTAATTATTAGACAAGAGCAGTCATGAGAATGAGTGAAAGTGCACACGAAAAGTTGCGCTCCTTGGTTATATGTTAGGGAAAATCTTGCAAAGTAAAATCCGTAAAATGTCTTAATTTAGGGAAAGAGGGAAATCTTAGTAGTTGCTATTGGTTTATGAGATAGATCGAACGTTTCCCACACAAGAGCAAAGGGAAAAATGTCCTGCTCTTAATTAAATGCATACTTGAGCCAAAAATAGATTTAAGAACAGGATGTGGCTTTTAAAAGTGTGAGAAAGTATTTCAAATAGAATAATTAATTAGGAAGAAGTTTTATAGCAAAGAAACTAACATAAAAAGATTAATTGAAGCTTTTTATGTTACATATATATATGCACAGAGATTACATTTTAGCATGCCTTCAATTACTTTTATTAATTAAAATTTTTTCTTTTACTTTGATAATTAGAATTACTTTTTTGCAATGAACACATAAAATAGTATAAGAGGTTAATTCAAAAATTGCTGAGGATAAAATTTGTTCTTACATAGTATTACAAATTTTGGTAAATTTTTATAGTGTTAAGTGAGTGCTCTCTCAAAACTCAATATGTCCTTTATAGAGAGGAAGCACCTTGCTCTTTTTTATTCTAAGGGAGAACTCTGTGTAATGTAATTAACTTTACTTCAATAATCAATCCTTAAGGAATGCCTTTTCTATTAGCACCCGTAAACACATTATTCAAGATGATGACAAAAAATTTCTCATATAGTGAAAGATAAACATGTGATGATATAACTTGAATTTCGCATTCTAAGACATTTCAATAAATTTTGATTAAATTAATAATGAAAAAAGAGAAAAGAATTGTTAGCAACTTCTTCTAAAAACTGTGTTAAGTAAACATATAATCTTATTCTAATCTAAAATGTTTCAACTGCAAATACTAATAGAAAATTGCATAAGAAATCATCATAGAACATCTCAGTAAAATATAAATACACTTAAAATTATTGGACACTATATTAAGACAGTAAGACAATTAATTTATTCAAAACTGAGTAATAACATTGAAAAGTGCGGCAAATTTTGGAAGCAATTACTATGATACATTCACTAACTTTTAAAGGCTTTCTTATTTGTATCTAGTGTTTGAAAACTTTAAGAGCTTAAAATGAAAATCTCATAAAAAAAAAAAAAAAAAGGATTGAGTTAAATCTTTTTTAATGTTTACACTTTTCAAACCATATTGGAGAAAGTCAGTGAAAGGTCCATTTTTATAAACCGAAGTTTATAAAAGAGTTAATAAACAATCCCATCACCTCGTAAAATGGTCCTCAATTAAGTGATCAATATTCCACCTGTTATGAACATTATGGTGATATCATTAAATAAATAATAAAAAGAAACAAGTACAAAAGGAAAAGACATATATTAAACAAATAATTTTAAACATATAGGCTTGTAAATGAAAAAATATTTATTGGTAAGCTTAGCAATAATTTGCTATTAGCATTATTTAAATAATGTGACACTTCCTGAGCCGCTAAAAGACAAGACTCGTAGAATTAAAACAATGCTCGTTAAATTAAAATGTAAACTAATTACTTGTTCTTCAAAACGGGTCATTAACGAATTAACCCATTCTACGGGTTTTTGCGTACCCATTGTATGAATATTGTATTGTATTTATAAGTTTGGTTAGGTTAGGTTGGGTTATGATGAGCGAATTTCGTGCATTTAGCATCCGCAACATTGGTTTTTAGCTTACATATAAAAATATTGACACAAGTCAAAATCTGAATGATTAAACAGCAGTTATTATTAATTATTTTAAAAATTTATGAATATCTGCTTGACAATTTTTAAAATATTATATAAAAATAATATTTAAATAGAAAAATTCACATGACGTAATGCATATGGCAACACTACAATGTAAACAAAATCTCGCTATCTCGTCTCCTGTTGTTTCGTCAACAAACAAAATCTTAAGAACCATTAACCTAGATTAAGTTTCTCTGCGAAATGATATTTTAAATATATTTTTTGTGTTCTATTAATAAAAACGTTAAATATGCCTTCTCATACTAATTTGGCTTATGTGAATGAGGATGACTTCTCTCGAAAAGACAACGAGGAACGATTTGACAGCTCAAGTTTTGTTACTGAATCATCGATAAAACATCATGATATTAGACCTACTAATCGCTCAAAGCAACGTTATTTTTCAGTTGCAATATTGTGTTTTATAAATTTAATTAACTATATGGACAGATTTACAATTGCAGGTGAAATTATTAAAGTTTTGGTATTATACCTGCAAAATTCAATCAATGTATTTGTTTTCTATATTTATATCTATCTATTAAAGGAGCACGTGACAGGGGGTCAGCAAAAATTCCTTATGCACTAAATGAAACTGCCCCATTGTTGTACTTTACTTGAAATGCATTTAAATGTATTATATATACACCTATATCTAAGTCCAAGTTAATATATCTATGCATATACTAGCTAACATATATATGTAATAGACTAAGATTAATTTATCTGTATATTTTATATATATATATATAAAATATGTGATGTACAATAATGCAAATAAATTTTTAAAAAAAGTGTTGTAATTCCAGTCTGCAATAGCACATACTTTTGAACGAAGATGTGTTGGGTTTCATTATGGCAATGTGGCGAACAACAAAAGCTTTAGACCATGTAGTGGTTGGCTGGATTCTACACTATCTATTATAACTAGTAAATACAAAAATTATCTGAAATATAACACCAAAAAGTTAAATCCTAAATCAAAGTAAAACCCAAGTCAATCTAGTTTATGTTCACAAATTGCTATTTTTAGTAATAATTTTTACATTTTCTCAATATACTTATATATATATTTAGATATAAATCAAATCTAGGTTATGAGTTTTATCTTTCAAGACTGTCACCTTCCGTTATGTTATTTTTTTCTTTCTTGCTCATTACTTCCTGGTTGTCACTGAAATTTTATGATTATTTTGGAGCTGGTTCCAGTAAAGAAAGTAAAACAACCTACCTATTAAAAAATATCTGTTAAAATTTCTGAGCACTGTGAAAATGTTTAAGAATGAAAATTTTTACAGTTAATGGGATATTTTCCATATCAAACCCTGATTGCCCTAACTGATATCGCTAAAGTGCCATTTGTCCAGTTTGCTATTTGCTGTAAATTAAAAAAAATTATCTATAGTGGTTTTTCTGGAGTGGTTACAAATTTTATCTTAGTATGTTCCCATCTGTGATTTTAATTTCTCGCATGCCAATGTCCAGTTGTCACCAAATTTTACTCATTTATATTGGTATCTAAAGTATTTATACATTCTGATGAGAAATTCTTCTTGTTACAATGAAATGACATCTTAAATTTTGTTTCAAAGTTTATTTAAAGTTCACCAATGTAAAGTGATATTAATTCATTTTACATTGGGGAACTTTCACATTACTCAATGTAAAATCTAACTCCACATTATAATATGTAAAATGATTTTTCACATTATGGGTTAAGAAATAGAGTGTTTATTTATAATTTGAATAATTTAGATTTAAATCAGTGCCGTAGTTGACTGATTTTGTTTCATACTCTGTACACTGTCTACAAATCCCATAGTAAAAAGTATTCCTTCAACAGCTCTTTGTGATGCACAGGGGTCATGGAGATAAAAGCTCCACAATTTAGGTGACAAATGGCAATGTTGTCAGAATTGTAGATAGGCCGCCATTACTTCTTAGACAATCTGGTTACTATCGATCTGAAACTGAGTTTTGCAAGCTGCCACCTGAGATTTGAAACATAATTCTTCTCTATGACATTTCAGTGATTTGACCTTACCACCTAAAAAGCAAATATTAATACCCAGTTATAAAATGATGCCAGTCTAGCCAGGCTATAAGCTATCTGTAAAAGTTTTGTATTTCTCTAATCATACGACTTGCAAGTAACTTCTACTCAAAAAGTATTTCATAAATGCCATGATGCTTGACATAAGAATGTCTTTGTCTTCTGAGTTTTGAAACAAAGAGGAATATTATCGTATTAAATCTGTTTAATGGATAGTCATAATCAAATTTAGCATCAACCGTGATGAAAACAAATCAACACTTGCAGCTTTTAATTTAAAATTTATTTAACTTGCATATTCTTAAATCTGGATGTAGCAGTAAATACATTTGTGATTTATTGTATACTTTAGAGTTCATTCCTTATTTAGAAAAACGTTAGCTGTCATTTTGCAAATGGGTGACCACTTTGATCAGTCTGCGGAGGGACCAAGAGTGTGCGGTATCGGTCCTTTTTAAACTGATCTATCATAAAGTGCTCGACTTAAAGCGCATGTTGTCTGGCTAACAAAGCGAGGGAGCCATCCACAGAGGATTAAAAATTGTGATGGTATATCTTCAAATCAATTTCAGGGATGTTCCCCAGACCGTTCGCAACAGTCCATTGTGCAGCTCTAATGTGACTTACTATAGAGTAGTACTACTATAAGAGTACTACAGTACAGAACCTCTTATCCGGAAATCAGAGTACCGGAAAGCCAGAAAACCGGAACGAAATTCTATAAATTTTACCGCCATTAAAAAAAAACAAAACAAATTCCCTCAAAAGATTTCTGAATTCTTCTTTCTTTTTTAAAAGATGTTTACCATCATTTTAGAAATAATCATTAGTTTCTTACACTATCAAAAGAAGTAAGAGTTTTTTAAAATTATTCTAAATATATATATATATTTTAGTTGAGTTTGACAGTAAAAAAATGGCTTTTTGTAGCGATTCAGAAAACCGGAAAAATCAGTTATCCGGAATAGCGATGGTCCCGATCGTTCCGGAAAATCGGTTCTCTACTGTACTATAAATTACTATAGACTAGAAGAAGAGAAATATAAGTTAATATTCTACTATTAAAATGTTTTCTTATAAGTTGAATCCGTAAAAAATTGTTTTTATTTTTAGGCGTTTTGGAGAAAGTACAAAATTTTTATGGAATTGGAAACACAGAAGGAGGCTTGCTTCAAACAGCATTTATAGTTAGTTATATGATTATGGCTCCAATATTTGGTTATCTAGGTGACAGATACAGCAGGAAAATTATCATTGCTGTTGGAGTAACTTTTTGGAGCGTTACAACTCTTTTAGGTTCTTTCATCCCTCCTCATGTAAATATTAAATTTATTTTTTCTAATTGAAATTTGATTTTTCAAAATTTTTGTTTTTTACTTACTCTCAAAATTTTATACTTACTCTCAGTAAATCCATTATATGTAGAAAATTTTAGCATTAATAGGTCTTAAATTAAAATATTTGGTCTGTATTAATATATTTTTTTAAACTTCCTAGCTTTTTGGAGTATTTTTGTTTCTTCGAGCTTTAGTTGGTACAGGAGAAGCAAGTTATTCAACTATAGCTCCCACTATAATAGCAGATTTGTTTTCAAAGGACCAACGGTCAAAAATGTTAGCCATATTTTATTTTGCCATTCCTGTAGGAAGGTAAATAAATATTTTATTTTATGGAATAATTATCTGTGTACTACATAATTTCAATATTATAATAACTTTATGCTACAAAACCAATTCACTGTGCACTAAAGAGTTTTGAAATAATTGTAAAAACATTTTTTTTTACTTTTAAAAATATGATTCATTTATCATTTTTTTTTTTCTTCATTTTTATCATTTTTAAGGCCATGAAAACTTTTTCAACTTTGTTTGAGATAAAGAAGAATGGAACTTTGGCATAAAAAAGAGATTTTCCTATTCATATTATTATGATTTGATTAAATGAGCTGTTTTTTGAAACTTAGTTCTCAAATATAATATTTGTAATCTGTGATTTAAAATAAATATTTCAACAGTCATGTAGTTAAAGTGGTTTTATTTTATTTTAGTGGATTGGGCTATATTCTTGGCGATCAGATTACATCTTTTCTAGGCCAGTGGCAACATTCATTACAGGTATAATTGTTATTTTATGTTACATTCTTCTATTATTTTTAAGTTAAGCAAAGAAAAAAATTGTGGCAATCATTCATAAATAAAGAATATTTCTTATTGTTGCAAATTAATTTTAAAAATTTATAATTATTTTAATTTATGTAATTAAGTAAATTAATTATTAATTTAAAAAATAAAATGAGCCACTCAATATTGAATATATTTAAAATTGTGTATAAATTGTTTTTATGGTGGCTAATATAATCAAGAAAACAGTTCTTTTTCAGAAACTACCAGTTATTTTATCATGATCATGTAAAAGTCTTTAAAAATTCATTTGCATTTTGTTAATATATATAAAAAAACTTTCCACAATTGATAGAAATTTTTTTTATGTGTGCATATATCCTATTAATGAAATTTTTTTGAATGCTTAAAAGGTTAATTTTAATGTTTATTTTTTGTTGAAAAATTAAAAAAAGTTTTTCTTAATTTTTGTGGTTACCTACCCTGATTGTTTATTGAGATTCAAATAAAAAGTAGAATTTCTTTATAAAAGTATTTTTTTAAATTTATTGGTAAACTGTTAAGATATTCAATTTGATTATTTTTATATGTAACTAAATGTTTATTATTTAAATCAAGGTCACGCCTGCCTTAGGTCTTGTGTCAGTAATTTTGACTCTTCTTTACGTCAAAGATCCACCAAGAGGTGAAGCTGAAGGTGGTGCTGTTTTGGAAGCAACATCTTTATCTGCAGATATGAGAGATTTGTTTCGAACGTGAGTAACGGTTTATAACCATTATATTACTGACAACTGGAGTAATTTAACCACCTTACACAATATATTTTTTACATATAGTTGAATTGTAAAAAACAAAAGCGATGTAAAAAAATAAATCTACTTCTGATGTCTTTAGTTATTTATACAAAATTTTGTGAATTTTTCATTTGAAAGTATTGATTTAATTGTAACTAAAAATGAAATAGGCATAAATAGTTTATTTATTTAGTTTTTATTTATTTAGGTTTGATCCTGTTTAACTAAATGCACAAATGAAAAATAAAATAAGCTTCTCATCTTATTACTTTTTTTTAAAGATAAATACGAAAAACAATCATCACAATAATTTTTATTTGATTTAATAAAAAAGTAATTTTATTGAATTTTGTGTGAAACATTCTCAAATCACGGTAACATGCTTATTTTTATACTTTTACCAAAAGTTCCAAAGAAAGAAATTTTGAATCCATAAAACTTAAATGAGTGACTTATAATGCTTAATTATATCATTAAATGTTAAAAAATATTGTTTTAACTATTTTTCGTACTTTTAACTTGAAATTTTGATAATCCTTTTTTTTTTTTTTTTAGAAAGTCCTTTGTATTTTCCACCTTAGGATTTACAAGTGTTACCTTTGCTACAGGTGCTTTGGCTTGGTTTGGACCTAAATACATGGAATTAGCAATAAAAAGACATGTTTCTCTTGGCTCTGCCCCACCAAAGTATGATACATATGATTAAATATTTCATTGTTATTTATAAAGTAATGCCGTTTACTGTAATTGTGTTACCTACTATTTATTAAATGTATATAATAACTTTTTAGCTTAAATACAATAAATTCTATCTACAATGATATCCAATACAACTCCCTTTACTACAATAATATTTCATGGTCTTGATGAATTTGCATATAGATTCATGATATTCTCTCCTCAATATTGTGAGATTTTCTAAAGTTATTAACCCCTGTGAAACTATTTAAAAGAAAATATCAACATTATTTTCTCACATTGTTATGGTATTTTCATTTTCAAATTCCGAAAAGGTTTTTATTTTATTATCTTTAGCCATTTTTTATGTCTTTTCTGGCAAGAGAAGTTTGCCGGTTTTGTACTTATTCCTTTTCGCTTATGTAAGAATGGCTATTGTTCAGATTCCAATATAACCCCATCCTTCAAATAGGTAGAGACTACACAAAACTCTTCTCTTCTAGATAATATCTACTAGAAGTCATATGTGTATCATTCTTTTTTGGTTTTATTATTTTCATGTTAAAACCTAATAATGAGTCAGGAGTCACCATACACATCGCATTAACAAATCAAACGATTTGACACTTTAGGTACATGAAGTTGGACAATTTTCGGAAAACTCTGCTACTTGTTTTTTTAAACAAAAACATTTAATTTTCTTTTTTTTATGAGTGCATTTTCCCCCTAAAATGGCTGGAAGAAAGCAATTTTCTTTTCAAGCCAAATTTAACCTTATCAACGATATATAAAAATATATATATAAATACAAGTGTATAAATATGTATTTTCAGTAGGGCATATATAATATTATAATTAAAAAAAAACTTGTGTTCCCAAAATGTTTAGACTGTCTATGTAGCAATATATTCCTCTACGGCAATATATTTATTTGGTCCCCAAAATTTTTTTGTAACGAAAATTCATTGTATTTTCTTTTCAAGCCAAATTTAACCTTATCTACGATATATAAAAATACATATATAAATACGTGTGTATAAATATACATTTTCAGTAGGGCATATATAATATTACAATTAAGAAAAACTTGTGTTCCCAAAATACTTACACCGTCTATGTAGCAATATATTCCTCTACGACAATATATTTATTTGGTCCCCAAAATATTGTAACAAAAATTCATTGTATATGTCACCATTAGTTTACTAAAATTTCAAACAATTAACCCTAGTTAATGATTTTTTAAACAGACAATCAAGGATTTTAACGTGCCTTTAGTGACCTTTTTTTTCCCGTTGCATTCGTGTCAACTTGATTTTGAACACTGTTTGACCAGTATGTGTAGAGTCCATAATTATTCTATATTTAATACTGCAAAACCAATTATATGCCAATGGTCTGCTGAGAGGAAATTTGGACCCTTCACAAAATATCTTTTCATAAAAATGGACCCTTCACAAAGTATTTTAACTTAGAAACGGACCCTTCACAAAATAATTTATCTTTAAATCGGACCCTTCACAAATTTGTTATTGTTTTGTTAATTATTGTCATTATTGTTTTGTTAATCGAATAAACCCTTCCTAGGAAGGGGGGGGGAAGAAAGACAGATGTAAACGACCTAAATTTTGTCTTTGACAGACGCTTCTTCCTTTTTTCGTCTGAAAAGAATATTCTGCGTTCAGCAGTATATGCTGAATACCAAATATTTATATGTTGCATCGCTAATTTAGTAGCTGCAATTGTTGCTTATTTTTTAAAATTTAATTCTTTTAATTATATATTTACAGTGTTGAGCATAATCTTGTATGTCTTTACAATTTAAAAACTCCTTAAAAAGGTTTTTTTGCCATAACGGACCCTATTTGCACAAATTCACAAAAGCGGACCCTGGTTGAAGGAATGTGACTTAACGTTTATTTTATATTCACAAATTACGAGTAATTTTTTCACAATTTTGCAAAAACGGACTTTTTACAAAATGTCTGGACAGACCCCTGTATGCTTTTAGAGTTTACTTTTTATTCATTCATTCATTTAATTATTCTTTTAATTCATTTAACGCATAATGTTTTTAATTATGAACTTTTTCTCCAAATTTTTTAAAACAAGTTTTACTTAATCATTAAGAAACAATTTATTTTATTGACTTGTATGTATTTGTTTTATTTCATTTATTGATTTATTTTATTCTCTATTTCTTAGGGCTGCTTTAGTCTTTGGTGTCATTACTTGCATTGCTGGAATCGTTGGAGTCATTATTGGTTCATCTTCTTCACAATATTTTCGTAAAAAAAATGCCAGAGCTGATCCGTTAATTTGTGCTTTTGGTGTTTTAACTAGTGTTCCCTTGGCTTATGCTGGAATTGTAGCGGCAGATTATAGCATGCCATTATCATGGGTGAGGTGTACTATTTAAATTTTCAAAAACTGTAAAAACCGAAATGTATTATTTTGTATGACCAGATCAAAATATGCTATTTATAATTTATTTAAATTTCAAATGAGCTTTTATTAATTTTTTAACTACCAAATTTAAGTGAAGTTTTATTTATTTCTTACTTCTAGAAATTTTTGTTTAAATTGGAAATATCTAATCAAAATCAAGTTATATTAAAGCTTTTTTTTTAAATCATAGAAGTATTTTGCTACAAGTATTTTGATGAGAATTTAAAAAGTTTTATTTCACATTATCTTTTTTCTTCTTGTAATTTTTTAAATCTTTAATTGACAGTAAATTAATATTTTAACAAGACAATGCCTCAAAACACGTTAAAGTTGTGTTTCATGGCAAATTACGAAACATGCTGTGATACAATTATGTCTCATTCTTTCATCACCATATTTTAACTCAATAGAGATGATAACATAGTAATAAAGTACACTTTAATTTGCTATTTTAACAAAATTGACAAATCTGTGATTAAAATATAATGAAATCTTTTATAGAATCACAATTGTAATTTGTGCTCCCATCTCATTTAAAAATAAAGGAATAAAAATTATTCATTAAATTAATTATTTTTTTTCAAAGGGTATAAATTGTTAGGTTCATGTTTAGAAATATTTTTATTTTAGATCCTTATATTTCTGGGTGAAGTTTGCTTATGTGTGAATTGGACTATTGTCGCAGACATGCTTTTGGTAAGTTATTTAAATAAAACCCTAGCAGCAAAATAACTTGGTCCCTCATAGAATCAATATTGACGAACCTTCGCTTAATATAGGTTCAAAGGGCTGTTATTTTCCATATTGGCCCGATATAGAATTGCCCGATTCACCCAATATTTTACAGCCTTGCATTCAATATTGACCCTATATGGAATTGTCAAATTTACCCGATATTTTACATATAATATTCAGTCAATATAGGCCCCAGATTTGCCCTATGTAGGACCAATGTTAAAAGATCTAGATATCCTAGTATTGGTCCTTCTTTGCATGTTCGTTTGGGGCCGATATTGAACCAATTTTAAGCTTAACTTGGACCAGGGTAAAATTGTTGCTAAGGAAGTTAATTGTATTTTTTTAAAAACCTAATAGATATAAATTAGTCTTTCAAAAGTATACAAAAGGATTATAAATTAATACACATGAAAAGGTTCTTAATTCTATAAAAATCATTAACCATTTATTAAATTTTAAAATATAGCTGTTCGTCATTTTTCATATAAATAATAATTTTAAATACATATATACATAAGTATTTCTAGGAATCTTAAGTTGCTTAATCGAAAATTCTTATTCATTCCTTTATCAAAGCTTGGAAATACTTATTTTAAATAATCAATTGTGTCAAAAGAGAACTGAAGCAATTGAGAGACTTCATTATTTAAGATGTTTTAAAATTTCAGCATATTTTGTTACATAATATTCTTGTTTCTAAGCTACCATTCTTGTAAAGAAATGACATAAATAAAATCTAATTTTATGATAAAGTATTACAGTTTTATTCATTCGTTTGTGATAGTAGATTTTTTTAATATTATCAAATATATTTTAATAATTACAGTATGTCATTATACCGACGAGAAGATCAATGGCAGAAGCTGTTCAAATACTTGTTTCTCATGCACTTGGGGATGCATCTAGTCCTTACTTCATTGGAGTTGTAAGTTTATATTTATTATTTGAAAGAAAAACATATGTTTTTTAATTTTTTTTCAATCATTACTATTTATATTGAGTGTTGGAAAATATGAATAGTGAAATAAGTTTAAAATTAAACAATCAAAAAAATTATTGTTCTATTATTATTTTAGAGAGAACAAAATATTAACTTTTTAAATGTTCAAAATTATGAATTTTAGCCTCTTTTTTTGTTTTGTTATTGTCAAAAATTAAGAAAATATTTGGGATTATTATTATTATTATTTAATAATAGTACTCTAGCACTTTATTTTGCCCTCTTAACATTTTAATATTTTCCCCATTTCCCAGGCAGTTGAATATTTATTTAACAAAAAGAGTCAGTATGTCTCACATGCAAATGTATTTTTTTAATGTACTATTAAAATCTGCAATTTAATTTTAAAAAACCTATTTTAATTTTTTTTCTATGGCAATTTTAGGTATTAAAATTATAATAAAATATGAATCATCAATAAATTATTTTAGAAATTTAGATGTGAAATCTATTAGAATTATACAATACTACATCTACCGTCAGGCCTTATTTGTTATATGGTGGCTTTAAATTAAATCCTAGCAAAAAAAGAGTAAAAAAATCCAATTAAAAGGAGATAGAAAAATTTCAAAATGTTTATTGATTAATACAGTAAGGCTAATATTAATGTGTGGAAATATTCATAATTGTTCTTTTTTAACTATTGTATCTTCAATCTATACTTAAGTTAAATGTACTATAATTTCTTTATTAAATTTAAAACTGAAGCAATTTGCTTAGTACTTTGGTCAGTTCTGCGATGTGGAGCTTTTCAAGTTCATCATAACTATTTCAACTTTGGAAAAGTAAACAATTGTTTGCTTGTTGTCTTTTGAAAAGGTTCATTTCATAGGTTTCACTGGTGACTCAGTTTTTTTCATGAAATTGTTGTTTGACCACTTTACGGTGAGTTTTTGTATTTTCATTTTTGTACTATATTTTCAAGATTTTGTTTGAAATTTCTCTTCTGATTTGATTTTATGTATTTCTGGTATTTTTCCTGGACTTTTGCAAAACCTTCGGGGTACTGAGAGAGCAAATTTTGACATTTGTCTGGCTCTCTTAATAGAAAAGGTTTTGTTCTATGGCTTCCATAGCTGGTACCCCCTAAAAGACATTGGTTTCGGTGGCCATATTTTTATTTCCATTGTTTTTCTTTTTTCTTTATTGCTTCAATTATTCTTTCTTTTAAAAATTTCTGCTGCTTTGCGCGTTTCTTTCAAAGAAAGTTCTGTTATTATGGAACTAAATATTTTGAATTCTTTTACTTACTTCATAATATTCACGTGACATCTTATTCTTTACTTAATAATAATTCTTTTATCAATATTTTAAATCTATCAGAAAAACAAATTACAGTAAAGAAAGTTAAGGTCTTAGTTGCAAAAATACTAAAATACAATTCAAGATTTTTAAAAACTTATGAAACATTGTTATTAAATCTGGTTTCATCATTCTGTTTAAAATGTACCCATCGAATTTTCAATTTCTAAATATATATTTTATATAAATTTTGATGAAAAAGTTACAATAAATAAAATACTGTCAGTGCAGTGTTGGAAATATTTTCCATTAAAACGAAAAGTTCGTTTTAAATTTTTTTAAAATTTAATACAAAAACGTTTTCTTATAACAAAAAGAGAAGAATGGAATTTCGTCACTCTTGTTCTAAGATTAAAACCGATTAAACTTTTTTGCCTGTTTGTGAACGGTATGGTCAAAACGTGCTGGAAACGGTTTCAAAATATTTTTTTTTCTTTATATAGGAAATGTCTACTTAAAAAAAATATCTTAAGAGTATCTTTTAGACTCATTTGGGACTCAAATAAGAATCTATAAAGAAAAAATAATTATTTTGTAATAATAATAAAAAATAATTATTTTCTATTGCAGGTATCTGATGCAGTTTTAAAATCAACAACTGCAGATGAATTTTTAGCTCTGCAATATGCATTGTATATACCAATGGCTGTGCTGGTTGTGGGTGGACTTTTCTTTTTCTTAACAGCTTTGTACATTGAAGAAGACAAAACGAAATGTAGTTTAACTACTCATGGTGAGCAGCACCTACCTCTTATTAATAAGTGTTCCTAATATTGTTCCTATCCTCATCTCACCTGAATCTTGATTGTCTCGAGCATTTTTAGTAGAACAAAACATGTTATGTCCTTGTTTTATTTTGTTTTCTTATATTATGTTTCTGTTTGCTGCACATTTGGTTGTTTTTATTGGTTGTTATTTTATGATTTATGATTAAATTATGTCAATTGGAAAAATAAATATTTTAAATATTTTCTGGTTCAAAAGAAGGGTTGCATTTTTTTTTTTATATATTTTTGTTTGTCACAAATTCTGTTGTTTTTCTTATTTATTATTAGTTTAGAAGTTAGTTTTTCAGTTGATTAATAAGAGTTGAAAAATGCAAAAGTAGAGTGTAGAGTTAAACAAATGTTTGTTTCTGTTTTTTTGTAATGCTTATTGTTTTTTTTTTTAAATTGCTATTATTTCGATTTTTAGAACAAAGTTTTTTGAAAAATCTAGTCACATTATATTTTTATAGTACAAAAGTGAAAAGCGAAGTTATGTTTCTGTTTTTTGCATTTTTGATTATGTTACAAATTGTTTTGTTTTTAAAATTTCTTAGTAGTGTTTAGGCAGAGTATAAAATGATATTAAAAGATACTTTTTAAATTGAAATAATAGAACTAAGCAAATTTTATTTATATTTGTTTGTATTGTTGATTATTTTTTATTAGTTGTTATTGTTTTGAAATTGTTTTTAGTTAAATAAAGACAGTTACAAAAATTTGTCAAGATAAGTTTTTTAAAATGTAAGAGTTAAACATCATGTTGCTATAACTTTTCTTAAATATTTTACCAGAGTATATAACTGACATAACGTGAAGAGATTTAATTTTATTGTTTTTTTTTTTCATATCTTAACCCATTACAAGATTGAGCGATACACAAATAAGAAATCTTTCATTTTAATCTATCTTCTCTTACATTGAATTGTTTAATTTCTTTCACTTATGTAAATATTGTTTTTAATATTTACTGTAAGTTTTTCATTTTGTAAACCTTTACCTTTAACATTTTTATGCTTTCTCCTTTTTGTCTGTTCTATGGATTATTTATTATTAATAATTATTATTCTTTTCAGCTAGTTTAAAAGGTATTTATACTTTTAAAACTTTTTCACTGTGCGTGAGTTACCTTTTAATTTGATAAGAGCATCCAGGGTTTGCTGAATAATTGTGTTTTGGTATGTGATTACATAAAAAAGATTTAATTGAGCCAAAAGAAATTATTCATTCCCATTTTGGAAATTAGAAATGGTCGAATGAACAAAGCAAAATGTTTATCCTGATGTGTATAAAAAAAAATTATAATCTGAGATCTTATAATTTATCAAATAGGCATGTCTTATTGATTTTTTACTTAGGCTATTGAGTTAAAGGAAAACAAAATCATTAATTTTTAACTTAAACCCTAAGTTAGAGTTTTGAAATAATTTGTATGTTAGTATTGACTTGACTTAATTCTCTTTACATTTTGATGGTTTGATTGATTTCAAGCTTAGCTTGTGATCTCTATGGATTAAATGACTCTGTCTATGATGTTGTTGTAGATCTTGCTCTTTGGAGCAATAGCAATGAGAAAAAATGAACTGAAACATGTAGATTCGGTTTTTTTTACTGTGTATTTAATAATGAAGAAGAGGCCTCATTCTACTACCAAACCTCTAGATGAATTATCAGTAGTTTTTCTCTTAATGGGAATATATATTATTAACTAAATATTCTCGTATATTTTCTTTAAATTAAAAAAAAAAAATATTTTAACTGTCAGGCTTGAGGAAAGAGACGTAAGATTAATTGTTGCGGTTTTATCGAAAATGATTTGCAAAAAAGGAAGCCAATCAAACCAATGGAACAATGAAAAGAAACGGTTATTTAAATAATCTGACGAAAATTCCAATATAAAAAATCAAAGCAAAGCAAGTCTGTAACGAAATATATTTCTTTGCTAATGTAAAAGGAGTTAAGGAAAGGGAAAATTGTAAATAGATTTTGATACCTGGTTATGTGTCACATTGAATATTAATTTCTTGTACATTTTCATTAATTAAAAAAGGTGGCTAATATATTTCTGAGAGAGAGAATTAAATATAAATTTAAAAAATAAATGAAAGTAAAATGCCAGGAAATATGCAGTGCCTAATGTATGACAATATATCTCTGAAATAATTTTAGCTGACTATCTTTCTTTTTCAATGAGTCCATATTTAGAGTATTTTTTGCAGTATCTGTTATTGACATTTTCACCCTTTGTGCTTGAGGTTCTTTTTACATTAAAAAAATCAATGCAACTGCTATGAGTTTATAAGACTTGTGTTGCTAATTTATTATAATATTAGTAATTGTTTATTAAGAGTTCAAAAGAAATGGAAAACATTGTAATTAATGCAGTCAGACCTCGATATAAGGTCATCTGCATATAAGGTCACTTTTCCAAAGTCCCGGCTCACTGAATAGGAATTCTTTGTTGTAGATTATCGGATATATGATCAAGTTTTAAAAATCGTTATCGCTTATAAGGTCATTTTTATTTGAGGCGAGGGGAGCTCTTTTCTCACAAAAGCCTATTTAACTTCCTTACAAGGCAATTACCCACTTCTGAAGCTACAATTTCTGAAATTGTTTCACAAGTTGTGGACAGTGAGGACAATGACAGTGATCCTAAGACTGTAGCTGTAACCCAAGCGGAAACCTTCAATGCAATAAATGTCATACGAAATTTTTTTACAAACCATGAGGGAGCTGAGGAACATTTTGAGAAGTTACAAAATCTAGAAAACATTGTTCGATAAATGAAATAAAAAATGAGACAGACCTGCATAAATGATTATTTTAAATAAGGTAAGATGTAATGCATGTATGTACACTTTGAATTTGTAAATAGCTTTATTTTAAATAAAAAAAAAATTTTGAAATTTAACTTTCTTTAATTTTTTACTAATTCTGTTAAAATTTATTGACTTAAATATTTAATCAGCAGGTCGTTTTCGTTTGTATTACCATTTTCAAAAATCGTAATGTGTACTATTTGTGTGCTTAGTTATGAACTGCTAATGAATCGGTTAAAAGGTCACCCCGCTTATAAGGTCACTTTTGTGATGTCCCTTAGGGTGACCTTATATCGAGGTCTGACTGTATAAGTTTTTCTCTGATTTTAACCGTAATGATGATACAGCTGTATAAAATATATTTGGAGATAATGTTTTATCACGGTATGCTGTTTAGTATCATTAAAAATAAGTTGTTTGGAACTTTAAAAAAAATAGGTAATTAATTTTATAATTTCTCCCCAGCTCCATACAAATGATTAAAATACAATTTTAAACAAATTTGATATGTTCCTATATTTTCAGTAATTTCAATCCTACTCTGTTGAAAAAAGGTATGCTTAATTAAATAATTATATACTTTTATTTTTAGCTATTTTGCATTTATTCATAAGCTAATATTTTGGAAGGTTCTTTCGAAATCTTAATTGAAATAATTTGTGTTAGCTATAGAAAGACCAGGTAAATAAAACTTTCAAAGGCCATTATGCTGAGAATGTGGATATTTTTTTATTAAATAACAAATTGTTGTAATAGTTGACATACCTGATTGTAACCTGAAAACCTGATGGTAAATTTTGTCAAAACTATTTTATTCTAGTTAAAATAATCATTACCAGTTGCATCAAAGAGAAATTATGCTTTTACGTTTAATGTGTCAGAGTTGTAATCATACAGATATAACTGTTAAAACATAATATTGAAGCATCATATATCTCTACCACATTTCCAAGGGTAGTACAGAGCATTCTAGAAAATAAAGTATTCGATATTGTACTTTTCCTTCAGCGCTAGAAGAAATATTCTTATTTGAGGCACAAAAAAATATTCAAATATCAAGTAAGGGTGCCACGATTGCTTAGGGGATAGAGCCTTCCAATGAAGCAAACCGGGTTCGAATCCCAGTCGATACTAATTCCGCATCCGGCTTGCACCGACCACAGTGCTGACGTGAAATATCTCCAGTGGTAGACGGATCATGGGTTAGAGTCCCCTTGCCGTCAGGCTAACCCTGGGAGGTTCTCGTGGTCTTCCTCTCCATGTAACGCAAATGCGGGTTAGCTCCATCAAAAAGTCCTCCACAAAGACAAAATTTTCTCCCAATACTCGATCCAGGAGTTTCCTTGTCTTCTGGATTGGGTTTAAAATTGCGATGCTACGGAGTTGCACATTAGCAGTCGTAAACCCATTAAAATGGGTTGACCGTTCGACGACGGTTATATAAAAAAAAAAATCAAGTAAGTGGGCCGGCGTAGCCTGGTTGGTAGGGCACTGGACCCATGTTCAAGAGCTCCTGGGTTTGATCCCTGCCAGCTCAAGACTCCTTGTGTAGTAAATATTGATTGATGCACGTTAAATCTGTCAAGCCGCAAAGTCCTCCATGTTGCCATAACAAATCAATACCTCTGGGAGTACTGATGCAGGAGTTTCCTTGTCTTCTGGATTGGTTCGAAATGACAAAACTACGGAGTTGAACATTAGTAGTCGTAAACCCAGAATTGGATCGGGTGTTTAAGGACGGTTATAAAATTAAATAAAATACCCAGTAAGCATACAATATACGCATGAATGCTGGTCCTTACACGCCAAAGATACGTGACTCAGAAATAATAGTAGCGATTCCAGGAATTAGTAGCTAGCGAGAAAGCACACTTATTAAAAAGTGGATTCTTTATTTGCTTTAGCCTTCCATTGTCCACTAGAAAAAAGAATTTTCATTTAGAAATCTGTAGGGAAGCAAATATATTTAATATACATGCATAAGACTGTTCAGTCATTTGATATTTCAGTTTTTTGTTGCCAAAACAAAACAGGAAATTTCATCGATTTTATTATTTTTTTTTAAATATACGTATTTGTGTTTTATATAGTTCAGATAGATAACTAGTTTTTATTTAACAATGCTTATAATTACTGTTACGCCTTTCTATTAAAATATAGCAGAGCATTTCAATATAAAACTTTTATTCGTAAGTCCATAAAGCAAACATATTGCACATTATAAAACAAAATCGAATAATAGTTTAATTGTAAAAGACATTTCTAGCTTGACCACTAGTTACAGCTACTTTGTTTAAACTGAAAATTGAATTGTTTATGAAGAAGAGATACCTTTCCGTGACGTCATATTTACATCTTTATACTCTCCCCTAATTAACTATTCAGTAATTGACTCAGGTAACCAAAAATTCGAACTTGTATTTATGGTCATTATAGTAAAAAGTGGTTTTCATTAATTTCTCTTAAAAATTTAGAAACCACAGTTGCTTTGAAGTGTAAATAATAACCTAAACCAACATTTTCAAATCATGCAGAACACAATGTATAAAAGCACAAATGATGCAGTGGGCAAAGATAGAATATCATATGAGTACAATGAAAAGCACTATCGTCAGCATCAAGAAAAAATTTTGTGTGTTGACACGAAAATGATTGCTGGTAATTTTATTTAATGTGTTCTGCTTAACTGTGACACAGTTTAATTTTAAAAGTCAAACTCTTCATTCCTAGTTTTCAAATCCCTTTTTTACCACTTTAACCTTTTTCATTATTTCTGGTCTCAAATGCTTTATAAATGTATTCCTATTTCTTTCCCATATGTGTAATATACGTTTGTTTGTCTATTAGGTGTATATCCTTCATTGTGCATTTTCACAGAAGAACCTATTCAGATCCCCGCTGACGAGTTAAATTACAATCCGCATCTACTTTAAGATCGAGGCTTTGAATCTTTACAGTCATTATTTAATATTATGTGTTCTGTCCTGTGTTTATTTAGTGTAAAATATTTATAATACTGTGATCTTTTTTGTTACAATATATTCAAGATTTATCTTTTCAGAACTGTACCTGAAATATTTTTAGTTTAATTTTATTTATAGCAAATTGTGCATAGTAAATCTTATAATCAATGTTAAGAGCTTTTAGGACTAGGTAAGAGCCAGAGTGGTCTTAACCCACCCTAAAAACTTGACCATGAAAAAATATTTGACTACAAGTTAAGTTATAGACAGTATTTAAAAGAAGAAAAAGAATCATTTATCTAAATACACGAGTAAAAGGTTGTTATGCTAGTTATGGGTTGTTATTATTTTTTTCCCATCACCAATAAAACTTTTTGATTTAAGGCAAATAGTCTTTGAGCACACTTTATGGCTCAACTTCTAAGATATTCTAACTAGGCCAATGTTTGGTTGTATTTTATATTATATAAATTATCTACAATTGTATCCATTTTAAATACCATTTTTTGTTTACTAACAACAACTTAGTGCCATCATCACTTTTTAATGGAATAGGCATATCAAATTTTAATCAAGAATCAACTGGTATTTTATGCATGTTAAATTCTGTAAAATTGCTTTTGCTCGATATCTATAATTTAACATAATTGCCAATTTTTATGAAGGATTATGATTTAACACAAAATGTTTCTTCATCATAAACTCTATAATTAAAGTTAATGCCAGAAGTTAAATTAACTTGAATATAGTTATTAAAAAAGATTAAACACATGTCTGGTTTAAAATTTATTGACAAACATTTTCACACAATTCTAATAAATAAATACAATCTAAATGGAAGTTCAGGATTCATTTTATTTTTAAAGTGAAAAAATACAGTAATTGGTGTTAATAAAAAATAATTTATTAGCACAAAAAATATGGATAACTAAACTATAATCTTAACTCAAATCTCATCAAAAGATAAATTTATCTTGGGGGTAATTTTTTACCTGCAAGTCACATATCAGCTTTGAAACATAGAATATAGTTATACTTTAGTATATAAATTGGAAACAAGAAATCACAATAGTTCTAAAATAATATTAACTATATGCCAATAAAGAATTTATTTTTAACATTGAAAAAGTAATTTGCATTTTTAAAATTTACTTTGACAAAAAACAATGTTTAAATGCGTCATGTATTTCTGGCAATCGTTTTATAAAACATTCATAACATAGTGAATGTATTTATATATGTCTGTGATTTATTTTTCTTTAAAAAATTATTTTCAGTTACAGAACAAAATATTACACAAGCCAAAGATCCTTCCTTTCCAGTAAATAATCTGTTGATTGAAAAAAAGGAATTGTCTCAAATTACATCATTATGAAAGTTGATAAGATTCATTAAATTATGTATTGCTCATCTGTAATTCAATTATTAGTTCAATGATTTCACTCAATTGTATATAAATGTACAGTGCAATAAATATTTCTATACATCAGTTTGCGTATCAATTGATAATATTTTAAACAAAACACAATATTAATCACAATTTAATTTTATGAAATTTACAGGGTTGCCACAGGCAACTAAAATGCAACTATTTTTAGCCTTAGGCGACTATAGTGACTTTTTTTGCCTGAAAAGGCTAAAAAAAGCAACTATTTTCAGGAATAGGCGACTTGGGAGACTTTTTTACTCTTAGCGAAGTTATTTTTATACTTATTTTTCGTAGACCTGCTGTTACTTTGCGATTGCTGCACAATCGCTGTTATCTTAAACTTTCGTTCTGAACTCAATAGATCAATGAAAAGAAAATATAAATTAAAAAAGTTTCTTCATTGTTTTTTTTCAATTATTATTTTTCATTTTAAGCGATGCAATTTAATAGGGGTATTTTGTTATAAAAAGTTAGCTTTTTTCAAATTTATTTAATGTAGGTAAGTATAATAATTTGATTATTTTTAAACCAATAAATGTTCAGTTGTTTATATTTATAAAAAAATTTAAATAAAGCTTACCTTTATTTAATTTGCTTTTATTTTAGGGAAACTGAAAACAAAGTTTTAAAAAAATTTGGCTTTTAGTTAAAAAAATGAAGAGTTTTGGACGCTTTTTAATAATTTAACATTAGTACTTAAAGTATTTTTTTTTTAAATTTTATTAAAATTCTTTCAATACTTGTTTGTTTTATAATTTGTTAGATAGTCAGTGTCATTTTTAAAGAATTAATTTTATCAATTAATCAATTTTATTTTCAAAAACAAAAATAATAATAAATAAGTAAAAATATTTTTACATTCATTCAGTACAGAATTTGACCATCAGTTAATACTAGTTTATATTATTTTAAATAATTGAATAAAAGAGGGTCTAATGATGTTTCAAAAGCATGGGTTTTTTTTCAACTAATAATTTTAAAAAAATATTTTTTTTTCTAAAGTTAACATTTCTTTGGTTTGTTTTCTACTTTCTTTTTTTTTCTTTTAACTTTAATGCACGTATGTAAAATATTTTGTTACAGTATTATTATTTTTAAACCAATAAATCTTAAATCATTTTTAATTTTAGAAAAATGAAATAAATCTTCCTTTTCCAAAGTTTCCTTTTACTTTGACTTCTTTATTATTTTAATTGAAAAAATTAAGCAATGATATTGATATTATAGTAGAATATGTTTAGAATTAATATTTTCTTTTGTAATAGTTTTATTTATTTTTGATTGATTTCCCATAAGTAATTTCTGAACATATGCTAAATCGTGATGTCTAACGATTTAAAATTTCTGACATCAACCAGTCCTTATCATAGAATTTAACAATTTTAATTATTTGGCTACTATTTTTGCTCCTGTTCAGGCAACTATTTCTATAGTTTTAGGCAACTATTTTCATGCTTGAGGCTACTAAAAGCAACTATTTTTGTTCATTTTTTACTGTGGCAACCCTGAATTTATGGCACACTAAGAAGAATGAAAAAATTAAAAACTGCTTTTGTTGGAAAAAACAACATGCATTAAAAAAATCGATTTATTACAAATAGCTGATTTATAATTTTAGACTTTGGATTTAATGTTATTATCGGGAGCCTCAAGAAACATGACAGAAAGCTATTTTTACTAGAAAGTCAATAAATTATTAAAAGTTGGTAAATTAATAAAAAATTGCAACTAATAATATTAGGGTAGATCGACAGTATTAAAATTTTAGTTTGCTGTAAATATTACAAAAAGTGTTATTTATTATAAATACAAAAGTATTATATATTTAAATACAGTGGAACCTGTAAAAGTGACCACCTGGGTAAAGTGAACGCCTGAGTAAGGTGACCATTTTCTACTAGTTTTATTTCAAGAGTCCTTTTTAAAGAGTCTTCGTAAAGTGACCACCTCTATATAGTGACCATTTGACTTGATCCCGAGGGTGGTCAATTTAGACAGGTTCCACTGTATTATTTTCTGATGAATGTAAGTAAACTTTATAATACTTAGACACTAATTGTTTACTTATATATTGATTTCTTTTTAATTTTTTTTTTATTGATTTCAGAAATCAGCTTTTCAAATTAAATAAACTAAAAAAAATAATAAAACTTGCATAAGTGAGTCAGTGGAGAGAATATTTAGACAAGACGATTATACAATACGAATATCTCTTCTTTAGATACTAAGAGGTAGATAATGCTAAATAATGACTGTTATAAAAAATATTTTGGGATTTTTCTACCTCAATGTTATACTACAGAGACTTATATGTCAAGAATTTCCTTATATATTTAATAACTAATTAATATTCAATGATATTTTTTGTTTAGTAACAAAATTGCAATTCACAGTTTGAAATTTTTTAAAAATACGTAGAACTTAAAATTCGAAAACAAAGTTCTATAGAAAATATTTAAAGAGTAAAATAAAACAAAAATTATTCAAAAATATTAATTGGTTAGTGAATAAATAAGGAAATCGTGAACACATAATTTCGAAAATAAACATGGAAGCCACTTAGAACACCAAGAAATTTAAACTTAGCTTTATATTCCTGGATAATATTCATAATGAATAAAAAGGGATTGATTATCTTTATAATTGGGGAGTTAAAAACAAATGTCTCAAATAGTGGACTTTCTTCTTCCAATACTATAAAACAAGTCAGGTACAAAAGTTTAATTTTAACCAGCTGAGGGTTCTGTACCTTAAAAAAGTCGTATTTCAACCTGCAGTTTTTTTCCACGTAGCAAAACCGGTTTTTTCATGTTATTAGATAGGAAATAGCTAAACTGCCAGAGGGTTAAATTGTCCAAACTACTAGGTAACTTTAGTCTTAGGAACTTTTAATCCATAATAAAGTAAATGAATAGCATTCTTTTAATTACATTTGAGAATACTATTAATTTAACCTTTTAACAATATTGGCAACATAAAGGATGTTTTTTTGGTTTATATGGCAAGAAAACACTAGCTGCGTTACAAACATAATTCATTATCATTGGTTTAAGAGTTCATTACACAAAAGAAATTAGATTTATAAAAAACTGTGATTATTAGTCTACGTAAAATAAAATTATTTAGATTGCCTTATAAGACACGTTAAATTTGTTTGAATACTTTTTATTTTATGGAATTATTGTGAATACCATAATCATGAGTATAAAATTTTTCAATATTTTTTTAAAAAAAGATTTAGAAATAAATACGGGGAAAATATTGTTAACAAACATCAATATGTTAATTACTTTTTTCAGATAAAAGTAAAGAATTTTTAACAATTTGCAATTTAAAAATCACAATAGTAATGAAAAAATACAAGCTTTGATACAACATATTTAAAGATATAAGATTGTATATTTTTCAAGAGAATGAAGCTTTTAATCAGGCATTTATTTAAGATTTAATTCATTTACAAAAATACTCCTTTTCTGCATTTAAAGAGTGTCCATGAGTTTCAGAATAATTTGTAGTGTAAAAGATTTAGAACAGAAAACAAAGAGTCCATTAAGCATTGTCTTTTCCAATTGCAAAATATTTATTCTTTTTAAATATATAAAATGAATATTACTTTTAAGTACAATTTATTAAATATTTCAATGGTCAGTTAAAAAAATAATATATACAACTACATTAAATGTAGATTTTTATTTATTGATACAGTATTTAAAAATAATGCTCACTCTTTTTAAATAGGATAAAATAACCATTTAAAACGAATATTTATATTTTGAAACAATATTTAATGCATGGAATCACAACTATACGCAACACAATTTCAATAAATTTAGATTTTTCAATAATGAGTAAAGATGGCACTTACAAATAATGCTATTCTGTTTTTAAATATATAAAAGAAAAATTTCTATAGCATATTTATAATTTAAGATAAATTATAATTCAACAATTCCAAAATGATTTTTTATCAACTTTATTTCTTTTAGAACGTGAATTTTTTTTCATTTGTACAAATTTACCTTTGCAAAACACCAGTTGCAGCTCATATTTTTATTTTTTATCAACTTTATTTCTTTTTGAATGAGAAAAAATTTTTTTTTTGTACAAATTTACAATTGCAAAACACCAGTTTCAGCTCGTTTTTTAGAATATAAATATTTTGCAAGAATAAAATTATATAAAAATAAATGCATTGGTGGTATACAACCTTATTTTTATGCGCTAAATCCATTACATTTACATAAGACAATAATTTAAAAATACATCAGATCTAAAACAAAAATTGTTATTTACATATCACTATAGATAAAAGATATGTTTTTGCCATGGAATGTTCATTCCATTTATAAATCAGTTCGATTTTTTAGTAGTTTCTTTTTCTCCAACAGTATTTAAAGAGTTGATTATTTTTTCTGTTAACTTCTGGTGAAGAACTCTGGAGGTAGTTAGTGTATTGCCAACAAATAGCATAAAGAATATAACTGCTGAAACAAAAACCTAAAAGATAAAAATGAGTAAGAGAAATATCAACCAATAATTAAAATAGTGGAACATTTGTTTCAGATAATCATACTTAACACTAGGGAACAAATTTTTTGTAGTACTTTTATACATATTTGATACTAATGTTTGATCTTGCTGAAATCAAGTGTGGAGATTTAAAGTCTCAAATTAGTTTTGCTCCTAAAGCTACAGATTTTTTTCAAATGATACTTTTCTTCTTCATTGGCTTGACAGCCCAGGATGGGCCCTTGCCTTCCGCAGAGTTGAACTCCAGGCTCTTCTACACTTGGCCATAGACATCCACTTTGTGACTTTTAGAATATTTAAATCACTTTCGAGGCAGTCGAGCCATCTAAGTCTAGGTCTTCCTCTTTTTCGAGTGCCTAACTGTCTGGCAGAGAAGATCTTTTTTGTAATGCGGTTATTATCCATTCTTGATAGGTGTCCCGCCCATTTGATTCTCTGAATTGTAATATATTTGACTACGTCAGGTTCTTTAAATAGTATGTAAAGTTCGGAGTTAGTTCTTCTTCTCCAGATATTGTTACATTTAAGGTCACCAAATATGCTTCTTAAAATTTTTCTTTCAAACACAGAAATAATGTGCTTTACTTTTTCTGTCATTGTCCAAGTCTCAGCAGAGTAAGTAAGAATGGGTCTTATCAAACTTTTGTACAAATGATACTTTTAGTACACGTTTAAAAGCGTCATATGTTACAGAGGTTGCGCAAATGTTATGACAAACTTCTATAAGAGATAAGGAACATCACTAGGAATAAAATCGCATAGAAACTCACGCCAATAAATGTCATTGTACACAACTCCTAGCTGCGTACAATAACATTTATAACCTGTTCAGAAGCTTGAAAACGAAGAAACAATTCATAACCCTTAGCAATGTATGACATTTTCGGGCATGGGTTCCTTGGATGTAATTTGAATCCTGATAATGTGCCGAAACTCCTCTAGAAATGTTTCGCAACATTTAAGCAATCTCCTGTGATACATACTGTTTTAAAAATTGTGCATTTTGTAAAAGAAAAAAAAAGTCTTTTTTTAGAAAAACAAACTGTAGACTGGAGAGAGAAACAACTTCCAAATTTGAAATCAGTAATATGTTAAAAATTTGGTGCGATAGAAAGCAAAGAAAAATTGTTAACTGTGTAATCATTGAATTATACCTAATAATTGAGTGCAATAGTGGACTAACTCTTTTTGATATATATGGAACATAAACAAGTTTGCTTATAGAAAAAACTTTAGTAGTTAACACTTTCATCCCAATGAAGCTATTGCAATTTTATTTAATTGTGTAAAATGCTGCAATGTTATAGCTAGTGCTGTGCGATATCAGAATTTTAGTTATTTAATACGTCATTTTATCAATATTATTCTAATTATTATACATGGGGCAATATGTTACTCAAATGAAAGTAATCAATCATAATATTAATGCATTAAACACTTACTGTTAAAAAATAATGATCACGATATAATCTTGATACTTATTATCACCAGTAATACTCAGGATATTATCGCAATTAATATTTATCACTGTCAAACAATAATTTCCTGATAGCAATAATATTGCTGCTTAGAATAATCAAATAATAAAAATAAATAATTATTTTGTATTAGTAGTAAAAACAATTTAATTGCATTTTTAGATTTATGCCATCTTGAATGAGGATGCAAGATATTTAAAAAATACAAGAATTGTATGAAAGACATGTGATAAATGGCAGGTTTTTTATGGCATATTATATATTAAGAAGTTTATTTTATTTGTAATTATTCCCACAAAATATTAATAGCTTACATCATTTTTGCCAGTCAAATTACAAAGATAATATACAAAGCTAAGAGTGGCCGAAAGGTTATAGAAAACATAAAAGTTTGAATATAGCAGTTTTTGGCATCTAAATATGCATAAATTATTACTAATCAGATCAGAATATTAACCTTACCGCATGCAGTGGCTACGTCTAGCGACATGCAGTTATTGAAACCGGAATTAATATAGATATCAGTGTGAGGCTAGAATATTTATCGAATAAAGCACTTCTTTAACAGCTTGTTATTAGCGAAGAAGGTTAAAGGCTCCACAATTTGAGCCCAATTATACATTTATTCCACATTAAGCAATAAATTTTTTAAAACATAATGTAGTTAAGCATATAAAGTTTTATTTCAAGTGATTTGAGCAGTACAAAATTGAACTTTATACATATAAATTGTCAATTTAAGTTACACCAATTACAGAAAAATTAAAGGCTTTGAACATATAAATGCAACTAAAACAAATTCATTTTTCAAGATATCAGCACATATTTTACTACACTTGAAAAAGGAATCATTGAATTTTGATGCTAACAATTTAAATTAATGACATTGCGTACAAAACAAAATTAACATTTAAATATTGAAAAAACTTACTTGCCACTCCACACACTGTTCATCTTTACTTAAATTGAATAAAGTATAAGCGTTATACAACTGGAAAATCTGAAATATAATTTTTGTTTATCAATAATATCAAAAAACATTTATAAAAATGAGAATTATTAAATAATTTAAAACAGGGTAACTTTTTATCTACAAATAAATTATGAGAGATTCTTCAACCATTTCTTTTTAAGGTTTTATTAATATCATTGTCTACTAAGACAGTTCTTTTATGATAGTTATGATTTTCATAATAAAAAGTCTATCTAAAGGTTTTGCTAAGTTTATCAACTGAATAAGATCACACCTTAAAACTGAACAAAATGAAGTATCAAATTTAAAAATGAGTAAACACGTGAAGAAATATTTCGTAAAATTTATTTGTATTATAATTTTTAATGATAAATTTCCTATAAAAAACCCTTATAAATTGTCTTCTTAATAAGTCAATCAAAATAAAATCCATACATTCTTTTTTAAGTTTTCTTTCAATCCAAAATAACAATCATAGAATTAATAAATAACAAAAAGGAAAGACACTTATAACAGCTGGATATTTTGCAGACAATGTATATGAAATATTTTGAGTTTTATATTAAGGCCACCATTATTTAATATTAATTAGCATTTCATGAAGCTTAATTAATTATATCCATATTTCATGCTCAAGGCACATTTTTATTAAATTTCTGATGTAAATTAATGGGACACCATTGATAAATTGCAAAAATATAAGTTAAAAAAATATTAATCATTCATTTTATTATTAAATTTTGATTGCAAAATCTAAATTTATTTTTTTTTAAAAACTAATAGGTTATGTATGTGTGTCCATATACATATACACATGTACAGTGAGCAAAAAAAATGGACCACCCTGAATAACTTTTGATCTAATGATCGGATCTTCACATTCTGGGACTCAATTTTAATTAATCGAGGAGGTTACCTCAAATATACTCATTAATAAGGGCAGATGACATTTTAAGTTACAAAATCAGACACAAATTTGTACTTTCTCTGAATAAACATACTTTTTGTTTAATGGATTCAAATTTCAACCACCCAAAATATAGGGGTAGTCGCAATCTGGAAATTATGGTCTCAATAATTTGGTCAGGAGAATGTGCCAAAGTTTGGACCCCTTAATGTTAATTTTACTTCTTGCGTATTTCATTAGTTCTCAAGAACTTTTTGATTTTTGAAAATTTTTGCACACAATTATAAAATTTATTTATCCAAAGATAATTCCTTGTAAAAATTTAATTGCAAGGAAGACAAATACTTGAATCATTTTAAAAAACATAATTTTACATGGCAAAATACAAAATTTGAGCAAAATCGGTTGAATAGTTTCTGAGAAATTGAATTCCAAAAAAGTCAGACAATTAAAATTTGATTTCTCAGGAACTATTCAACTGATTTTGCTCAAGTTTTGTATTTTGCAATGTAAAATTATATTATTTAAAAAGATGCAAAAAATTTTATAACTTACAATTCAAAATTTTTTTGACTATTATTATATATTCACTTTTCAAATGGAATTTTCTTCGGACAAATGAGTTGCTAAGGATATAATTGTGGGCAAAATTTTTTCAATTAACTTAAAAAGTTAAATTAAATTGAAGTTATAAGTTAAGTTAAATTAACATTAAGGGGTCCAAACTTTGGACTGCTCTCCTGACCAAACTATTGGAACCATATATCCCAGATTGAGGTTGCCCCCTAGATTTGGGTGATCAGAATTCCGAATGCGTCTAAATGATATGTTTATTCAGAGAAAGTACCTTTTTGTGTCTGATTTTGTAACTTAAAAAATCGTCTGTACTTATTGTTTAGCATATTTGAGATCATCCCCTCGAACCATAAGGATTGAGTTTTAGATCGTGAAGATCCGATCATTAGATCAAAAGTTATTAAGGGTGGCCCGTTTATTTTTTTGCGCACTGTACACATACAACTGAGTAATAATTACTCTAAAAGTTTTACAACATTGATAAAAAAATTTATGGTTCCAATCCATCATTTTTTATAAAATATATTTTTTAATATAAGAAAAACAGAATATAACAATAGTTCTTTGATACTTCACTTACATAGCCAAAGTATAGGAATGGTAGAAGGAAAGTAAGCCCACGCCACATCCAGGAATGAAATCCTTCTAAAAGAGGATAGATCACAAATTTCCGTACAATATTTATTAAATATATAAATGTAATAACCGTAATTTTATAATTTTGTTCTAAAAATAACAGCATAACTATATTTCATGCAGGATGTAACAGGAAAACTCCGATTACTTCCTTACAGTAGCGGAACAAGTTTGATGTTGTTTACTTTCTTAGTTAAAAGTACTATAAAAATATTATCATAGAACATATTGAACAGTTTTAAAAGCTCAAAAAGATATGTAAATAATCGAAATAAAATATAAAAAAAATCTTAAGTTGATTGTATCAGAAACAATAAAAAAGAGGGAAGCAATAAATTACATATTTTATTTTGTATTTATTTAATTTAAAAAGAAAATTTTATTAAGCATTTATAAATTTTTTTTATATAAACCAAAAAATATTATCCATCCCACAAAGTAACATTCTACAGTGAAGAAAGAAAATTTCTTTTTAATTTAGCAACCATGTGAGAAAATATAGCATCTGAAGTAATTATTCAACATTCAGATTGGTTGTTCTATTTTACAAAATTATCCTTTAATTGACAACACAATTACATGCAAGAAAACTAAACAAAACACTTATATAAAAACATTAAACGTTAAATTAATTATAAAATTCCATTATGTATGCAAATCAGATTCTAAGAGATGCTGTTTGTCCTGCGAAGTTAATTTCCAAACTGATTGAATTCTCAATTGATGAGAGAAGATGCATTTTCAAACTTTCCTCTTGTCATAATTAATCTACATGTGGCTAGCAAACATCAAGTCAAGTGACTCAATTGCGCACCTACAACTAATTAAATGGTTAGGTCTAATCATGTGGTTGTGTATGGCTTGAAGTTACAGCTTTACTGCTTGAGTTCATTATCATTAATGCTGAATTGAATTAATTTTCGGATCAGTTTTAATTGGACACCTGCAAGCGAAGTCATGTGTGTGTGTTGAACCCGATTGGCTGACCCGAGTGTGATGTCGCTAGCAAGTATCTAATTGCAATTTGTACAGAAATGTACAAATATTTACCAATGGTAATGTCCATTTTATGACGTTCCCCAAGTGCTCTCAGTCTGTACAAGCAGCCTTGCTGGTAATTGAACTGTAGAAATTGAAGAATACCTACAAGGGAAAAATTTTTCTTCTTTTCAATTTAATATGAATGTTAAAAAGCTTTTTAACAGTAAAAACAATAGTGACAATAGGTGATTGATTGATGAAATTGATGCTATTTGTGTATGCTTCTAAGAAGTAACACTTGCGTAAATATTAGTTAACTTTTAATTTCCTTCAGGATCATTCTGTATTTTCTAGTTTATCAAATCTTCAAATAATCATTTTAAAAAAATCATATGTTTAGAACCAAACCTTCTAAATATACTTGTCATGATTTATCAACAAGGATGGAACATCAGTGTAACTATTTTGAAGCAAAAAAAATATGTTTTGGAGCAAATAAATTTTGTTTTTTGAGCAGATTTGAGCATATAAATTTACATTTCATATCTTATTTGTCAGACCACAAAAAAAAGGCAATATTAAACTGAAAGAATGTAACGGGAATTCAACAAAGAATTACCTAATAACTGAAATAATTTACTAGATTGGTAACCCGCAAAAATAAAATCTAAAAAAAGGCTTAAATCACAGTTAAATATACATTTCAAATAATCAGATTAAAGAAATATGACAATGATACTTGAAAAAACTAAATAAAATTCCTATCTTGATAGAAACATTTACCATCCCCAATAAATACAAACATCAATATAACTAATTATTATATGGTTAATGCAGTGTTTATTTTAGATGAGATTAGCAGGAGGCTTCGCTTGTCCTTTGGATAAAAGAATTCTCTATTGCATGCTAATGATTACTCACCAAATGTATTTTTAAAAAAAATAGTCAATTCTAAATTATTCCCTTGTAAACATATGTTGTTTTCAGATCATCTTTCTGCTGTTATATATTGGTTTTTGCCACTTTTGAATGGATTTTTAAATTCTGATATTTTAAATACAATGTAGGGTAAACCAACCAGTGAAGGAACACTACCCAGTGTATGAACATTTCATATATATTGATTAAAAATAAGAATTTGAAAGTTTTTCTTTAGATTGATAGGTAACAATAGCTTACTGCCAAACAACAGAAAGTCATCTAGCTATGTTTTGGACTACCTGGTCGAATAGATTTCTCTGGAAAAAAAATTAAATTTGTTAGTATCTCTGAAACACCTTGTTTCTCTGAAAAAATTATAAGGTGAGTGTTTGTATTTATATGTTTGAAGTGGAATTAATTGCATGTAATAATTTTAATTTTTCTCATTGTGAAAAAGAGAATTCAAAATATAGTTATTGAAGTTACAGTAGTGAAGGAACAAGTGTTCCTTTACTGGGTTTTTTTTTTAAGTTAATGAAAATAAAAGATAAACTTTAATTTTCTTGTACCTTTAGTGATGTTCGGCATCAAAAGTATGTTAAAAATACGAAAAATAACTTCTAATCAGTGAAGGAACAGGCATGTTCCTTTACTGAGCATAGATTTCCCAGTTAATGAACAGTATGTGTTAATATGTTGACACTTTAATTTTCAATTCATGATTGCAAAAAAAAAAAGTTAACACTTTCCAAGTATTTATATGTTATAATTTCAAGAATAGGCTTGTTTTTAAATATTTGTATGGCTTATAAATTCATAAAGAGCATTAAAAAATAACCAAAATTAAGTGTTCCTTTACTGGGTGTTCATTTACTACTGGTAAGAGCCGTTCCTTCACTTGGTCTTTTTACTACTTGTTATTTGAACCTCCAAAACTTTAAAACAATATCATGTAAGTTCTCTACAATTTTTTTACATAATTTGCAATTAGTAACAAATATGTTGACACTGTCATTTAACTAAAATTACGAATTTTTAAATTAATATGATTTTTTAAAAGGCAAGCAAAGCTTAAGTGTTCCTTCACTGGTTAGTTTACCCTATTTCAAATGTATATGGGAATTTTGAATTAAGTTTTCACTTTTAGATGCACTTGTTATACAGCAATTCCCCAGTAAATTGATGTTGGTTGATTTACAACCTACAAACATGTTTTTTCTCTCCAATTTTTGTAGTTATAAAACACTACTAATTTTAACATAACTGATTCTTATTTAAGAAAATTAAGGAAATAAAAACATTAAAAACACTCGTAATAGACTTAATATTGAGCCTGAAAGAAAAAATAAACTATTGATGTCGATCATAATATCATACATAACATAATATTTTATTTTATATCCTCGCTGAACAGTCGACCCAGTTTTTGGGTTTACAACTACTAATGTTCTACTCCGTCACCTTGTAATTTTGAACCAATCCAGAAGACAAGGAAACTCCTGGATCAGTACCCCCAGAGGTATAATTTGTTATGGGAACATGGAGGACTTTGTGACTAGACAGATTTAACGTGCACCAGTCACCATTTACTACACAGGGAATCTTCAGTTGGCAGGGATCAAACCCACGTCCCTCTTAGACATGGGCTCAGTGCCCTACCAGGCAGGCTATCCCGACCCTACATAACATATTAATTGAAAACATAAATAGGGAAGAATAAGGAGAGATAAGACATCTGCAATTATTTATGATTCTTTTACCAGTTGGAGTATTTATGGCACTTATAGCTTTGAATGATTTTAAGACAGATTTCTATTAATTTATGTGGTATGCATGTTATAACTATAACACTAAAAAAAAAAAAAGAAGCAGCTAATGATACTTTTAATCTCTTGGGATTTAGCTAAGATTCATTTTTTTTAAATGATTTGAAGAATTTTTTCGAATTAGCAGATATTTTTGAAATTATGTATACATTTCCACTTTTAAAAGCATGTAACATACAAGAAATGAAATATTTTTCTTGCTATTTCCATATGTTTATAAAACCAATACTTTAATATTAACTATCAAATATATATATTTAACGAGGCTAAAATGTTTCAAGATATTAATCTGAGATTTAAAATATTTTCCAGCCAGATATAAAATTTTATACGAAATATTTCAGCTAGTGATGTCTCATTTCACTCAACTCGCCCCTAGAACATAATCTTGAAATATGTCATTCTAATATAATAAATATTACTAACATATATGGGTCATTCTCACAAAAACAGTCATTTTCATGTCCCCAGTATATTTTATGTTTGTTTTACAACTTACGAAAAAAAATTTTCAGGGAAAGTGTCCTTCAGAATGCAAGCTAACAAAAGAATAAAAATAAAATTATCAATTTTTATTTTTTATTAATTTTAGGTAATAAAAATATACCAATATGTCATTCCCTCACTTGTCCCCACTGCTGATTTAAAAAAAGAAAAAAATTGTTTCTGAAATAAAAATTTTTTTTTTACAAATTTGTGTTTTTTATTTGAGAATATTGAAATATAGAATTCAGAAAATAAATTTTAAATTTAATTTCTGATAAAAATATTAACACAGCACTATTTTAAACTTTGTCCCCAGTGTTTCGCGTCATTCCCTCACAACAATGTTCTTATCACCTGCAATCATCTTAGAATAAAAATATTTTAATAAAAACTTCAGAAGTTAACAACTGGCATCATAGAACAAAATTGCAGTATGTTTCCATCTTCAACTTAAAGAAGCTTTGCTGTGGAATAAATTTGAATGAATCAAACCAGGTAAAATTTTTTACATTTGTCATTCCCTCATGTCATTTTTTAGAGTAAAATAAAATACAACTTCATCGAGAAAGTGGATAATTATATGTTGCTTTCTTGTATGAATATAATTGTATGTGATTGACTTCAGAAATTAATTAGGCCTAACTGTTATTTTTAAATTTTATTGAATTCGTCATTCCCTCACTAGTGTATAAAGTGAGGGAATGACGCTAAAGTGAGGGAATGATTCAAGATGAGTATATTATTAAATTTTTTTTGTTCAATCGAGCCAGTCAATTTTATTTCCCAAACATGCAAAAACTATTAAATATATAAGACTAAATTATAATAAATATTAGATATACTTAGTATGTTATCATTTTCAAACTTTAGGTAGATGTAACTTAGATAAAAACATCTATTTAAATAAAATATCATTCCCTCACTATTAGTGTCATTCCCTCACTTTTTAAATACTGAAAATAATTAAATATTTATTAATTAATTTGAAAAATGAATTAAAAAAATAATAAATTAATTTATTAAATTAGTTAATTTATTTTTTAAATTAATTAATTAATTATTAATTATTATAAATTAATTAATTATAAATTAATTATATAAAAAATTAATTAATTTAAATATTAAGTATAATTTAAAGGATATATACTTTCTTTATAATGTCATTACATATTTCTATTAATATAAAAAGTTTCAGAGCTTTTTATTCACTTTACTTTTTTGGGATTTTATGAACTGAAAAATGACAGTTTTCGTGAGAATGACCCATATATTAAAAAATTCTCTAATATACAGAAATTTTGAAAATCAAAATGCTGAAAATGAAAAAAAGTAAAGAAATTATTGTTCAATATAAATAGGCAAATTATGGAAAAATATTTACTTGTGTAACAAGTGTATAGAGTAAACTGTTTGCGAAATTGATCATACATAACACCATCAGGCCTGAAATGAAAAATAAATATTTTAATTGAAATTTAAGTAACTCAAGTTTTTTGTTGTCCAATATAAAAATAACATTAGCAAATTTTTTTTATGAACTCTGTGATGATGTTCCAACTATTGAGGAAGCCAATTGTGCCGACCAGCCAACACTACTAGCCAAAATTCCTATGCTTTGTTTACATTTGGAGTTTTTTTATATGCACTTGTTAGGTTGAATGCACGGTACGCCATTAGGGAGCGGGGATATCAAATGCTGCGTCAAACTGTGTTTTTTTATGTCATGGTTTGAGATTTGCATATATTTTTAAATCAGATGTAATTATAATACTTTACTTCTGCTAAGGTGTGTTGGTTTCGACCTAATTGTAATGTAAATTACGTGAGCGTTAGAGCTGTCACTGATACTTCAGTGAGAATGCTTTTATCTTTTTGTTGATGTTTGCTACATTCCACACATCATCATGCTTATATATTTCCTTCTGATGTCCGTCATGGCTTTTGACACTGTGTGATGTTTAACAATAAAAATCATGTTTGAATAATTTTGCATGTGTCTTAAGTGTTCATTTGTGTAAGTTGATTCTGTCTCAATTAAAATGAGACAGGCATACTCTTCAAAGTCAGCATGCTCATGATATTTAATTTTCATGTTATTGGATAAAACATGTGTAAAGTCAGAAACTTTATGTACACCGCACATGTTAAATTGAAACCCATATTACAAATTTTACACAGCCTGAAAATACAGTAGAAAATTTGTTGCTTAATGTGCTTACCAAAACAGTAGCAATTCTAAAATTTCATTAAGTTTTGAAACTAATTGTAATTTTCATTTAAACCAAGAAACATGAACAAACATCATTTTCACATTCTCAAATAACAGGTATAAAAATTAAAGCATTATAAAAAAATTTATAAATTTTTTCAATAAATAGATTTATTTTCTCACCATACAATAATAACACCAGCTTGAATACAGGTAATAAAATGGTTAACACGCCACCAGCCTTTTATTCTGAAAATAAATAGATAATTACCACAAAAATTAATGCAAATACTTAGGTTTTAAATTCAGTTGTGCATGCATAAAAAATAAAAATAGATATTTCATTTATTTCTGAGGCCATTGTGCTATTCAACAGATTCCCAGTCTTTAAAATAAAGAGCAGTCAATTACTTTTGAAGGATGAAAAAGTGTGATTGTTTCAAAGTTGTTTATCTTTTTGAGAAAGGAATTTATTTGGGTAAAGGATTTTACTTTGTTAATAAGCCTGAAAATGGTGTCAAGGCCAAATTGGATCAGTATAATAATGATTTAGAGCAAAGACAAAGTACTCGATCGCTGTTAGGATTAATAGGAAAGAAGTTTCATCTTTATTAAGTTAAATAAATAAAAGGAATTTTGAGAAAATGAAGCTTTGTGGTTCGTTACTGCTCTGGGAAGTTATATGAAAATAATGAATGATACCCAAGTCAAGTAGAAGGATTATGGAACTAATCTATAAATAGAAGAGTGCCATTATGGCGAGAAGGCCATTAGCTTGCCAGTGACAAAGACGATGGCACTTTTCCAACGATGAAATTAACAAGAGAAATAAAACTTTCTTCTGCTGTTAGGGATAAAAAATTTTTTTAGTTTGATTTCTGGTAGCCGAAAATGAGAATTTCTTGCAAAATGCAGCAGAGTTGCACATGAGAGTGCATGATTTCTTCCCTTATTGCCGAATCCAGCTCAGTATACACAGATGTGAACTCACAAGTATTTCATCATGATGTAAAACATGTAAAATGATTGGTGTTTTTAGACGCTAAGGACTGATGGTAAACTGAAATAGATAGTGGTTGAAGGAATTATGAATAAATTGAATAGAACCATGTCAAAAACCTCGCTTTTTGCCTAATTTGTGACAAAAATCGACATGCTAAAGAAAACATTTATCATTTTAGAAAAGGGATAATTAAGCACTTTTTAAAAACATCCAATAAAAAAAGCACCTTTAAAGGCTTATAAAAACTGAAAATAAGCACTTTTTAAAAATGCTACGCATCCTATGGATAAATTCGATGAATAAATTCCCTCATATTCAACTAAAACAATTTCAAGAATGTTGTCTATTTTTCAATATTCATATAAATTTAGGTTTTTATAGCTTTTTAAAATTTTACATTGAATTTAAATTTCTTCAACTCAAGCAAGATTGTTTCATTTTATTTTATAACAAATTTTCCAGTTTATTTTGTGACACCTAATATTAATACACAGAATATCAATAAATTAATTAAATATCAATAAATTAATTAATCATTTCAGATCAATTAACCCTTTAAACATTGATGCCCATGGGCAAAATCGTTCAGAAAGTTTCCTGCCGTGTAATTTTCCCATTCAATAACATGGAGAAACCGGTTTATTGTTGCAAAGAAGCCTATGATTGAAAGTTCAGAAAAGCCAGAACTAACGCTCAGAATGTTATAAAATAAAAAAATTAAAATATGCAAAATTACAATTATTTTTAAATATTTTTTCACTTATACCTGGAACCATTTACTACCAATATACTTTCTCTAATCGTTAATGTGCAATAGTACCAGACCAACAAGAAATGTAAAATGGCATCCAGAGCTCTAAAATATAAAATATCATAGTTTAGCATGCTTGACATGACATAGTTTGATATGTTTAAGAAATAAAAAATTGCTATAACATACCTGTAAGAAAACAAAATACTTTGAGCTGATAAAATCAAGATAATTATTGTCACAGTTACTTTAAATCGTTCATACTCTTCTTTATATTTTTTGCTAAAAACAAAATTAAGACAATTAAAACTAAAAAAATGAATAAAATAATAATTACAAAAAGCAAATTACAAACCTGTCTTCTTTATTTACAATCGTAACATTCACTCCCCCAAGGATAATTCTTAAGTATAACCTATAAAAAAGTTTTTTTGCTTTAAATAATATGTATTTAAAATACAGGAAAGATACACAATTCATCTACTTTTGTTTAATTTTTTAATTGCTTAAAGACATGTAATAATGTACATAAATCTCATTTCTGATTTATTAATGAAGTTTATATAAAGCAGATTTTATTTATACAATTATATCCTAGTCATTAGTTTTCTAAAAAAAATTAAAATTGCTTATATTAAAAAATCTATATGATAAACACATATGAATATATTTTCAAATTTTTGTTGTAATTTTAGTCAAATTATATTTCTATCATTATCTCACTATAGACTGCATTAAATCAAAAGGTTATGGAAATTTTTTTAAAAGAACTAAGAAATAATGTATATAATTTAAATACTAATTGAGCTTAAAAAAATACTTATCATTCTCAAATAAATATAAAAATTTATTACATGAAACAAATTATTAAATATATGAAGCTTCAGTGTTTAAGTTAGATTAAAAAAATTTCTTAAACTTAGTACTAATTTTTTCTCTTTCAATTGTTATGTTTAAGAAAGGGACTCCTTATCTAAGATATTACTTTGATATAATAAAACCACTTCAAAGAACTTGACCCATTTGCAACAAATTGATTACATGATTTTAAAATACTGCACATAACAGCGTGTAAGCCGTTTCCCTATTTTTGATTATGCGGTTACAAATTTCTGGAAGGTCGGGAATATAAGTCAACAATTATTCCAGTAGACGTTATCCCTCAAATGACACTAGACACATGGCAAAAAGTGGATTCCAGTGTTATAGTAAAATATTTGAAAAAGTTTAGAATTTCTAATTCTTTGGATTAAGAAATTTTTTTTTGTGGGTTTCAGCAGATGAAGATAAAGTAGAATTCGTTGTTGAGGGAAACCTGTATGACAACACTGCAAACGTTAATGAGCCTCACATAAATGATATTCTGAAATCTTTAAATTTGTAGCTTTATAATAAGTTTTAAAAGTTTTTATTGAGTTACATTGTCTTCTTACATAAATTACTTCAGCTAATCTAATTAGTAAGTTTTTTTCTGAACGTAAGAATTGTTTCTATAAAAACCTTTTGTATAAAGAAAATGAGAGAAATTAATTGCATGTAACATATAAAAAATAGTTTTTTAAAGGGGTAAATTGTTATACGCATCTAGGTACCTCATTGCTTATAATGCATCGATATTTCCCGATCAAGGAATGTTCGACTTTATTACTGGTGTATCTGTTGACACCCTTTCTTTCATAAAATTTTGGGAGTTCAAAACTTCTACACAGCAATATAAAGTAGTTGAGTTTTTTTTAATTTAAAGTACTATAACAATTTATTTTGTAATTTGTATGACTTTCCCCTAATATACTAGCATATCAAAGAATTAGTTGTAGTGTTAAAGATTAAAAATTAATTTCAAATTAGATGCAGTCAATTCAAAATTTTAAACAATGTAGAATATTCTAATTCCTTTATAAGTTTATTATTGCAGCAGAGCAACTTCAGCTAAGAAATGGCTCAGTTTGGGGGGAAATAATATCTAAATAGGGGTATACTGATTCGATTGCTTGACAAACCCTGGAACTACTTTCACAGTTCCTTTCAGGTTGCTTTAAAATCCATGCCAACTTTCTACTGCTTGTACATTAACCAATACTTCCTGACCTTCAAAGAATACTCAAGCTGCAAACTATAAGCCTTAATCTATTGCTTGAGGCAATACACACCATAGTTAAAATAGATATTCCTTTAATTATATTAAAAGTTAATGAACCTACCATGTTAAAATAATATATTTATCTTTCTCTTCTCTTAAAAAATTTATTAGTTTAAAAAAAGGGCATATCTTACATACAAATAATACTAAGCCAATGCTTCCCAGTTCCAACTGACACACTTTAAGCAATAAAAATTAAAATTTAGTACAATATGCAAATTCCTTTATTGTTGTATTTCAGATTAACAATTTGGCATGGAAAATTGGCAATTGCTACTTAAACTTACACATTTATTTTTTTTGTTTCTTAAATTTACAGACAAAAGCACATTTTAAATTGGTAAGGGTAATAATTTTCCCAGCAACAATTATATAAAGTAATGAATCCTAAAAGCTAGAACCTGTATCAGAAGCCTTCAAAAATTTTGGAGAACTTCAAATATAAAAATCTCCATAAAAATAAATGCTTTTAAAGCTGATGTTTGCTCTGTACTTTGTATGGTGCTAAATGTTAGAACCTCTGCAAAACTGAGATAGAAAAACTGGAAACATTACGGAACAAATGTTTAAGAATAATTTTAAAAACTTTCTGACCTAACACTGTTTTAAATAAAGACCTATTAATAAAGGAAAAGGAAGACATTTTGAATAGAAGATGGACGGGACATATCCTTCTTCTAAAACAGAATAGCATGGCACTTACTCTGCCACCTGATAAAAAACATTTAAGAGGGAAGCCAACACTCACTTGGCAAAAATAAAATGCACCAAGATCTGTGCAAAGCAAAACTTAATGGATGAGAAGAGGCAAGAGTACTGGCTCAGAAAAGGGGTGCCAGAAAAAGAGACTCGAGGCCTTATGTGCCAGCTGGTGCAAAAAGGATAGGTAGGTAGGTAATAATTTTCCATTTATGTTTATCGTATTGTCCTAAAATATAAGATTCAGAATGATGCAAGTGATAAGAAATGTGCCCCACATATACAGGTATCTTCTCAATTATGCAAGCTGCAATCATTTGAACTTTAACTGGTTATAGTTTAAATGAATTGCTTTCCAACACCAATTCTGAATTTCTCTGGACCATTGCGGTGTAGCATACAACTTTTATTTTATGGGTAAGTCAAATTTTTATTTTTAAATGTAATTATTTAATTACTGTTACTACATACAAAAACAAATCCAACCTTTTTTCTGAGATTACATTAAAGATTTATAGATATAGATAATTTTAACATTATTAAATACTGATATGCTTTTGATTTTATAAAATTATTCCAAAAAAAAGTACAACAAATTTAGAAATTCTGAATAGATTGGTTAGTTCCAGAAAAAAAAAAGCGTTTATAGATAAAGCTTTTCTCCTTAAGTTATAGTAAATATAATTTACAAAATATAGCACATTTAAAAACATAATTCCAAAGATATAAAGTTTATTTGACAACACATAGATATATAAGGAAATATGTAAATAACAATACCCATTGCTTCTAGGCAAATTTGATTGAATGTCATCAAGCTGAACTTTACGAAGCTCAATTTCTTGTTTTAGAGATTCAATCAAATCAATTTCTTCTTTTGAAGTTGCTCCACACCTGTGAAAAAATATTTACAAACATTTAAATTAGATAAAAGTATTATTATTTAAAAGAGTATTAGTAATTGGTTTCAAAGAGATAGTTCTTAGCAGCGATGCTAAGCGCTCCAAGCAACCATTACCGCGTTGCTTGGAGCGCCTGCAGACCAGATCCTATCATTTGAGGAGTTATGAGCTTGTTAGACGGTAAAGAGCTTCCCATTGCTGAAAAGGAATTTGTCCCACTGACCTACAGCCTGTTGCTGAAAATTTCAACAAGCATTTCCTCCTTTGCCACTTTGAAACCAATCAAATTTATAAAATAGCTAATCTTCTCTTATTATTATATTTTTTCAATTTATTTATTTTTAATAAAGTTATATTAAAAATTGCTTGGCCCTCTTTTGCCATACTGTGTATATGTTGCATTAAATAACAACCACATATCAATAGCAGGGGTCTCATATTTTATTGATGATGTTGGGTCAAGTCAACAATCATTTAATTCAGTAGAAATGTGAAAGAATAATAAATAATGATAAAAGAAATATTTGTACAACATTTTATTTCATATTAAATAATATTAATGTAAGATAAATGAAAAGCAGAAAGATAAAACTATTTCAATGTCAGTCAATTGGAAATAGTTTGGACAATATTTTAAAAGACATATGATTTGATACAGTACACTCAAGACCAATACAAATAATTCTCTTAAGACAATAAAATTTAGTCTTACTTTTTAATTTCTTCAGAAATCTGTTTTAAACGATACCATTGGTGAGCAAGTGATTTGCTGCATGCATTTTGGCATTTACCCAAATCTTCAACAGCCTTTTCGTATTGCTTTTCATGAACCTTTATAAAAATGAATTTATTAAAATCAATAACTCATGAATCATAAATACAATAAATAGTTTTTAAATTTTTCTTTTTTCAAACAGCAAATTGTGCAATTTAAAATAAACATGGAAACACATTTTATAAGTAATTTAATGGCCAGACAGTTTTTTTCCTCTTACAAATAAATCTCATTAAAAAATTCACTGTTTAAAACATTTACAGTAGATCTCATTTACAATAATATCTTGAAACGAAGTTTTTACTTTGACTTTTTTGGCTATTAGGCAACTAAAATTTAAGAGGAAATTTAAAAGGAAATTTTTTCCACAAGCGATATAAATGTGGGGAAAAAAATGAAGATGTAATTTTTACACCAATAATTTAAATAATAATTAAAACCAAAAACTATACTCACTATATCCCATTTTAAATTTCAAACTAAAGATACCTTTTAAGCACTTTCTAAGACTTTACAGAGAGGGGTAATGCCTGCCGCCTCCATGTGGTGCCCTCTGGATATCCTTTAAAGGGTAACTAAATGGAAAGCAGCCAAAATGTGCGTTCAGGAATTGGGCAGAGGTTCCTAATCGAAAAGTATGCTCCAGTCTCCAATAGCACATGGTAAGCCTTAGGGTGAGCCCAGTGCTAATACCACTGCTTCGCAGCTCATTGCTAGTAATTCTGGTGTGGAGAGGTTCAAAAGCACAAGTCCCACATCTGATTTAGTCTCTGTCCTTGGCCAAAGACAATGCCACGAGTTAAAATGTCCGACCCGGCTTGACTATCCAAGAGCCAGAGAAGGAAATTAAAGAAGTGGAAAGCCGCTGAGAGGAGTGGTGGAGATAAGATGCCTAGGCTTTCGGACACAACGCCCTCCCCCTGAGTGTCGCCCAAGTTTGCAAAAAACCCAGAGAAGATGTTGTTCTTGGGATGAGAGCCCAATCTGGGGAGGCGGTCTCTCTTTATGGGGATAACCAAATTGGAGAGGGGGACACAACTGGAGGCCTCCAATCTGGGGTTTCCTACGCACAAACCATCAGATCCATCAAAATTGTTGTTGTCAAGAAGGATTTTCCTTCGGACAAGCTCTCTTTGGGAGAATATGATGCAATTTTCAGGAGGATCTTGAAGCTAACTGACGCCATCCCATTTGGCGAAATGATGCCCGAGATTCTTAGTAACAATTTGCTGAGAAGGGCCTTGATTCTCTAGTGTGGCAATGGCACAGTGGAATGGATCAGGTGCCATTTCCAGAAGTCCTTGGGGGACATCACACTTAATGTTTTAAGTGCTGGCGAGTTGCCCAAGCCTGTAAAGGTTGCCTTCAAAACCAAAGAGAGGTATTCAGACCAGTCTACCTCAGACGCCTTCAGCGACTCAACCATGAGCTGAAGACTATGAGGGTCCTGCTACAGGACCTGGCACCTGTAGATGGATCTTCCAGGTTGATCCTGAAGACGTAAAGGATATAGTGAGGGCTGACTTCGGGGTTCCAGAAGAATCCAAGATGGTTGCTATTCTAGTATTTTCTTAGGACCTTTTGTGGTAAAAGAATCAATCAAGGTTGACTAGATTAATCTCCATCATAGCATTGCTGCTTCTAGTCTTTTGGCTAAAAGGCTGAATGATGGAAATTTAGACATTGCTCTTATACAAGAACCCTGGACAAATAAGGGTAGAATTCTGGGCCTTAACCCTAAGGATTTTGATATTTTTTATGAAACCCATAGTGATTCCCCCTCCCCGGTCCTGCATCTTGGCTAGGTCTAATCTAAATGCACTTAACTTAGTCAACTTTCTCCACAGGGATTTAGTTGCTGTTAAGTTAAAATTCTATGACAAAGCTTCAGCTTCTGACTTTGTCATTGTTTCTGCCTATCTCCCCTATGAGGAGAAATACCCACTTGCTGATGCAGCTAAGTCAATAATTGGCTACTGTAGTTCTGGCTGCAGTCTCATCTTCGGCTGTGATGCAAATTGCTCACCACACAGTGTGGGGCATTAGTGATTGTAACCAGGGATGTATTAATGTAGGCCTCATTTTATTTTATAACTTGTTTGTCTTTAATGAATGCAATGAACCTACCTTTATTAGGTGTAACAGAAGGAAATTTATTGACCTTACTCTATGTAATTCTATTTCTGTATATTAAGGAAGGTATCTGATGCAGTCACTACTTCTGATCACTTTTTCTATTAATGGCCTCAATGGAGTATAGGTCATAAGGAGAAACCCCAGAACAGTTGATTGGGGTTCATTTTGAAATAATTGAAATTTATTATCACAACATTGTTACAATAGATTTTAAAACTATTAAAATGAATCAAAACATTAAACAATCTCATATTAAAATGTTTTGTAAGTTTTTAAATTGATGACTGCATTGAGTAAATTATTCGATTTAAGAGTTGAATCAAAAATTGTAAGGCTTAAAAATGTTCATAGTCAGCAGCGCACTTTCTATGTGAATCAAACTTCAAGCATTGGCAAAGAAATTCAATTATTGCAACATAATAATAATTCAATTGCAACTAAAATATTAGTGTGTAATTATAATACTCTAATAGTACAAAAAGAAGAAATAGATCTTTAATATAAAAATAGTCTGACTTCTAAATCTCCATATTCCTTTGTTAAAAGATCCCATTCCTTCTTTAAAGCTAATAAATTTTCGATATTCATCTGTAAAAAAAAAAAAATGGATGCAACATTATATTATATATTTTTTATAGGCATTTTATAATAAAATGAACAAAAGAATAAAAAATGTAAACAGAAAAATACAAATTTAATATATTATTTAAACAAAAAAATATTTAAATAAATTAATAGTGTGTGAAGATAAAACCCTAGGATTAAAAAAAGAAACTTATCAACTGTTTCATACTGTCTTTTTACAAAGTGTATTTATATCATTGCATAAGATTTAAAAATATTTCCAATGTGAATTTAATTCGGTAAAATTATCCAAAAACTTGAAGCAATAAAATATAAATATTTTGCCAAAATAAACATATCTTAATTAGAGAAGTAAACAATAAACAAAAACTTACAAAATATATACTATGTTTATTTTAGATAAGTGCTTAACAATAACTACCACTTACTGCAGAAATCATGGTATAATAAAATGTTTATATAGTCAGGGGTCTGTCCAGGCCAAATTTACTACCGTTTAGCGGTACCTTCACAAATTCAATTTTAGGAAAAACGGTAGTTTCACAAATTCAACATTAGGAAAAACAGTAGTTTCACAAAATACTTTTTCTTAAAATTTTATTTTTTTATCCTTAAGAAACAATAAAGCTATATTTTTACTATGTTTTTGTGCTAATTTTTTAATATAATTTTTAATTTTTCACAAATTATGTCTAAATTTTCACAAAATAGGTACCTCTCAGAAAAACCTAGACATACCCCTGATAGTTCTGTTCGCAGTTTGAAAACTCACTCGAAAAATTTTGCACTTTAGTATTAATACATTTAATTAAGAAATTTTTTGTAGGATTAGATCAATATTTAATTCTGAAGCTCATAAAATCAAGTGGGAAAATTTTTATATTTGAAATTAAATCATTACCAAGATCTAGCAAGCAGGCAGTAGCACTTGTGAAACTTAAAAATAGAAAAAAAAAAGAAATAACTCTAAAGATCTCCACACTTTAGATATTTCCACAGATATTTCCCAGCAAAAGACTATATATTTTTTTAAAAAACAATTATTTCATGTACAACAATCAGACAGTTTCAATCAGTTGGTGCCAACACGGAATTTAATTGTTTTAACTTTTACATTCTCAAACGGGGTTTCTACTCAATTTTCAAAAAAATAAAATAATAAATTTAAGGACTTTCAAGGACCTAAAATCAAATTTTTGTAAGACCTACTCAGCTATGGTTATTATGCTAAAATACATATCAAATAGATTTTATTACTTTGAAGCATACATTAAGTGTAACAATTTAAAATGTTAAGTAGTTATGGCAATAATTTAATATGCGAAGTCCACAGCTACCAATGCAAATGGTCTGATAGTTACAACAAAAAATTTCTAATAAAAATTAGCATACTTGCCAACTTTTAAAGACTGTAACACTTTTTATGAAAAGTTTAATGAAGCACGTTAAAATTAATTGAGAAATGATATTTAGCATATCTGTTTCAATTTAAAAAACAAAATATCTTTTTATTACATCAGAATATTAGTACTGTATTTTGGACATAATAAAATCTTTTGAAACTATAATTGTACTAGTATAATATTTTGACAGATAACAAATTTTATTTCCTTTAAAATAGATCATAAATTGTAAAAAATCTTTAAAATTTTGTGAATAAGATTCACTATGCCTAATTTTTGAATCATGTGTAAAATGCTAGACGAGTTCTTTTTCCTTGATTTAAAAATTTCTGCTTTAGTTCACTACCACTTAATGTCATATTTTGCAAAAATCTGAAATTTTTCAAGGTATACACTTAGTCAGCGTTTGAGGAAACCATTACACATTACAATATCTTTAAAAAAATTTCAAATATAAAATCTCATACAGCCTTAATAATAGTAGCAACAGTGAACAGGCACCGATATGGAAATCATAAACAAATCAAATTAACATGCATTGAATAAACAGCATGCACTGTGCCAATATTAATATAAGACTGTAAAGATTTCTTTCTTATTAATCAGCTCCTTTCTTATTAATTTAATAAGCTAAAACTTAAAGAAGACAAAGAAAAGAAGATGAACAGAATATCAAAGATGAAACAGAGCTTTTAAAAACATTGTTTGAAATTATAAACATAAAACATCGGTTACTATGTAAACTGCATTAAAGAGATTTAAAGTACGGAAAAATTGAAAGATTAAGCTTCAATTACAATTTATATTATACAATAAATTTTACCTACAAATTCGAACAGGTACCAATTAAGTACAAGGAAATACAAAAATAAAAGATCCACACTAGATCACAGTATTTCTCCTGGACGCAAAGAAAAATGATGATAAAAAAAAAAGAAAATTAATATATTCCAATTTAAGTTTCAGGATAAATATCATTAAAGAAATAAAGTGGTATTTCATAAAACTCATACGTCGTGCTTACCTTGCCGAAATTCTGATAGCGAATTTCAAAACCAAAACATACGGGCCATTCAAATCCTAATAGAAGTTAAAGTTAAAATATTATCAACTAAATTTTTTTATATTTAAAATAAACAATAATGCTTAACTTCTTAAAAAAATTAAAATATTTTCTATTTTATTTGTTTGATTAACTTTCTGAATTTATCACTGCACAATCTGCATCGTATCTCACAGTTAATTTATCTGATCTAAATTTTACTGTTAATGTATCTGGCTAGGTTTTAGTGTTTACATTTATGTATTCACAATTTTGTGAATTGGAATTAATTCTTAGTTGTCTGTAATTTTTCCTACTTAAACTTATATACCCAACATAACTTTATTCCACTATGTCTTTGGAAACGATTCCTAAGGATCTGAGAAATCTTCGCGCTTGTCTGTTGTGTTCCATAATTAAGGTAATATATTTTGTAGACCTGAGCATATCTTTGAACAAAGCTAAGCCAAATGAAGAAAGCTCAACTAATATCTTACAATCAAGCACTCTAATAGCACAAAATTCACCCTTTCTTTCCCTAGATTATTTGGAATTTTCGACAGCGCTTGATATTTTACAATTATAAATAGTGCACTGATATATTTCTAATAGAAGTTAAAATATAGCTATTGTGCACCCTAGTTTTATTCGTCAATGAAAGATTTGTCTCTTTTTATAAATAATTGTTTTTATGAATTGGGATAAAGACTTTCTTACAGTAGTTTTTGTCATTATGAAATTATGTTCTGTCTTATATTTGTAAGTATAGGAAACTAAATTTTGTCACCTGTACTTGTTACTGCTAGCTGAAGTTCTGAACGGATGGTGTTTTCGAAAAAGGATATTGAGTAGTTTTAGAACATTACTGCTTCTAAGATATTTTATTCATTCAAATTTGCTGACATTTGATTACGCTTGTTTGCTTTAAAAATGTTAACTTCACAAAATAATAATGAGTTACTTTAACACTTGCATTAAAAAAAGAAAAAAGATTATTAGCCAAGCAAAGTAAAAAATGCCAAATACTAGAGCCTAAACATTTATTGTTCTTCAATAAACCTCTGTTAACAATCGGCGATTTATTTTTAATTATTTAGTTTATTTCCAAGAAAGAAAAGAGGTAAGGTATTCTTGCATTACAGAAGCTTAGGGCTAATTTAGCGTAGTAGGACCTAGCTTGCCTGCGTCTCTTTACATTACTGTTGATGGTTGTTGAGATTTCATTATTAAAGTAATTATTATTTTATTTATTTACTGATTATAATAATATAGCTAATGGTATTAATATCTTTATAATAATACATCATATTTAGATAGCAAAATTTTCATTGCTATTGTTTTATTGTAAATGCTGAATGTTTTTGCTTATAAGTCAATTTAATTTTTTTTCTTTTCTTCAGTCTGTTGAGCAATTCGAATTTGATGGGTGTGATAACTGTGAAGAGTTTTTAGGCCTGAAAAATAATAGAGATCTTGTATATGATTGTACAAGTTCTAATTTTGATGGGTGAGCTTATTTTTACATATTAACTAAGTTTTGATATTATGTGAATTTATTTTAAGGTCAATAAGCTTTGAATTTGTTTTTGTTTAATTTATTTAGCTTCTGAAGAAATTGTTATTTTTTTAATTAAACTTTCTTATTGTACTTCGAATTAGGCATTAAAATCTTAAGTTAATAAAACGCATGTAGGACACATTGTGTTCAGTTTTGTGCAACAAAAAAAATTATCTTCTTCTATAAAAATTATCATTATAGAAAAAGGTACTATTTTTACAGATGAAATTTATTGCAAAATTGATAATTAAAAAAAAAAAAAAAATAGTAATAACTACAGATTTATATTACTGTCTGAAATAAAAATTTTTTAATGTTTATTTATTATTATAATTATTTCTCTTTTTTCAAAATTATTTTTATTATTTTCACATCATTAAAAAATGGAAGCATTTTTTAAGTAAAAGTTTGCTCATTTTTAAAAAAAATCCTTTTTTTGTTTTGTTATGTGAGCTATTATCCTCTCTAATGTTTTTATTTGTTAGCAAATGAAATTTTCTTTTAAAATTATTTAAATCCAATAAGAAATAAACATTCAATTTCAACAAATCTTGTCTATAATAGAATTTTCTTTAATGTTTATTAATTTTGCAATTATTTCCTTTTTCATTTTTCAATTATCTTTGTGTGGTTATTGTATAATTTAAAAAGTGATTTTTATTTTAATAAAAACATCCAAAGAATTTTTTTTTTGTGCATATCTATTTTCTTTTAACTATTTTATTTTAGGTTTTGTTGTCAGTAGCATCTTTTCTGTTCTGTTCATTCTTAACTAATGATCTATCATTGTTAATCTATCATTCAATTATAAAGTAATCAATTCCAAAATACTAATTGTGTATTTAAATGCAAAAAGTTTTTCACAACCATATTTTACACGTTACTTTGTCTTTAAAATTATAGTATCAGTTCAAAAAATGTGAAAGAAATTGTAAACCATATATAAAGAGTATATATAAAAGCTGATTAAACTTCCTTTTTTTATACATTATCAATGATATTTTAGCCCAATCTCTTTTGAAATTAAATAAAATGGAATTAAAATCAATAGAAAGCGTTAATAACATTTTGATTACTATTTCTCATTTAATTGTAAATTTATAATTTTAAAGGTTTAAAACATTGTTGACTCCTTATTGAATTAAGAAACAGATATGAATTTAGTTCTGATTGAGAATCATAGATGGCAGCATTGAATACTAAAACTGCATTCAACACATTAATTTTACACAAAAACTTTATTGACTTCAAAAATAAGTTATTTTCATCTGCATAATTTTGAAACCAAAACTTACTTATAAATTAACTTAGTTTCACTCTTTGGATTGGTTTCATTTAGTTGTAGAGCAAACTTAGTTATTGCTTTTAGTACATGTAATATATTTACTCTCAATTCAGAATTTATGCTTTTTTCCTTTTTACAGATTACTAAATTGTATTTCTAAACGAATTTTAGTTTAAGAAAAGAAATATTAATGTTCAGAAATTATTCTGAATTTATTTTTGTAATGTATTCAAGTATATTGTTAGTATATTCAATTATTTAAATTCTTTACCTTTAAATTATGTTTCCCTAACAGCGACTAAGTACAGTATTTTCACCTCTAAATATTTCAAAAGGAAAGATGAGTAAAAAAAATAAGGAATAGTGTGAATATTAGAAAATGTAATTAACAAGTATTTGATAAGGCAGTTGCCAATATTTTTATTTGATGCCGATAATTTTTTACATTATCAGCACAATTTGTAGTTGAAATTGTATGTAAACTTGCAAGTTATTGCAGCGACGTTTAGGAAAGACTCTACTCACAACAGTTTAGGAGAATCTAGTTTATGATAAGCCAACTTTTTCCAAAGTTGACATTTTTACATCACACTGTTTCGTAAAATTTTGAAATAGGTACTTCGCAAGCTTCCAGAATATCTTTAAATAACTCCTCAATACTCTGAATAATCTTTTAGTATGCTTGGAAATTTTGATACTATTCACCAAAACTTCTCTTGTGAACACTTTTAAAATGTGGTTCATTATTATGCTGTCCGGAGACCTTCAATGGAAATTTATTATCTATCATTCTGTATTTTTTTTATAATAAATAGTGCTGAATCTTCATAGGGGACTAACTAGTGGGGGAGGGGTAACTATTTCTTTTGTGTATGTTTCAAAAACGATACTTCAAATTAAAAATTATGATTTATTTATATTTAACTGTTAAGCAATCCTCACATTAAACTACACTATCATACCTGGTTTTGAACTATTTAAGACAAAAGGATTAAATACAAAATTTTTTAATTCTCTTGTTTTTATTAGATGTATTTTAAAGTCAGGGATTTACATTCAAGAGTTTAAATAAAAGGCTGTTAATTTTTGTTTTACAGTTTATTTGAAATTTTTTAATCTTTTAACTTTACTTGAATAAAACTTTTTCAAAATCTAGCTACGAGGAAAAGAATTTGGTTCAGTTGACAGCAAGGCTTCATAAAGGATGATAAAAATCCCGTTTTTCATTTTATTTGCCTTTCCTGTTAGAATTAATGGATTTTTGCCATTGTGTCTAAAAGCTCGCCACCTCCTCTGAAAATCTTTGTTCAGTTTAAATCAACATCTTTTTTGTAGTGTCTATTTTTGAAACCTTCATTTTCTTTGAAGGAAAAAAAAAATTGATCACTTCCCTGTCACTTAGCTGTTCTAAACGATGCCAATCGAAAATAAATTGAAAAGTTTAATCGGTTTTCATCTTAAGAAAAGAGTGTAAATATTCTTTCTTTTTTTACAAATAAAGGATTTTGTGCAGAATTTAAAATGTTTTGAAAGCAAACGTTTCATTTCCATACAAGATGCTTTCCAACGCTGCACCGCCAATATTCTTTTGTCACTTTTTTTTTATCAAAATAAAAGTTTATATAAAATATACATTTAGAAATTGAGAATTTGATTGGTGCATTTAAAGTAAAATGATCAGACCATGAAATGTTCCCTAGTTTGTGAAATTCGCGAATTGTATTTTAGTATTCTTTAAGATTTTAACTTTTCTGCTTGCTGTTGATTCGATTTTACTGAGATATTTAAAATATTAATAAAATAATAATTATTTAATAAAGAATAATGACGTCACAGGAAAATTCAGCAGTTAAACGATAAAGAACAATTAAACTTCTCTTAAGTTGAATAAATTTGGAGCGTAACAGAAGCAATATTCTTCTGCTACTGTTTTAAAAATGTGCATAGCAGCGGTTTCCAAGTGGAGTTTCGCGGAACCCTAAAAATCCGTTAAAGGATCACAGGGTTTCCGAGTGATAGGTCTTTTTTTTTCTACCTTAAATTATGATTTTCGAAACCTGTAATTTCATTTATTTCGGATTAGTTATTCATTATTAATTTTTTCCGTTAGTTTTATATTATTTAGTAATTAAAATACTCGTGGTGAAAGATAGACAAAAGTGAAAAGAAAATTTTTTATAATAATAATATATTGAATGGATTATGATAAGGACATGCATTTATTTATGAAAAATCGAATTAGTATTTCGCATGGAATAAAAATACCCAAATTCAACAATAACGAAATATATCTCTCTGATAGCAATACTCAACGTTTATTTTCGTTCTTTTTCGTTTTTGTCTTATAATGAGAACCATTTTTAGTTCATTTATGTTCAGTTAATGCACAAACTAAAATCAAAATAGAACTAGACCAAATGCCGGTCCAGACCTGTAAATGTACGAAATCAGACACGAAAACGAACTTTCTCTGAATAAACATACCCTTTTTTCACGGATTCGGAATAGTTCTGAGAAATCGAACTTTGAAAAAGTCGTATTTTTAAAATTCGATTTCTCAGGAATTATTAAGTTCATTTCGCTAAAATTTTACAGCTTGGCTATGTAATATTACATTCTTTGAAATGACGTAAAAAATGATATACCTTACTATTTAAAATTTTTCGACTATTTAATAAAATTAAATAATAATTACTAAAAAAAATTTTGGCATGAAATTGTTTTTGGATAAGGAAATTTTATAATTGTATGCAAAAAAAAATTTCGATTCGCTAGAGTTCTCGAGATATGGCGAATACGCAAAAAGTAATATATTAACATTCAAGGGTTCAAAATTTCGGACCGCTCTCCTGACCAAACTATTAGGCAAAATTTCCCACATTCCGGCTACCCCCTTACATTTTGTGGGTTCGAAATCCAAATAGAAGGTATGCTTATTCAGAGAACGTATGTTTTTGTGTCTGATTTCATAACTTAAAATATCGGCTGCAATAATTAAATAGCGTGTTTGAGGCCACCCTTTTTTTTTCGCAGTGTACCTTACGAAAGACTCTCCTTTTATCGACTCCTTAATACGACTTTTTTCGTTAAATCCAGATTCTCGTTTTAAGTGGAACCTATTGAATTCGATTAAGATTTAATTTTAAATTTGTTTTACTAGATATACCAGTTGATTATTCATTCTATATTCTCTTTGCGAAAACTCCTCGCACCTATTCTATTTGCTATTATTATATTTAATACGACTTTTTTCGTTAAATCCAGATTCTCGCTTTTAAGTGGAACCTGCTGAATTCGATTAAGATTTAATTTTAAATTTGTTTTACTAGATATACCAGTTGATTATTCATTCTATATTTTCTTTGCGAAAACTCCTCGCACCTATTATATTTCCTTTTATTATATTTAATACGACTTTTTTCGTTAAATCCAGATTCTCGCTTTTAAGTGGAACCTGCTGAATTCGATTAAGATTTAATTTTAAATTTGTTTTACTACATATACCAGTTGATTATTCATTCTATATTCCCTTTGCGAAAACTCCTCGCACCTATTATATTTGCCGGTATATATGGTGTATTTGTAGTTGGCGAGCATCTGCCTGTTTCGCAATCCCCCAACTCCTGATGATTCTTACAGTGTCATCAGTTATTCTAAGTGTGAT